CATATAACTTATAACCATGTTATTCCGAATAGAGAATAATGGGCAAAATATGCAGAAAAAACGGCAAACAAATAAAGAATAGATAAAAATAGGCAAGAACAATAAAGAACAGAGAATAATGGGGTGCTACATTACAAAGAATAGTGAATAATGAGAAAAATAGATAAAGAATAGAGAAAAATAGTATAAAAATAAAAAAAGAATTGAAGGACCCAACGCCCCATCCAGATCCTCGTATATGCACGGCTCAACAGTTTAAAAAAATATATTGGCCATTAAAAATTAAGGAAATAAAGTATGAATTTTTTCGATATAAACCAAAGAAAGGTTTATGCCTACTGGAGGATATGTAAACCGATTTGAAGCATAAAAAACCAAGAGGCTCCCAAGAGCCCCTAAATCTCCCACCTGGTAAAAATTATGTCATTTTCTTATTTATTTTTTCTTTTATTGCAATCAGTTATGTTTGCGTATTAGTAGATCTTACTTAGTGAAATTTTTGTAGGTCCTCTACAAGGAGTCTGTTGACATATTGGTCACAAGGACATGTTTATTTAGATCTCATTATGCTGAACGTTTTACTTTTTAATTGTTTTTCTCCATCTTTTATAGTGTGTGTGGAAAAATGAAGAAAACACATCTTTCAAGGGCAATAACTCCTCTCAGGGTTCAATTGACGATTTCGATAATGTTGACTTGTTTATATTGTAGCTCTCTATCTGTCTTTGTTTCTGCAAAAAATCATGAAATGGGTAAAAATATTAATTTAGGGGCAATAACTCCTAAAATGTTTGACTAATTTGTAGGTCTAATTGTGCTTTACGTCTTTGCTGTTTATAATTTGTCTCTAGAATGCTTTCTATAAAAAGTAGAAAAAAAAATAATTCAATCTTTCAAGGGCAATAACTCATATAAGCGGTCGATTGACAATTTTGACCAAGTTGACTTATTCGTAAATCTTATTTTGCAGAACACTTGTTTCTTACAATTTCTCTCTATTATAGTTTCTGAAAAAAAGCAAAAAATTACTAAAATTAGTCTTTCAAGGGCAATAACTCCTATAAGGGACCAATTAACGAATCTATCTCCATGTTTCCTTATTTGTAGATTATATTTTGTTGAACATTTTTACTTTCGAAAGATTGTCTCTTTCAACTTTTGCTTCCTAAAAAAATGCAAAAAAGCGTAACAATCATCATTTACAGGCAATAACCCTTATAAGGATGATTAACTTATTTGTAGATCTTATTATTCTGGTTATTTTCACTGTTTAAAATTCTCTCTATCTGTTATATTTTTGAAAGAACTAAAAACTACGAAATTTGCAAAAAAATGACATTGTAAACTTTGCAATGATTCCAAAACGAGTTGTACGATGTTTCTGAAAATTCCACAGTAGATAGACCTTGACCTGCTGATTAATTGTCAGATTTGCTCTTACTGCTGTAGTTTTTGAGATACAAGCCAAAATTTGAAATTAACAAAAAATGACACTAAGGCGCTTTTTGAAAATTTCACAGGAGATTGAACTTTACCTGTTGAATATTTAACCCGTGTCAGGTTTTCTCTATCTGCTTTAGATATATAAGCCACGACAATTTACCCTTGTGTTCTATTTTTAACAACAGCAGCCAAGTTTGTTGATGGATCAAATCCCCGGATACAACTTTTAAACAAGATATCATACTCTAAGTAAGGAATATATTCAGGTGCAGTTTTGGTAACATTTTGACCTAGCAGTTTCAGAGAAGATTTAAAGAAAATCGAAACTGATGCAAAGTGTACATGACTATTTATTTTGAGTGTCTTTGGTATGATCACCCGTAATCTGTTATTAACTAGTTTCAATATTTTACCCGAGTAGTAAAAGTAGCCCTTCCCTGACAAAAAATAGTGCTTTTGATGTCATTGTTTACCTAAACTAACCAACTCATTTGCAGAAATGAAACTTTTGTTGAAAGAGAAATATATGTAGACCATTTTGAGCCAAAATTTACTTGTCCATGAGTTTGCATTAAAAATTGAGAATTAATGCGCTCCATAGTATACTTATTTAAGATTTCCAGAAAACCAGGGGTTATTTTTAGCAGTACTTGTCTTCCGAACGTTAGTATATCCTTACAAGATTTTAAACATAGGTTGAAAATTGGCATGTAGAAAGATGATACATGTACAATTCAGGATAAGCCTGGTTCTATGAAGGTAAACTTAAGGTAAAATATTTAGAAAGTTGTGAAATTTGCAAAATTTGGTTGAATAGATTTTGAATTGGTGGTCTGACACCATTAGTTACATTCCTATGTTTGAAGTTGGATGGGGTTATATAAAATTTTAATAGCAATTTGGCCCTTAACGTGACTTGTGAGGGAAGCAAATACCGATTTCAATCACATCATTTTAAAACACAATGTATCCCGAATTCTAGCTCATAATTTATAAAAGTCAAATTTTAAGTCTCTTTTTAACTCAACCTCTATCTCTAACTTGATCTTATAACAGTTGAAGATTTTTTTTTTACTTTGCGAAATGAGACTGCTGTGCATGCTTCAATCAAAACATCATAGACGTTTTCACTTTTCTCCTTTTGGAGTTTCTAAGTAAAAAAAAAACACAAACCTTCAAGTAATTAAAACCATTTTGAATATTTTGCTATTTATGTATAATACAAACGTTCTATATTGATTGATTGATTGATTGTTGTTGTTATTTGCTTTACATTCAGTGACATTATTTCATAAATTTTCAAGATGAAAACGAATTAAACATTATAATACAATGTAATTTTTGTTAAGTAGGTCGACTGGCAATTTATATTGGAATTGCAACTGCCAGTGGAAAATAAGGGTATGCCGATAGGGGCGGAATTTTGCTTTGTTACAGGTGACCTAAAGCCCCACAAATAAAAAAAAAAATTAATTAACACATGGAGAGCATGGCGTTCTCCCTACAAATGCCATTACAATTAGCATCCTTATTCCATAATCTTAGCTTTGAATGTATTCATTCATTGTGCACAGCCAAATGGACGCCTCGCTTTAGCATGATCGTTTTACTGACAGATGGGAGAAGTTAAGGGGACAAAATGTCTAAAACTAGAGACATATATACACATATAAATATATGTGTATGTATGTCTCTGCTTAAACTGTTAGTGCAGCGATAAGTGAACACAGCAGGGGTCCAGTTTTCAATATGTCTATATTGTCAATATTGACCTCATTTTCACAGTTCAATGGTTTTCGTTACGTTTCCATGGTTAGGTCTGTTTTTTATGCCCCCGCCGTAGCGGAGGGGGCATTAAGTTTTACCCTTGTCCGTCTGTACGTCCCAAAATTGGTTTCCGTTCTCTAACTTTAGTTTGCCCTCAACCAAATGTTATGAAACTTATCTACAATGCTTATTACCACCAGAGACATATAATACATTGTATTATATGTCTCTGTTACCACAAAACAAAGATCAAGTTTGAATTTTGGTGGCGTCACTTTTACCGTTTTAGAGTTATGCCCCTTTACAAATGGACAAATTGCTGACTGATTTTTCGTTTTCGTTCTCTAACTTTAGTTTGCCTCAACCAAATGTTATGAAACTTATACACAATGCTTATTACTACAAAACACAGATCAAGTTTGAATTTTGGTGGCGTCACTTTTACCGTTAGAGTTATGCCCCTTTACAAATGGAAAAATTGCTGAATTTTTCGTTTCCGTTCTCTAACTTTAGTTTGCCTCAATTAAATGATATGAAACTTATAAACAATGCTTATTACCACAAAACTCAGAACAAGTACAAATTTGGGTAGCATCACTTTTACAGTTCTTGAGTTATGTCCCTTTATAACATTATATGCAAGCGGGGTCATCATCTGTGTCCCATGGACACATTCCCCATTTATTTTTTATTATTTTAAGCAGTAGGTGAACTATTTTTGGTGTATGGAATGTTTATTATGTGTGCATGTCTGTCTGGCAGGGTTTATCTGACCTTGAATTCATTTTCATGATCGATTAGTTGAAGTTAGGTACCGACTGTGCGAGACACTCATCGGTAGTCAAGGTCCATTTGAGTAAGATACTAGAAATACATTTTAACATAATCTATTTCAGCAAGGAATTAAATGTCAAATCTGAACTACTTAAATAGAGAAGCATCTTCCATACCTGACAGCATAAGGTATAGGCACCCGTCTAATGTTGAAAAATGTATGATTCTGTGAGTAACCTGCAAGATGTCTTTTGGCATTTTTTGTTATATATGTATGGATAATAGTTATTTATTCATTTATCTTTAATGTAATACATCTTAAAATTACTGTATAATTAACAAGTATGGATCATACTGTTGCAAGAAACTTTTAAATTAGACAGAAATGTACCACAAAACAATTTTTTTTTATTTCATTTTGTTTAGGTTCTTGAATAAAATTTACTCTCAGATCTGTGTCTTTTTGTTGTGGAGATGTATAAGTACCCTACCTCATCCACTCTGTATTTTTGTTAGATGTATTTCTATTTGTGTCCATCTGATGAGTTAAGCCATTTTCAACTGATTTTCATAGTTTGTTCTTATGTTGTACTGTTACAATACTGTCACAGGTTAAGGAGAGGGTTGGCGCCTTCAAACTAGTGTAACCCCGCCACATTCTGTATGTGCCTGTTACTAGTCAGGAGCCTGTAATTCAGTGGTTGTTGTTTGTTGCTGTGTATCATATTTGTTTTTCGTTAATTATTTTGTACATAAATTAGGCCGTTAGTTTTCTCGTTTGAATTGTTTTACATTTGTCATTTCGGGGAATTTTATAGCTGACTATGTGGTATGGGTTTTGCTCATTGTTGAAGGCTGTACAGTGACCTATAGTTGTTAATTTCTGTGTCATTTGGTCTGTGTGGAGAGTTGTCTCATTGGCAATCATACCACATCTTCTTATTTTTATATTTAGTAGGTTACCAGTTGTGTCTACTTATAATATGAATGTAATGATAAAGAAATTAACAATTATATTATTTTCAAATTTTTATTGCTAAAGCTGCAATAAAATGGAATATTCTCATGTACATCTTTAACAAAGAATATAACCATCATTGGATGATAGTTTTTGTATCCTTAAAATCTTTATAAAGCCTGCTTATAAAATAATGACACTTTTACTAATATCCACTTTTATAATGCAACACTAAATAAAATCTGATTACATTAAATTATCATTTTTTAAATTTTATTCTTCTGTTTAAAAATTGAGAAAATTCTGGAGCTAGATCAACCTAATGTGCTGTACATTTTTCTTTATTGTTCATTTTCAGCATTGTTGGTTAGAGAAAAGAGAGGTGTATGGTTGAAAATCAATTAAAAAATTCTATCTTAGTTTTAATAAAAACAAGATATACTGTAACCAAAGCTCACAAAATGATACCCCTAGCCACCCACTTAAGCAATGACAAAGTCTATGATTTGAGGTGCACAATTGCAGCATATTGTTTTCAAAAGGTTAAGTAAATTCTATTAAGGTGTTTAGGAGGAGTTGCTTATACAAAATGGGTAACCCCAAACATACACACATGTCAAATAATGACAAACTCTATGATTTGTTTGGGAACCCTTAAAATCATTTAGATAAAAAAAAAGGAAGTGCACAATGGTAAAGATTCTGGGAAAGTTTAATTACATTCTAATAAGATGAGAAGCAGATACAAAAGTGTACTGTATGAGATATGAATAAGTTCATGTAATGCCAAAAAGAACCCCAAAAGTCATTTGTATAAAGAAATAAAATAGATGCAAGAAAAACATAATATGAGTAAGACTTTGTGAAAGTTTCACCATAGTCTGCCAAGGGGTTCAGGAGCAGTTGTGGATACAAAAGTTGGATGAAAGGATGGACGGTTGGAATGGACATACTGACGAATTACCAACTTAAGGACAACCCGATGCTATATTACTTGCTTCAATACATATGAATGTTTTAATAATGGATACAAATTCTGGAAATTTTCTTCATTGTAGATATCATGACCTTCATTTATCTTTGCAAACCATGTCCATACATGAATCTAAACTTACTATCCCTAGTTCTTATCCTAACCCGGGTTATCTAAAGTGAGTCAAAGTTATACTGACTTAACAATTACCACTTATCCTTAATCTAAGGTGATGGGTTCCTTAAGATGAAAAGGGCAAAGCTATTATCCTTTTACATGTTCATTTTTATTTCTGTTTAATAAAAAGAAGATCTGAATAAGTGAGATCAATTAAGTAACACTAATGTATTGCAACAAGTGTCCATTGGCTTTTCCATTTTAGGAGTTGAAATACTTTCGTAATTCACTTGATTCTTTCTCCATCGCTTCTTCAGATCTCATGTCAGACTGTAACATGACCTTATCATGCTTTTCAAGCTGTAAATAAATCATTTCAAAGTATTTTTATTGAAGTATTAAACTAAAATGATTATAAGAATTAAATTCCTCAGTATTTCTAAAAGTTTACTAATTATTAATAAATGTGGATAGTGTCCACATGTGGACACAGATGATGCCCCCGGTTGCATATCATATAGTTATAAAGGGACATAACTGAAGAACGGTAAAAGTGACGCTACCCAAATTTGAACTTGATCTGAGTTTTGTGGTAATAAGCATTGTGTATAAATTTCATAACATTTGGTTGAGGCTAACTTAAGTAGAGAACAGAAACTAAAAATTCAGCAATTTTTCTATTTGTAAACACGCATAACTCTAGAACGGTTGTGTATAAGTTTTATAACATTTGGTTGAGACAAACTAAAGTAAGAGAACGGAAACGAAAAATTCAGCAATTTTTATGTTTATAAAGGGACATAACTCAAGAATGGTAAAAGTGTCGCCACCAAATTTCGTACTTAATCTGTATTATGTAGTAATAAGCATTGTGTATAAGTTTCATAACATTTGGTTGAGGCAAACTAAAGTTAGAAAACGGAAACAAAAAATTTGTACTTGATCTTAGTTTTGTGGTAATGAATATTGTGTATAGGTTTCATAATGTTTGGTTGGGGCAAACTTAAGTTACAGAATGGAAACTAAACATTTTGCAATCTTGCGATTTATAAAGGGGCATAACTCAATAATGGTTCAAGTGACACTACCCAAATTCAACTTGATCTGTGTTTTATCAGTGGAAGTCAAAATTAAACATTGCATTGTATAAAGCTTTGATTGTAGTTGATTCAACTATAATCATGGACAAAGGAAGATAACTCCAATTTAAAAATTACTTGATATTTAGAAGAAAATAAAAATTTTGCAATTTTTCCATTTATAAAGGGGCATAACTCTAGAACGGTTAAAGTGACGCCACCAAAATTCAAACTTGATCTGTGTTTCGTGGTAATAAGCATTTTGTATAAGTTTCATAACATTTGGTTGAGGCAAACTTAAGTGAGAGAAACGGAAACCAATTTTGGGACGTACGTACGTACAGACGGACAAGGGTAAAACTTAATGCCCACAACGCTTGGGCGGCGGCATAAAAAATGTTTACATGTTCTGCTGTTGGTCTCATCTTCTGAATTACAATTCAAGTAGTAATCCTAGAGCTTTCTGTATCATGTACGATCAGCTGACCTCAACAATATAATTTTTTTTCTGTATTATATGTTTACTTCACTATGTTTACCCTATATCTTTTGTTTAACATTTGCTTTCATATTGGATTTCGAATTGAAATGTTAAAAATTGTGCCCCATTCAACAACTTAAAACGTACCTCATGATATATATCATCATTTTTTGGTATATCTTGCTCTCTTCTTGGTAGGATGTGAACATGAACATGCTGAAATAAAAAATCAGTTGTATTACACATGTTGAATACAGAGAGTGTGATACACAACAGTATAATTTTTTTCAAATTATTTATAAATCAAGGAAAGAATAGGTGGCTTTTAAGTTTCCTTTCACTGTACTACTTTCTTTGTATCACAAAAAATATTTTGATTTCCTTGTACAAATCTTTAGAAATATAAGGACAAAATATTTAAGGTTCTCAATATAATTTGTTAAAAGTATTACATCTATTAGGTAACTGTAGCAATTACAAAAAATACAGTTGATTATTTAATATCATTGGATGCAATTTCTGAAGCTATACATTAACTGACTGAACTATTTGACTTAAACAAAAAAGTGAATCATAGGGTTTAGTTTGTCTTCAATTTGATATGCATTTTGCAATCTATTGGTCTGTCATATTTTTCAATTAATTTTTCTTTAAAGTTGAAGACACAATTTTATATTTTTACCTATTCATAGATTAAGGTGAATATATTGTTAAGTTACCTTAATTGTTTGTCCAGCATCTTTCCCATCCTGAACAGCAACTGTCAATGATGTCCCATTGAAATGTTTTTTGATTACATTGGATACAGTTTGAACTGTGTTGAACATATCTGATATTTCTGTGGGTGACAAGTCACACAGTCTCTCTGCTGGTCTTAAAGAGGCAATTAGTACATGTACATTGAAGTTAGGGAAAAGGAATTGATAAAGTTAACTTTAAAAAAAAACTGAGTCTCTGAGGTAAAGGAAATCTAAAACTGACAGATTCACAAAAAAGTAAATGATTAAATATCATGAGTAACAATTTTAGGGGTTTGAGGAACATTTAATGTTGTCAGATCACATAAGTTTACAGAATTAACCGCCTGCTAATTTCATGGCTTTCAAGAATTTGTATTTTATTGAAAGCTAAATTTTCTGGGTTTTTCGCTATCAACTATGACTAAATATTAATATTCCAATGAGTACCTTAACTTGAGATTTTATCATCTCTGTCATTATAACTAAAGGTACCTGGAATTTACACTTTATTGACCACTGAATTTTGTGTTTGTGTTTGCTAATGAAAAACATTGAATAAGTCTAAAACTTGAATACATTTTCAGCTGAATTCTCTTAAAATGTTAAAATTCATCTTATCATTGTTTTGTTTATTTGGTAAATCCCATTGTTACTTTTATAATCTCCATGTACTAAGGACTCTGATATCCACTTTATCTATGTTTTTTAAAAAGGATATGACCAGGAAGAACTGGTTTTATATTCACAAAAGCATAACTTAATTTTGTTTTATAGAAAACTTGGTTGTTTTTAATCCAACAATGTCCAAACTGATACTTCTCTTCATTATCAATACAACAGCCTGTACCTGAAAAGAAATCTACTGGTTTAACTAAGTTCCAATGAACATGACTATTTATAGAATATCAAACCTGGTTAAAATAAAGCTTCAATGAGTTATTTGGGTTTATGAAGAAATAAGTGATTTGTCCAAAATGAGACATATCTTATCTCCCCATAGTCAAAACAAGAAGTTTTGTAGTAAAGAAACATAGAAACAAGAAATGAGCTGTAAGATTGAAAGCAAATCTGGTTTTCTTGATTGTGAAGGTTTTAAACCATTGTTGAACTAAATAATAGGGTACCATTGAACAGTTCACAACAGAAAGTGCCATTTTCCAAGCAATCAAGGATTATAATTCCTGAACGACAGAAGTGAAATTGATCCATGTCAATCATGACTTCCATTTTGTGATCAGTAACAAAATATTAAAATTTTAAAAGAATATGTTAAACTGTTCTGAAGTTATTGCACAGAAACAACATGAGTGCCATTTTCCAATCAATCAATCAATCAAGAACTATAACTCCTGAAGGACAAAACTGAAAATCCTCAAAATCCAATTTGACGTCTATTTTGTGACCTGTAACAACATACAGTTAACCATTATGGTGGCCTCTCAGTATCTCAAAAACGATGAGACAGTGATAAAATTTTGAGTTAACCGATGTTTGAGGAAAAATCAACCAAGGGGGAAAACTTGAATTCATGAAGTAAACTAGTCTTGCATATCCTGTTAATCTGATCATACATTGTATACTAGTGGACAATGATCCAAATCACATCTTCACAGAGAAGATGTTTTTGTAGTTTTTAAATGCTACTTTTATTATTTTGCAACTTTTTAAATTTTTTAAGTGTGGAAAGTTGTCTTGATGAAGCCACTTTGTTGTTACATGTACACATATTCTATTACCATATTTTAGTGTCTTACTACTTTTTGTTGCTGTGCTTGTTCATTGAATAATATAAGTTTAATGGTTTGTTACTGACACCCTATGGATCCATAGAGGGTTAGTAAAATTCATAGGTGAGGCTGTAGGCTGAATCCCCTATGGATTTTACTTACCCTCTATGGATACGTATGGGGTCATTAGCGAACTGTATAAAGAATTTATTGCACAGCAGACTTTTTCCTTCCCAAGTTTTTGTTTAAAATGTTAAAAAATAAACAATGAAATACAATAACAATACAGGTAGACATGACATCATGATACCCCTATGAAATCTACTGACCCCTACAGATCCATAAGGGTCACTACCTGACAGCGTTAAACCAATCACATCGTCACCAGTTTACATGAGGTGCAATTATAGTGTCAGATACAGCTTTCCTTAACCAAACTTAATAATTTTTAATAAAAGCTGCCTCTGGAATGTAAATACAGTATATATTATTAGTTTGTTTGAATACTCCATGCTTTATACCCACTCAAAAATAACCATATGCAAATGAGTCACCTTTTTTCACATTTCATGACATAAAATTTAGGACAATCAATTGATGCAAACAATCTGATTATTTTAATTGAGCGTGCAAAAGGTAGACAATACATTTGTTTTACAATCTAATAAAGTTTTATATAAACAAAGTTATTGATTATAGGATGAAGTTGTGAGGATATTTATTATAGCAACGATTTTTGATGGGTGTAAAAAATTAAAACAAAAACAAATTGACATTATTTATCATACTTACCAACTGTGGATTAAGATAGAGTCAAGTGGACTGTAGATTCATTTAGAGTCCAGCAAAATTCCGATTATCAACTCAAGAGTAAATCAATATATATAAAACTTGAAAGGAATTGGTTAAGTTTATAAGTTAAAGCATGGGAACAGCTGGAGCTGCCCAAATCTGTGTGCAAACCCTCAAATCAATAACCAGATTTCTGTCGGACAACTCAGTTAAAAACAAATTGAACAGACCACAATATAGATATTACCCCCATACTTCTTTTTAAATAATGAAGATGTTTTATAATATAGGATCATATAGCAGTGCAAGGTAATAAGTCATCTTATATTCCTGTAAACTTTACATTACTTTTTGATAAATTTTGTATTTCTCCATATAAGTCTGGTCTTCTATGACTCCATATTGGCATATTGGCTCTGACACTTTTGAGATAGGAAAGATCTATTTCTGCTACACAGACATCTGTACCTTCTTTACACTGTGCAATTACTGCTCCCCATGGGTCTACTACCTGATTTGTAAAATATCAATTCTATTTATCGAAAATTCTAAAGTACAAGTTCATTGATCAATGAAGAGTAAGAAAAAAGTGTTTTTTTTTCTATTTAGTCCATCTGCTTAGTCCTTTGGTGGATTTAGAAGGTTAAATCTATCAACCTCTACACAAAATATTATTATGATTTTTTTTCTACTGAGATGTCAGAACAGACTGGTATAACTACATGCAAATGATAATCTTTGCGGTTGTCTTTAGTTATCTTTTAGGGAATTTAGTGTTGAAGCCAGTTTTTTTTTGTAGTCCCATTTAATTTATCCCCCTTTTCAAACTCTGGTTAATTTAGAGCTAGTCATATTGAATAGACAATCTATTATTGGTAAATTCTAATGTTGATCTTCAGATGTCTTTTCAATTTTGACAAAAACTTTTTTTATTGGGTTGCTGTCTCAATGATGTAGTCCAAAATATAATGAAATTCGAAGGGATACTATAGGGACAGTCTCTTGTATTAATCTTAAGTTTATCTTATATGGGGACAGTTTAAAGTCTGATGAGGACAATATGCAAATATTTCATAAAGTTTCTGAATATATAAATAAAACAAAACGTTTTGAAAGTTGACCTTATATATGTTTTTATTAGTTATATAAATTGATGTCAAATCGAGTGGATTGCCTGTAATCGACTATAATCGGACATGTGTGGTGGTTCCAGTGACTGTCAATCAAGAAAGTAAGTTTACTGTTTCGTTGGTTTTTTTATTATTATTTGTTATTTTTTTTTGTTTTTTTTTTTGTATTTATTCAAATTTATTATATGCTACCTTAAACTGAATATACTGTTGGCATGTCATATTGTTTGTTAAATAGATGTTATTTTTTTTTTGGGAGACGGATTTATAAAAGTTTTTCCAAACTTGTTTCCGAATCCCATATTTGAATTACATGTAACATCGTAATACTTTATTGTTTTTTTTAATTTTTCATTAATAAAAACTGTTTAAACTAATGATGTATTCGGCATATATTACTGTTTATTCATATGATACTAGGTATAGTATATCACATCTCCTTTTTAGCTCACCGGGGCCCAAAGGGCCCCATGTGAGCTTATGCCATCACTTGGCGTCCGTCGTCGTCCGTCGTCCGTCGTCGTAAACTATTTCAAAAATCTTCTCCTCTGAAACTACTGGGCCAAATAACTTCAAACTTTAACTAAATGTTCCTTAGGGTATCTAGTTTATAAATTGTATCCGAAGTTTTGATCCATAGACAAACATGGCTGCCATGGCTAAAAATAGAACATAGGGGTCAAATGCAGTTTTTTGCTTATATCTCAAAAACTAAAGCTTTTAGAGCAAATCTGACATGGGGTAAAATTGTTCAATTGGTCAAGATCTATCAGCCCTGAAATTTTCAGACGAATCGAACAACTCATTGTTGGGTTGCTGCCACTTAATTGATAGTTTTAAGGAAATTTTGCAGTTTTTTGTTATTATCTTGAATATTATTATAGATAGATATAAACTGTAAACAGCAATAATGTTCAGCAAAGTAAGATCTACAAAAAAGTTTCTATGACCAAAATTGTCAATCGACTCCTTAAGGAGTTATTGCCCTTTAAAGACAATTTTACACAATTTGTTCATCAAGTTTGCTAACATTTAAAAATCTTCTCCTCTGAAACTACTGGGCCAAATACCTTCAAACTTCATCTAAATGTTCCTTAGGATATCTAGTTTATAAATTGTATCCGAAGTTTTAATCCATAGACAAACATGGCTGCCATGGCTAAAAATAGAACATAGGGGTCAAATGCAGTTTTTGGCTTATATCTCCAAAACTAAAGCTTTTAGAGCAAATCTGACATGGGTTAAATTGTTCAATTGGTCAAGATCTATCAGCCCTGATATTTTCAGACAAATCGAACAACCCATTGTTGGGTTGCTGCCACTAAATTGGTAGTTTTGAGGAAATTTTGCAGTTTTTTGTTGTTATCTTGAATATTATTATAGATAGATATAAACTGTTAACAGCAATAATGTTCAGCAAAGTAAGATCTACAGAAAAGTTAAATGACCAAATTTGTCAATTGACCCCTTAAGGAGTTATTGCCCTTTAAAGACAATTTTACGAAATGTGTTCATCAAGTTTGCTAACATTTAAAAATCTTCTCTTCTGAAAATTTGTGCCTAATACTTCTTAACTTTGAATGAATGTTCCTTTAGGAATCTAGTTTATGAATTGTATCCGAAATTTTGATCCATCAACAAACATGGCCGCCATGGCTAAAAATAGAACATAGTGGTGTAATGCAGTTTTTGGCTTATATCTCAGAAACTAAAGCATTTAGAGCAAATCTCACAAGGAATTAAAATGTTCAAAAGGTCAAGATCTATCAGCCCTGAAATTTTTAGACACACGGAACAACCCATTGTTGGGTTGCTGCCACTAAATTGGTTGTTTTAAGGAAATTTTGCAGTTTTTGGTTATTATCTTGAATATTATTGAAGATAAAGATAAACTGTAAACAGCAAAAATGTTCAGCAAAGTAAGATCTTCAAAAAAGTTTATATGACCAAAATTGTCAATTGACCCCTTAAGGAGTTATTGCCCTTTAAGGACAATTTTACACAAGTTGTTTTATGTTTTTTAACTTTAAAAATCTTCTCAAATGAATCTAGTATAAATTTTGTATTTCATTTCCTTGTACGTCAAGAAACATAGACACTATGGCTAAAATTGAACATATGGGTAAAAAGCAAAAATAATCATTGATGAAAGATTTAAGCAAAAAAAATAAAATGCTTCGCTGGGGCGCAGCTTGATACGACCGCAGAGGTCGAACCCTGAACAGTTGGGGCAAGTATGGACACAACATTCAAGCTTGATACAGCTCTGAATTTGGATTGTTATTAAATATTTGACACAGCATAGGTTTCTGACACAGAAAGAATGTGGTCTAAGAACTTGAATTTTTTTAATTTACCTATTATGGTCCAATGTCCAAAATCAAAATACATGGTTAGATTCAGCATATCAAAGAACCCCATATATTCAATTTTTGTTAAAATCAAACAAAGTTTAATTTTGGACCCCAACTTGGACAAACTTGAAAACTGGGCCCATAATCAAAAATCTAAACACATGTTTAGATTCAGCATATCAAAGAACCCCAAGAATTCAATTTTTGCTAAAATCAAACTAAGTTTAATTTTGGACCCTTTGGACCTTAATGTAGACCAATTTAAAAAACAGGACTTAAAATTAAAAATCTAAATACATGGTTAGATTTGGAATATCAAAGAACCCCAATAATTCAATTTTTGATGAAATCAAACAAAGTTTAATTTTGGAACCTTTTGACCTCAATATGAACCAATTTGATAGCGGGGCCCACAAATAAAAAATTCTAAATTCATGGTTAGATTCAGCATATCAAAGAACCCCATATATTCAATTTTTGTTGAAATAAAAAAAAGTTTAATTTTGGACCCCAACTTGGACCAACTTGAAAACTGGGCCCATAATCAAAAATCTAAACACATGTTTAGATTCAGCATATCAAAGAACCCCAAGAATTCAATTTTTGTTAAAATCAAACTAAGTTTAATTTTGGACCCTTTGGACCTCAATGAAGACCAATTTAAAAAACGGAACCCAAATTAAAAATCTAAAAACACGGTTAGATTTGGCATATCAAAGAACCCCAATAATTCAATTTTCGATGAAATCAAACAAAGTTTAATTTTGGACCCTTTTGACCTCAATATGAACCAATTTGATAGCGGGGCCTACAAATAAAATATCTAAATACATGGTTAGATTCAGCATATCAAAGAACCTCATATATTCAATTTTTGTTGAAATCAAACAAAGTTTAATTTTGGACCCCAATTTGGACCAACTTGAAAACTGGGCCCATAATCAAAAATCTAAATACATGTTTAGATTCAGCATATCAAAGAACCCCATATATTCAATTTTTGTTGAAATCAAACAAAGTTTAAATACTGGACCCTATCTTGGACCAACTTGAAAACTGGGCCCATAATCAAAAATCTAAACACATGTTTAGATTCAGCAAATCAAAGAACCCCAAGAATTAAATTTTTGTCAAAATCAAACTAAGTTTAATTTTGGACCCTTTGGACCTCAATGTAGACCAATTTAAAAAACAGGACCCAAAATTAAAAACCTAAATACACGGTTAGATTTGGAATATCAAAGAACCCCAATAATTCAATTTTAGATGAAATCAAACAAAGTTTAATTTTGGACCCTTTTGACCTCAATATGAACCAATTAGATAACGGGGTCCACAAATAAAAAATCTAAATACATGGTTAGATTCAGCATATCAAAGAACCCCATATATTCAATTTTTGTTGAAATCAAACAAAGTTTAATTTTGGACCCCAATTTGGACCAACTTGAAAACTGGGCCAAAAATCAAAAATCTAAATACATGGTTAGATTCAGCATATCAAAGAACCTCATATATTCAATTTTTGCTAAAATCAAACAAAGTTTAATTTTGGACCCTTTGGACATTAATGTAGACCAATTTGAAAACTGGACCCAAAATTAAAAATCTAAATACACTGTTAGATTCGGCATAACAAATAAATAAATGTGATCAAAGATTTTACAAATCTAATGCGCCATACTGTGCAATTAAAGATTACTTCTTGAAATTTTTCAATATTTGAAATTTGAAAAAAAAATAATATTTGAAGAATCATTCTTTTTAATTTCTGAAATCTGAAATGAGAAAAAATTGGCCCCCCACAATTTCTTTTTATCCCCCCCCCCCCCCTTTTTCCCCCAAAAAAATTCTTTCCCTCAAGATATGGTCATAATCTCAATTCAAATTTCCAATAATAGAATTAATAAAAATATAGTGTCAAATCTTTCATATGGATTTTTTTGTAAAAAAAAAAGATGAAAACATTTGCAGATATTTTTACTGGTCTTCCTTTATAAATATGCATTTCTTTAAACATAATTTAAAAGCAGTGTAAGGGAAGTAATCAAAACGTTGTATTTGGATTACCTCCCTTACACTGTTTTAGATTATCTTTATTGTTCATTAACCATTACTTTATACATAATTTAAAAGCAGTGTAAGGGAGATAATTTCAATGATGTATTTGATTTATCTCCCTTACACTGCTTTAAATTATGTTTTGTACTAAAGTATTTGTCCATTAACCAGGACAACCTTGTTTTTCCCCCTTTTTTGCCCGTAATTCCTAAACGGTTTGAGCCATAACCCCCCAAAGCAAATCCTAACCATCCCTTTGTGGTATGGAAACTTGTAGTATAATTTCAGAGAGATCCATACACCGTTCCACAGTTATTGTCTGGAAACTAGAAAATGCTCATTTTTGGCCCCTTTTTGGCCCCTAATTCCTTAACTGTTGGTACCATAACCCCCAAAATCAATCCCAACCTTCCTTTTGTGGTATTTAACTTTATGGTCAAATTTCAAAAAGATCCATTCACTTAAACTAAAGTTAGAGTGCGAAAACCAATATGTATTCGGACGCCAACGTCATACCAATATACGACCACAAAATTTTTTTGCGGTCGTATAATAACAGGTGAGCGATTCAGGCTCTTGAGAGCCTCTTGTTTACATAGATAAATTACCATAGCATGACCATAGGATTGTCTTTTTTCATTATGTTTACCAGTCTGAGCTGCTGCTACCACATAACACTGTGTCTCTATAGCTTTACTTCGTAGTAAAACCTAAAACATATCATGTTAATTACCATAGAACCACATTGACTTGTTTTTAAAAAACCTCTTTTAAAAAAAAAAAACACTTTCAAAGACAAATTAAATCTTTTACCTTTGTTTTTTCATCTGAAAAGATATAAAATTTGAAGAAAATTGCTTAGTCCTATAACTGTCACATAAGATTTTGCCTTTTGCTTCCTTTACAATTTTAGGTGTTTTGTCACTGTACAATCAAAGGAGTAGATGAGTAAATTGATGCGATAAAAGTTTATAAATATATATGTATTATCTATACAGATCATTTCAGCTGATCAACTTCTTGATTGACAATTTCAAATATAACTCATTATTGTTGTTAACAATCAGATATTGAATTCAAATGTTTTTTTTTTTATTAAGTTACTTTGCATTTACCAACCCATAATTATAATGTGGTACATGTAGTAAGGGTATGAATGAGAAAGCAGAACAGAACTTTTTTTCAAAACAAATATGTAAATGGCGAAGACAAACTTCAACTACTGTATCAAAATTACAGAATCAATAATTAATCTGGAAAAATAAAATGGAAAAAAAATATAAATAATTCTATGTTCTGTTGTTTGTCTACAAAAATATGAAATATGTTCAAGCTTTTCTGTGCTCTCTCTGTTTTTTCAAAAAAACATTTCATGTTGCACTCTCTCTTATCTTAAATTTTTTACCCCACCTGATGAAGGAAATTAAGTTAAAATTTCTTAATTTGATTTACCCTCTTCCTATTTCATGTATTTGTTTTGTGTCTAAAACAAACTACTGTACATTCATTTTCTTGGGTATTGATAATATATTGTATTTTCATGGATAATTAATTTCAAGGTTTTCTACAAACAAGCTTACACGAAAGAAATCCAAAGAAATAGTTTAATAATAGTACTTATCCTTCAAATTATAATGATTCAAATGTTTCTACATGAACTGTAAAATAATTGTATTCAAGTTACTTGTGTAATTGAAGTTGAAGTTTCTTTGTATATTTTTCTCATTGATGGTATCTACACAGTTTGTGTGTAAATCTTAATAACCAATAAGTTATCCTTGTTGGAACTGTGAATGCTGATTAATACATTAGTATTACCAACTCACATGTGAGTTATCCTTGTGGGGATTGATTTATGTTTCAGTAACCATTGCCTGCCTCCAAGTGAGCCCTCCCTGTGTTGACTGTGAAATCTGAGGGATATATCATTATTACCTTCTTTCCAGTGAGCCATCCCTGTTGGAACTGTGAATGCTAAGGGATGCTCGGTATCACCTTCTTTTCAGTGAGCCATCCCTGTTGGGACTGTGAATGCTAAGGGATGCTTCGGTATCACCTTCTTTCCAGTGAGCCATCCCTGTTGGGACTGTGAATGCTGAGGGATACTTCATTATTACCTACTTCCCAGTGAGCCATCCCTGTTGGGACTGTGAATGCTAAAGGATACTTCCTTATTATCTACTTCTGAGTGAGCCATCCCTGTTGGGACTGTGAATGCTAAGGGACACTTTATTATTACCTACTTCCCAGTTAGCCATCCCTGTTGGGACTGTGAATGCTAAGGGATACTTCATTATAACCTACTTCCCAGTTAGCCATCCCTGTTGGGACTGTGAATGCTAAGGGATACTTCATTATTACCTACTTCCCAGTGAGCCATCCTTGTTGGGACTGTGAATGCTAAGGGATACTTCCTTATTATCTACTTCTGAGTGAGCCATCCCTGTTGGGACTGTGAATGCTAAGGGATACTTCATTATTACTTACTTCCCAGTTAGCCATCCCTGTTGGGACTGTGAATGCTAAGAGATACTTCATTATTACCTACTTCCCAGTTAGCCATCCCTGTTGGGACTGTGAATGCTAAGAGATACTTCATTATTACCTACTTCCCAGTGAGCCATCCCTGTTGGGACTGTGAATGCTAAGAGATACTTCATTATTACCTACTTCCCAGTGAGCCATCCCTGTTGGGACTGTGAATGCTAAGGGATACTTCATTATTACCTACTTCCCAGTTAGCCATCCCTGTTGGGACTGTGAATGCTAAGGGATACTTCATTATTACCTACTTCCCAGTGAGCCATCCCTGTTGGGACTGTGAATGCTAAGGGATACTTCATTATTACCTACTTCCCAGTGAGCCATCCCTGTTGGGACTGTGAATGCTGAGGGATATGTTAGTATATCTGCTCCTTCTTTAGCTAAAGCTGTAGACATTTCTGGAAATCTTAAATCATAACACTTATTGAATTAAGGAAAACATTTATGTCGACATTTCCTATAAAAGTCTAGAGTCTAGAGGTAGCCCATATTATTGTCTGTTAACTTGTTATTGTTAGGATTATATAGTCCTTATTTTGACAAATGACAGAAATTGCAGGTAGACTGAATTATGTTTATATGTAAAATAATTACATTTGCAAATGTTCTTCAAAGATTAATATAACCCTTATTAATAAAGAACATTAGACATTTCTGGTTTAATTTACAAACTGCAAGGGGCTGTCTCAATTTGTCCTTAGTGAATAACTATTAAGACAAAGACCAGTAATCAAGAGATATATGTCCTTGATTACTAGAACTGCAAGAAAGTTGATTTTAATCTAACAATATATTATATAAATTTGGTTTAAAATACCATTTAAAATGGCATAATGAATTTGAAGAATGTTCAGAAACTGACATAAAGTCCTCTAAAATAGACCAACAAACTTGGCCTTATCATACATCTTCATATACTAGATAGAAAAGATACAATAGAGAGTCCAACTTTCCCAACAGGTGTTTCCACTGGTGATACCATTGTGTCCCCAGGAACAGTATAATCACTCTCACATAGTCTAACCTTCCCTGGTATGTCAAGGTCAAATAAATGAGTTTTATTGTAGGTAGATTTTATCTCACCATTGTTATCTATCATCACATGTGTGTTCAGCACTCTTTTCTCATCTTTAACCTGAAATATTGATGTATAAAAATAAAACTGAAAAACTGAGAAAATTTTTTACTTCTTAAATGCAATACCAGGTAAAACAAACTTCTTTTTATGTGTTTTTTGCTGTGCATGTACTTATTTTGTGTCATGGATGGATACCCCATATCCTTTGTTTTTCTATTAATTCTACAAATTCAATCATATAGTGTATTGTTTATCTACTGACTGATTATATGACATCTTTATATTCAAAATCTTTTAAACAAGGAATTATTTGAAACTAAAAAACTTTGGAAGAAATCTTGGATATAGATATAGTTTATTTTTGAACTAGTAAAGGGCTATTACTCTGGTGACAGATGTATTGATTTATTCCTGAAATTTCAAAGGAGTGCTGTCTCATGTGCATCCTCCTGAAACCCCTTCTATATGCTGTAGGGATGCATACATTGTGTTTTAGGTGTATTCTCTCTCTTATTTGCCAGTTTTCATGAGATAATTATTCTTAGTTTAAGTCATACTTTTTTTTATCATACTATATCTATAAGTTCTGAGGCAAGAATTAGAACATTCAACCTAACCAAGATAAAAAGTTTGCCCTGATGTTGCCACCAACATCCCCCCCCCCCACATCCCCAACAAAAAAGAAATCCTACTACTTATTACAGATATACAATCTCAAACAACTTTAAAACTTATGTCAATTAAGCATGAAATATAACTAAGTAACTGTGTCCAACTTTACCCCCAATGCTGACCTACTCCCCATATGTATATTTACTCAAGTTATGATGATCCTATTAATTACAGTTATCAGGATATCAGCTCAGGCATTAAAACTTAACCATAGTCAATGAGTCTTGAAGTATATTTAAAATAAACTAAAAAGGTGGACATTTGGTAAAAAGCTCATGAAACTTCTTGTTTACCTTCTGGTGGGGTCCCCCAACTGGTATAAAGTTAGTTAACCTTCTGGTGGAATCCCCAAACTAGTATAAAGTTAGTTTACCATCTTGTGGAATCCCCAAATTGACATCAAGTTAGTTTACCTTCTGTTGGAATCCCCCAACTGATATAAAGTTTGTTTACCTTCTGGTGGAATCCCCAAACTAGTATAAAGTTAGTTTACCATCTTGTGGAATCCCCAAATTGACATCAAGTTAGTTTACCTTCTGGTGGAATCCCCCAACTGATATAAAGTTTGTTTACCTTCTGGTGGAATCCCCAAACTAGTATAAAGTTAGTTTACCATCTTGTGGAATCCCCAAATTGACATCAAGTTAGTTTACCTTCTGGTGGAATCCCCCAACTGATATAAAGTTTGTTTACCTTCTGGTGGAATCCCCAAACTATTATAAAGTTAGTTAACCATCTTGTGGAATCCCCAAATTGACATCAAGTTAGTTTACCTTCTGGTGGAATCTCCCAACTGATATAAATTGTGTTTACCTTCTGGTGGAATCTCCCAACTGATATCAATTTTGATTACCTTCTGGTGGAATCCCCCAACAGATATCCATACTCCTAGCTGCTTTGCTAAATCTTGATATTTGGATATAGTTATACCATCAAGATCCTCTGCCATGTCTATACTCTGTTGTTTAGATTCGCCAATATAATCTACTGCTTCTGGTAAAAATATAACCTAAAATCAAAGAAACATTATATCTATCCAATAGATGTGTTGTTGATTTTTTTTTTGTGTTGCTGAGTGTCTTCCTCGTTAAAGTACATCTCATGTCCCCTTTTACAACATGTATTTATACTTAAGTGTGGTGGCATTCATTTTGCCTAATCTTAAGCTTTTTGTGTTCTGTGGACTGTTCTTAACCTTTTGGCTATGGTGTTCAGTTCTGTTTTTCTTGAACTATGATTTCTGATTGTCCTTTTGGTACCATCATTGGTATCTTTTTCTTCTTTTCTTATACAGTCAATCTCATAATGGTTATGGTTTATCAATACTGAAGCAAATGAATGATTTTAAATTGCAGTATAATTTCCACCAAACATGTAAGCCTGTAGCAGCATGTTGTGCACTCTTTTTAATAGTACTTTAAGACAGGTTTTGTAGTGCTAACTTAGATCCATTGTTTCTCAAGTACAAAACTGTACAAACTTTGAAGTATTGCCTTTAAAGCCATCAAAACAAAAAAAATCTTATTTTATTCCTAAATACAAACCTTTGCACCTTTGTTCTTTGCCCTTTCTATCAAACTTCTAGAAATCTGGAAATTTTTGTCTTTATCCACTGTACAGGTCAATTGACATACTCCAATGATAGGATTAGGCTGTTCTAGGTTTCTGGCATTATTGGCAGACATTGTTGTTAGGTATTTATAACGAGCAAATGTCAAACTTTGAGATCTCCACAATGTTCTTATACTATGATAAATAATCTTCATCTGCGGTACATCTACTATAAAACATAAACTGCTCTAAAGACAGACTATCTAAATTTATCATATGCAATTATTTAACATAAAGATAAGCATGATAAGTATATTAAGATAAAACTGTGAAAGGATTTAAAAATAGAAAGTAAGAAACACAACTGAAATTCAGTAAAAATTAATCATAGTCTTGCACTTGATTTTTCTAAAATAAGTGTAAATAAAGGCAATATCTTTAACAAGGATTTATATAAAAATCTTTTGTTTTAACGACTCCTCCTGAATCTACTGTCATGCATTCCTACTTTTTAGTTAGATTGTGAACACAATTGGAATGAAGTGTTGGTAATATATATATTTATAAGGTGTTATTTAATTCCAAAATTCCTAAATACATTTTACCTCATCGTCATTTAAGAGTCATGAACTCCAGTAATTACCACTCACATATATAAGGTTTCATCAATCCAATTGGGTTGGGGAGACTTATGTAAAATGTACCTTAACCGGAGACTTAAAATTATACAATTTTCATGATATTGGTATTTATATAACTCTGCCTAAATGCATTCATCCCTGCTGAAAATCTGGACAACATTATTGCTTTCACAAACATGGCAAAGAGATCATTAAACCAACTGGTTAAAACATTTCTTTACTATGCAAATAATAATAAATAATTGAACAGTACCTAATTTTGGGTATTATCGTCATTAAAACAAGCAATATAAACTTTCTAAAATAATATTATCATCTTAATGTATAGTTTTTTAGTGGTTGAACATATTATAGACCTTGTAGCTATTTGGGATTCTGCAACATTTTACTATCCATTGTATTGTCATACATAAAAACAAAAAAAATATTTTGCTCTACAGCGTCAGTCTATTTCTCTTGTAACATCGAAATTTAAGGCAACATGAGACATCTGCAATATTAAGTTATCGCCAACATGAAGAAAAGTGTTTATCTGGGCTAAAATATCTAAACCTTGGGTGTGTTTTTTGTTCTTGGCCGTGAGCCAGAAGAGGTTTGCATTGAGAAGATCTTCTGGCTCTCTTCTACCTCTTCCTTTTAAAAAGGTAGTTTAGACGACAGAGGCACATAACAAACATGGCGTTGTTTAGTCTAAATGACATTAATAAATATATGAATGCAGATATAATAGAATATGAGCTGAGTGATAAACTTTTTTATGGTATTGCAGCCTTAGAGGACATCCCTGATAAGCTGTCTAAATATAAGAACCACACGGACAATAACAGCAAGAGGACGACTATTTGATATTCTTGGGTGGGGAGGGGGACAGGAAAATTTTTAGCAGATTTATTATTTATTTTAATCTGTCGCTAATATTAGTAATAATGTCCATTTTTCAGCTCTTACCTGTTACCAGGCCACCATATTCATATTCAAAATCCTCCTGTCCCCAACCCAACCCCAAAACAATAAATATCAAATGGTTTTTCCCTTATTTAACACAAACCAGTAGACTGCGTACTCTAATTAGTGTTCTACTCAGCCAGGAGACAGAAACCAGTGCAGAAACAGAAAGTGAAAGTTGGCAAATAGTGAAAATACCGGATGTTACACAATAATAACGAAATCGGAAACGGTGTATGCTGGTTAGGTTCGGGTTTGGGTTGTGCAAGCAATTTCTCTTCAGAACTGTTACAACCAATTGAACTGTATATATATAAGCAAAAATCAGTTTAAATAAGAATGGATGGAACTGGTTCACATGTATGTCCACAAAAGACAAGTTTGAAAGATATTAACAAGTCAGTAATGATAAATACAACTACAATAATAATAACGATGATAATTAATAAATTCTTTATTTAACGAAGGTATCTCATTTAACAATGACATGTTGATCTTCCCTAAGGCCTTCAAAAAACAATCCAAGTGCTTCAAAGTGATGAAATGTGTTTTAACTGTATAAAGAAACTGAAAAGATTCGTTTTAGAAATTTTCAAGAAACTAAGATTCCAACTCCCGTAGACAAAGTTTACGTTCGATTAATTTGACTATATGTCGCCTTTGTTCGTTTAGCTCCTCACATAACGTTTTTTGAGCTACCCGAGGAAGGAAAATTCAGAACAGAGCTTCAGATGTGAACAATTTATCAACAGCGGGGTTTTCTTCAATTAAGAACATTCTATTGCAATTACTGATTTACAGAGATTGAAAATCCTGCTACTTCCCATGTCCATGTATCTAAAACAAATTTCGAAGTAAGAGACCAAACTATTTATTTATGAAAAAATCAATATTGACATTTTTCTTCTATCACAATTTTAATTTAGTGTTCACTTTTAGTGGTTCAAATGGGAGCGACCAAAGAAAATGATGGAGGTAAATCAAATACTGACATCTGGAACTAATTCATCTATTGGTTTAAGCTGACATTGAGTAAAACTCTAGTCATTTTCTGCATCAGATCACCCAAATCATCAAAATCTTATTGCATGGAGTCACATGTTGAAATGCATTAATTTATTTGTTGACAACTTCTGATCAGTGACACTGACTTTTCGTCAGAAGTGTAAATAGTATATCAACTTTAAAAATGCCAATGCTATTTTACTTACTGAATGAACTTAATTATCAAACTTCTGATGATTATTTGAATAGTGTTGCTGTTATGTATATTAGAGCGTTTAATATCTTTTTAAATAAGATTTCGCTCGACTTCCTTCTTTTTAATCACAATAACATCTGATTATAAAATTACGAAATAATTAATTGGCGAGTCCCAGCATTTCATCTCTGTTTGAAAAATAATCATTTGTATGCCAGAAAATTACATCAACATAAACTGTTTCTCATAAACTTTAATATTTATACCATCCAATAATTGTCTGCCTGATATATATCGCTTCTTTCATGAGCTTTACTTAACATTTTGTTGGTGGAAACAATGTTAGAAAAAAAATTTACGGAATTTTCCTTTTAAAGGTAGGAACAATTTTGTTTTTGTTTTCTTTCTATTTGTTCGGGTATTTTATTTCAAAACCTTTTTCAAATCTGACCGTTTGGCCAAACACTGAATTGATTAAATATTCGTTGGAATTAACATTTAGTGAGAAACAGGTTTCCGTCGTTATATCTTGAGTCCAAAGGCGACACGTTATCTTTTATTTCCTTCTTATATACAGTATCATGCATAAAATGACTCGAAAATATTAAAACAGTGTCTATGAATTAACGGAAATTTTTTTTTGGAATAAAAACAAAAGTCAGTCCTATATAAATCTGAGACTACTATATAACAGTAGTCTCAGTATATACGAATTACTCACCATTTTTTTTTAAATCTGTTAGGTATGAGTAAAAAATTAGAAATTATTGTATTATGTTCAAAGAAAAAAATCAACATAATTACCATGTACAACATTTTACAAAGTGCATGCGACAACAACCAAAGTAGTCATTTGGTCCAAAGTGACCCGGTAAGCGGATATATGTATATATTTTTATTAACTGTAATTTTAATTTGTATGTCCACTTACCATCGTAGTATATACACCTAAAAAGTATACAAAACAACACCAATATTAGATAAAAGGATGCAGTAAATAAAAGTATCAATAAATATTTTTGATAACAGATATCTTTCACTTGTATGATGTAAAATAAATCATATCAATCTATTTTGATTTTACTACAAACAATCTTAAACAAATTACACTTAATTAAAAACCGAACCATAGTTGTTTATTTCTAAAATTTCAAAGTTGACGCAGGTTAAGTATTAACAAAAGACTGTGTAGATATGCATGCATCCAAGATGACTATCACTATTGAAATTTCAGAATTATACAAGCTCAAATCGAAAGTGTTGTTTTTATTTATGATAAAAACAATAAACGAAAAGCAAATATGGCAGACAGCAACCAACGACAACCACTGAGTTACAGGCTCCTGACTTGGGACTTTCACTAAGATGGCACAGTGTTGTAGCAGCACAATATAAAATCAATTTGGAGGTGACTTGTCTGATCGCCGTGACACGAAGCACAAAAAAAATACAACCAACATAAAGAAAAAAAACACAGTGTATTAATTTAAGAGTACTTGCAGTTAATAAAAACTAGTTAAAAGCTAATTTCAACTAAAAAAGTCATCGTGTTTTCCGATACTTAAGTATTGAAAGCTTACGTCAACAGATATAAACAATTCACCAAAGTTTCATGAAAACTGCTGAAAGCATTTTTGAGTTATTGTCCGAAAACTGGAAAATCCCCCCTTTTTTAATGAATAAAACCCCATAACTCGGAAACCTAAGATCTAAAAGCTATAAAAACTGAAAGGGAGCTCATGTCAATAGATACAAACAATTCACCAAAGTTTCTTGCAAATTTGTGAAAGTGCTTTCGAGTTATTGTCCAAAAACTGGAAAATCCCCCTTTTTTAATGAATAAAACCCCACAACTCGGAAACGTAAAATCTAAAATTTATTGGGGTGTAAAAGCGTTGACCGAAGCACATTTTGTTTCCGCGCTTCATACACCTAAAAATGTGCGCACGGTCAACGCTTTTACAACCCTATAAAACTACTAGAAGCAGCATTCAATATTTATAATTATATTTTTTTCTAGGATCATGATACACGATTTCTATCAAGTTTTTCTTTTGTTTACCTGTGCACTTTATTGTGGAAGCTCGTGTCATCATGAATATTACATTTCATGTTGAATGAAGATTAATTTCAGAATGACGCGAGATTGTTGTAGCCAATCAAAATAACGTATTATAATGAAACATACATGTAATGTAATCATTAAAATACCAATTAGTACACATCCAACAGATTAAGTATAGAGACGTCATAAACAGCCTGAAAAAAAGCCATGTGCTATACCAAAATATAAGTATAGCGACCATAGTGGTTCTTAACTGCACGTATATCAAACTATCAATACATGTTTATTATAAAAATAAGGAGATGTGGTGTGATTGCCAATGAGACAACTATCCACCAAAGTTCAAATGAAGTCAATACTGATGGTAAAGGGATATTTTGTGCAAAATGTTTGTAATTTTTATTTCCCGTGATTACGTGATTAAGGGACGACATCAAAAGTTCAATGTAGGATAAAAAACTTGATTGATATAGATTTTTCCTGGACCCCCCACCCCCTTTTGTAACTTAGTTTGGAAAATATTGATTAATCGGTATAGCCATATGCCTTGAAAGAATGTTTTGAATGCATTTTAGCATGCAATATCATGAGTGTCGTTTCATTAACAATGATTGATTGTTAGTTGCTTAACATTCAGCGCAGGCCTGAGATGGAGAGTGGACATGGCAAAATCCATACATGATGACTGAAGCGTACATGAAATTATCTCTGTAATTCTAAATATATATCCTATACATGTATAACATTTTTCATCCGTTCCCAGTAATTCTATATTCAAAATTGGCATTTTAATAATTACGGTCCAAGTGACATAGATACTATGAAACAGTTTACATAGTCATTGGTTTGTCTTCACCAACTCCATTACCCCCGAAAAGTAAAGGCAAAAAAAAACAACAAAACCAAACAGGAAACGGTTAAACGAGGTAAGCGCAATGACATTTGTAAATTTTTCAAATTCCACAGAATCTGGAACACATACTAAGAAATATACACGTTGTACGTTTATCTGTCTTTCTTCTCTATTCTCTCTTTCTAAAAAAAAAATGCGATATTTGTCTCAATGGAAGCTACACCGTGGTGAAATCAGTTCTAAATTCATTCATTTTTCCTCGAAGGGACTTCAAAATATTCAAAATATAACTTTTATTGACTCGATCCAATTGTTCAAAGGCTTTCCATATTATAGAAAATTGTTTATTGTTGACCTCTAAGCTGATGTTTTTTTACATAATCGTGTTGTTTGGTTGCTGTCTCAGTTATAGGCATACCTCATATCTCCTCTTGTTTATATTTACATTTAGTTATGTTGAAATAAAACTAATATCAATAATGGTAATTTGCAATTTTCATTTCAATTTAGATGCCGTGGACGCTAAAATGTATTCCCATCCTTTCAAAAATAAAGGAAAAGGTTTCCTGCAGAATACAGTCGTTTCTAACTCTTTATCTATCAGCTTTAATGTTTGTGATAGCAGTTTCTACAAATGAATGGTTTGTATGTGGAACCAAAGTGAAAACTGGCATATGGAGTATATGTCTCTTCCAACCAGCATCGAACCACTGGAAATGTGATTCTTTTAAATCTGGTAAGAAAAGGAATAGAATAGAATAAAATAAAATGATCTGCAAGAAATAAATAAGAAAATGAAATGCAAATAGAACCGTCAAGAAAATAATGTATGCCAAATATATTACCAAAACTCGTGAGCTTATGATCGAGTTTATATGTACGTGCACGCGAGGTTAATATAGGTCTAAATTTTAATCAGATTGTAAGTTTATTATCAGAGAATTAAAGAAATGTGTGTTATAAATCTTGTCAGTACGGAAGCACTGACTCATGAGCTGACGATAGATCTTCGGTGACTAGCAGTCTATCAACAGCGGTATAGATCGACACAGTCATAATATTGAGATATAAAACATTATACATTTGGTGCGTCCAAAGCGCTTTCTGGATTTAACTTCATTTGGAGAGATCAAACCCATAAAATTGAAAGTTTGCAAACACAAAATGCATCGCTTCGTTACAAAATTATAAAGTAGCAATAAAAGAGACCACACAGGAATGACCACACACAGAATTCTGCAAATGTTATGGCATGTAATGCTGTTAACTTCGACATATTTTCAAAGAATAATTATACCTTGTATTTACCACAATCTAATTAAAATATAGAACTCGGATGAGCGTATGTAGTTTAACGAAATCCGAGTTCTATATTTTAATTAGAGTGTATTTACCAATGTTTCCTAGTACAATTACAAAAGTTCTATCACAACCTGTGTTTTTGTGCTTTCGTTGAAAGTTCCAGAGACGTTATTGAAACATGGCATTTTAAGCAACTTATTTTTTTCTCTAAGAATTGAGAGAGAAAAGCGGGCATTTATATATATATTACAACTTAATGAATAATAAGCAATAGTAGTATTTGTTTTTTTTAATTTTTTCTCTCTAGATTTTGCAGTGGCTGTTCAGGCATTTTCGATGATGTGTATTTTTGGATATGTTCTAACTGTAGTATTTCTTGTCATCTTTATAAAATGTCCAACCTCAACATCTACAATGTTCTCTCTGACATTGTCTTTATGTTTGCTGTGTTTAAGTATAGGTATGTAATTTAATGTTATATATCGTATATAGAACGTGAAAAGATCGATGTTCTTACATCATCAGTCCATGGAAGTATTATATTGAATTCAATATAATACTTCCATCATCAGTCTAACGATAGTCATCCTTTGAACTTTGGAGGATTGTTGTCTCATTGGCAATCATACCATATCTCCTTATTTTTTTAAGTATATATTTTTTTTTTTATCCGAAATCTATTTTGAAAGAGCTGCTCTGACCTTTTCTGAGAAGACTCAAACATCTTTGAAATATATAGAAAGCTGAATATTGTAGTCTAAGTAGTCTTTTCTTAGTAATAAGTTTTAGCACGATAAATAGATGTGGAATAAGTATGAATAAAAGGATTTATGGTGTACACATCATTGAGACAGCAACCCCCCCCCCTTTTCCCAAAAAAAAAGAACATACACCGAAACCATTGTGAAATATCCTGAACTCAAAAGAATATGAAAATGTAACATCCGTACTCTTCCAATTCACTCAATTTCATTCCAGACTTTTAAGGGAGTTTGTATTGGACACAGCTTGAATTTTATGTGTTTGCAATTTGTTGATATATTTTCGTTTGTGTATGCCTGTCTGACTGTCTTTTCATAGAACTGGAATTCTTTTTTTGAACATACATGAAGATAACATCTTACAAATTTAGCGGTCTGAAGCGTTTTTCTGGATTCACCTTCATCGGTTATCAATGCTCAAATCCAAATATTTGAAAGCCAGTGATGTATAAATACATAGAACGCTAGGAACTAGAAGACCTAAAGGGACATAAAAAGAAAAGCCAAACTCGTCTCAGTATTATGTAATATAAACATCTGACATATAACCTTACTACTTTTTGACATTCCAGCATGTTTACAGATGATGACAATGATAGTGTATGCCATCAAAGTTAAAGATAGTATAATCGATGTTATCAGAATGAACTTCTCTCAACAGAATTCATCCATGTCATGGTCCTTTGGTTTAGCACTGATCTCTGTTGTCATGACAACTGTATCAGCCGTTCTAGCCTTCAGCGAGATAAGAAAAATAACCGGCGGAGACACAGTTGGTGTCTCAGATGGGGTCTGAACCTCAGCATGTTTACACCATGTTGTTTGAGACATATACATTTGTTGCTTAAAATTTGCTTGCCAGATTTGTTATATAAAATATTTAGTGCTTCAATGTTAAAGAAGAATATAGATTGTTTTATATAATATTTTTAGTTTTTTATGTCAAAGATGATATGCAGCAATTTAATTTTAAGAAAAGTACATATCTATTTATAGTATTTGTCATTTCAGACAATCTGAACCAAAAAGGTCATGTATGCTTCCATTAGCCTACCTTCTTCAAATAGTAAGCTGTTTCACTTGCTCTGCATACACCATCAAAACTTTTGAACAAGGTATGGCCAAGATAAGTAACTCCTCAAAGTCCCATAGAATCAAAACGGCTGTGTTTTCCTCATAATTTTACATGTCCTATTATCCGTCAAAACTAGGTTACTGCAAACCCAAGTATCTGTTAACTATCCCTCAAATTTGAGTTTCTGTTTTCCCCACAAGACTTTATGTGACCTTAATCTTTGACCTTGAATTTAAGTAGGATAAGAGTTTTAATCTCTCAAGATTGTCAAGCATTGGGCAATATTTGCAAGACTGACTTAATTATTGAAGGGCATTCTGCATTTGTCAAAGGCATGCAGAGACCTTGACCTTTGACTTTGCAATCAAGGTTCTCAATGGTGCCTGAAATCTTTGATCTTCAAGTTAGTCTGTGATCATGAAAATTAAACAGGGATTAAGTACTCCCCATGGCCCAGCAGTGGTAAGATGAAGATTGGTAATTATTCATAATAATTTTTTATCGTTTATCCAAAGTTTGGGTGCCATTGGACCCATATATGATTTAATATTAATTTTTGTTGTTGATTCATTTAACACATATTCTATAGCTCTAATAACAACAGCCATGTTAGTAATTCCACTGGTCATCAGACAGCTTTGAAGGTAAACCTCTGTTTGTATTAAAATAGCCAAATTAAGCCTTAGCCCTTTTCAAATGAAACGTGATGTTTTTTAAAAGAGATTTAAAAAAAATTGCAATGTACAATATAAAAGATAGGCAAGAAGATAAGAATAGTTCTAATACTATGCATGGATAATCTAGGTTACTAAGGTAGTTTATAACTATATATCATAGTATTACACATTGTATGAATATATGTAGAAACAGTAATGGTTTCATAGATCTATTTAATGTATTATATGTATGACAGATGCTAGTCAATAAAGGCTTCCCACTCTTTTGCTACTAAAATTCCAGGGTTTTCCCATGACATGATCTGATATCTGCAGGACATTCATCAATTTTCATACAATATATTGAATAAACTATGAAACCATTGCTTTTCTACAAATTTTCATAGAATTTTCAAAAATGGTACCATAAGACATAGATGAATGACTGTAATATGTTTAGTAATTGCCAGTAACTTAGTGCTGTAATCAGAAGTAAAAAAAGTTCTGTTACAAAAATTTAATAAACTGCTGCGCCATAAGCGCATGATACGCCTGTGGCATTTTCACAGAATAAAGTTCAATAACTTCTCAATGTCATATCAGAAATTTATGAAAAACTAAAGGGAGTTATCTTAATAGATATAAACCAGTCACCAAAGTTTCATGAAAACTGCTTAAAGCACTTTAAAGATATTGTCTGAAAACTGGAAAATCCCCCTTTTTTAATGAATTAAACCCCATAACTCGGAAACATAAAATCTAAAATTTATAAAAATCGAAAGGGAGCTTACGTCAACAGATATAAACAATTCACCAAAGTTTCATGAAAACTGCTGAAAGCATTTTTGAGTTATTGTCCGAAAACTGGAAAATCCCCCCTTTTTTAATGAATAAAACCCCATAACTCGGAAACCTAAGATCTAAAATCTATAAAAACTGAAAGGGAGCTCATGTCAATAGATACAAACAATTCACCAAAGTTTCTTGCAAATTTGTGAAAGTGCTTTTGAGTTATTGTCCAAAAACTGGAAAATCCCCCTTTTTTAATGAATAAAACCCCACAACTCGGAAACGTAAAATCTAAAATTTATAAAAAACGAAAGGGAGCTCACGTCAATAGATATAAACAGTTCACTAAAGTTTCATACAAATTGGTTAAAGCGTTTTTGAGTTATTGTCCGACATGTTGACGATGGACAGACGGACAACGGTATACCATAATACGTCCCGTAAACGGGCGTATAAAAAGTAAGAAAGGTGAAAGGGAAATAACATGAATTTTGAAACATGCCTAGAACTGCAAGGGTTTTACAAGAGTTTTGTGAAATTTAATGGCATTTCCAATTCCATGTCCTACATGACTGAAATAATAACTTCAAGCTAGTGTGGGATTGATCGATTGTAAAGTTTTAACATGACTTTCAGCACTATTGGCTTTATAGTGGTGTTCAGTTTTTATTGGTGGAGGAAACCTGAGTGACAGAGACAGACACACTCTTCAGTAAGAAAACTGACAATCCTAGTCAATTAAGATTGGAGTAGAACACACCTGCCATGTTCAAACTCACAACCTCAGTATGGGAACCTTGAGTCCAGATAATCTTGAGCAAGATCGACTACATCATCAGGGGTTCCTAAAGGCATTGTATAAAATGAGTTATAATATGCAACTAGAAAGGCTCTGATCAAATCATTAATATATGTCATATGAACTGTTTTGATGACAAATTATTAGTACCAGTACATGATTCAATTCAAGATTAAGAAAAAAATGGTCAACCATAATTTTGTTCTTTTACTTTATTAAACATGTTTAAATCCATCCAACAAAATACACAAATAATAGTTTTAAAACATAATAAATAGAAGAAATGATTCTTTAACTGTGTGGTAATATTTTCTTGTAATATCTACCTGACTGAAATGTCAAAACTAGTCTATAACAGTATTCATCAATTATACACTTTTCTGTACAATAAAAACTTCAATAACAGTTAAAATCAGTTTCACCAATTTTGACTACCTTTCTGACCATTTTTCTTCATGTCACTAGCTCAGGTCCTTCTCAATGACAGATTATTTTCATATAATTTTCTTTTTGTCTTGTTATGACAATGTCAAACAAGATTGATAAGTCGATCTGTCAATCTAGAATTTTTTATCTTCACTTTCCATATAATATTCAGATCCAATAATATTCTATATAGTATCTATACCATTACAAAAATTATGGTAAAAGTTGGAGTCAAGTACATTTGCTTTTGAAAGGAATAGTGCAGGTGTATTGCAAAAATAATCACATTTACTCCTTACCTATCAAGTAATGATAATAACACAATGTATAAAGTATCGTGTTTAAAACAAAATATCACAGTTTTTCTTTATAGCATGTTATGAAAAAGAACATGGCATTACCTCAAAATGAATAATAGAAGATGTGGGGTATATGTAAATGACACTTCCAGAGGTCCACATTAACAAATTAAAAAATAGATTTTTTTTGCTTGCAAAAATAAGATGAGTAAGAAAATGCAAATATTCAATAAAATCATTTATTAAGTTTGTTTGAAATAAATCTTGACATGCACAGCTCAACCCTGATAGGTTAAGTTAAAAGAGACTATGCAAGAATTCAATGTTTTTCAAGTGTAATAGTTTGTTACATGTATATATCTTTGAACATATTCCTTAATGTTGGAAACATGTTTTATGTACCAATCCAGCTGCCTTGCTTGTACTAATGAAGAAAGAAGCTTATTCAAAAACAAATATGGTCAAGAAAATCATTACAATGTGCTTGCAGATCAAATCTGATTTTAAATATTTGATGAGCTATTTTGAATTTCAAATGTGTTAGCTTTGAACTTCCAACACACAAGGGTTAATTAACCATTATTTTTTTTCTTGAAACATCATTGACCCAAATCTGTGGTATTGTTTTGTATTAAGATAACATTTCAAATGATAATTCAAAACAGCAGTTTTTCCTGAAAAATTAACCTACACACAAAAATTTATCAAAGACATTAAAGCACTTGTTGTTGATAACTTTTAGCCCTTTAAAGTATTAAAACACTGTAATAAAAAATATTACCAATTACCCAACCTGGCCTTTTTAGAATTGATTTTAAATCAAAACTCTTAGGTACAGAGCAAGCAAGAATATATTTCTTTGCATCAATTGTTGCAGAGCATCAAAAACCTATATGTTTCAGCAGTAGGTATGTTCATACAGGAAATACTAAAATATATGCATATAATGAATAAGCAGAGAATATTTTATAAAGTAATTCATTAAATAATCAAACGAAAGAAGTTTACATTATAAATACTGAAAGACTCAACTTAATAAATATACAATAACAACTTCTACTGTACATTTTTTAAATGTAATGAATGAATGGCTAAACCATATATCATGGTATCACTTAAACCCATTACTTTTTAGATTCAATACATTCATTCATGGCTGTAATAACTGCAAGTAAGTTAAGACATCCTAACTATCACAAACCTAGGTACATATATACATGTGATTTTGTTCATAGATAATTTCATTATGTAATCATTGGTAAAAATTTTCCCTCTATCAGCATGAAATTGATGAAGCAAAAATATTGAGAATAATACTGATATAACATGTATGATCATATAAGACGTTCAACAAGGTCTGATTTAAACGTTTAAACATTCTGTTCCTGTAACCAATTTTATTTCAATATTGTTTAGTTCTACACTCATGTAAATTCTTTACTCTGTAACAAAAACAGTTTTTCTAGACAAGGGACACATTTGTTAAAGCTCTTATTTCATACGAGGATTTGGATTACTAAAAATAAAAATTAAAGAAAATATTTTTATTTTTGAAACATAGATTTTTTGTCCAACTTTATCAAAAGGAATAATGAATGGAACTTCAGTTAATAAAAAAATCCTCAAATCATCATTCTTAACTCTGTGTAGTAATGAGTTTGAATTATACTCCTGGGTGCAAAAAAAGACACCTGAACGTTTTAGTACAGAGAAAAGTAAATACACGAAATAAAATGAGTTGTTTTTACTCCTAAAGTAAGGAAAATTTTCCAGTGACAACATCCCTAATATGGACAAAAACAATCAGACATGAAGACATATATCTTAGTACAGAATTCATAAATAATGTTCCTAAACTGTGTGCTATCAATCAACTCAATTCAAAACCAGCACCTGATTCAATGGCATACAACAATTTATTTCTGAGTGTTTCTTCATTGCCAAATTCTGGAAGTTTTAGGAGATTCATGCAGGTACTTGCTGTAGGAAGACGTTCTTCACTTCCACCATGATGAACACAGAATGCTGGGTACAGATCCTAGACAAATATAATATATTTTTTTTTTATTATAATGTGTACCATTTTACAATGAAAGCATAATTAATCCTAAGTTTACCACTAAGCATAATTTCTATACTTTAGTGTTTCATTTACAACAAGCAAAAAAGTAAAAAATTGTCATTACTACAAAATACCTCTTGGATTCCATTTTTTTATTTTTGTGTATGTGGTTGGGTTGCTAACTCATGGACATATACCCCAAATCTCCTTTTATCTATACAAATTGTGGTTTAAAACTTGAAATCTTGAACTTAAATGTCTGTACCAGCACAACATTAGAAACTTTTCCTTTATCAGTCCCTTTATATAGGGTCTTAACTGATGAATATAAGCAGTACTGTGGTTAATACTTATGTCTCAAAAAAGCAAGTAAATGCTCAAAGAAAATAAAGTTTACTTTTTAGGACAAAAGATTTTCAAATATATACCTGAATGAAAGAAGCCTATCAATTATGACCTGTATTTAATACTAAATCATTTTATATGTATCAAAAAGGAAGGGATTTTGTTCCCACAAAAAACCTACAATATAAAAGTTTGTCATTTTAAACAAATTAAAAATCATCAACATGTAACAATCAATGCTGCAGCTTTCCTTCAAATTTGTAGTTCACACTTGCTTACCCTTTCCTAAAATATAGTGTCTTGTGTCAAAGCAAATTCCATTGTCAAACATTAACTTGCCTGGACAGTAAACATGGAACTTAGCAGTAGAATCATACATGTAGCATTTACAAGCTAATATAACTTTCCTCTGAATTATATCACAATTACCTTAAATCCTAATAGTGGTGGTCTGGAACAACTAGTCACAAACTTTAATAGTTGTCTCTTTTGATGGTCTGTAAAACTTTCTACTGCTTGCCAAAACCATTGAATAATTCTGTGATCTGATGTGTAGCCTCCTAACAATAACAAACATAATTTAAACAAGCATTCTGTGAGTATTGCATGGCAATACATAGTCCCCTACCGGTTACAAATTCATTGTAATGGAACAAAATTCTAACTTGATCTATAACTTGTAATGGTGTAAACTACATAAAAATATCAAGTCAAAATCTTCAAACATGACGAAAAAAACTGTTGAAAACTGATTATTTAAGTGAATTTTCTGTGTCCAAAGACCATAACTCTGCACAAAATTATCAGACTGGAACAAAATTCCAACTTGATCTGTAACTTGTCATGATAAAACTATATACTAATTATCAAATCAATATCTTCAAGAATGACAAACAAACCTACCACTAAATTCTTCAAACAATTTACCAAAGAAAAGGAAAAAAATCCAAAATGTCATTTCGTCTTTTAAAAGTCTTTTAAAAAATGAGTTATTTCCCTTTGAACAAAAATCTACTAATTAATAAGTATTTCATCAAAAATTTAATTCTAGGGAAAGTTACTTGTCATGATAAATCAATAAACCAAATATCAAATCAATATCTTCAAGCACAAAGAAAAAAAGTCTGGAAAACTGATTTGCCGGACTGACAGATGGACAGACAGACAGACAGACGGACAGACAGACAGATGGACAGAGTGCAAACCTAAAGTCCCCTTCGACTTCCTCGGTAGGGGACTAATAAAGCATCCTCAATAACATGCTACAACATTTGATAATATATCTGATATAGATTTCATTTGTACGTCTGCTATAAGCCTATTACAACTTCAAACAAAAAGTGGCACTTTTTCAGGAAAGCAAACTATTTTCACAGATTCATATAAAATGGTTTTACTAATTTGTTTACCATAATTATTGTTTGATTAACTCATGCCCATCCAATGCACAAAGTACACCTGGTAGAGCAGCATATCTTAAGTAAACTTTACAAATGTACTTTTGAGCAAAGAATCTAAAAATATCTTGTTTAAAATATGAGTTGTCTCCCTTTAATGAATATTTACCTGAATAGTTTGTGTGGTGTTTGAGATCTTCTATATCAACAGGAACCAGGGCACCAGATATAAGAACTTGAAGTTCTTGATGGTCAAACATTCTTAACCATTCTAAGTTGATAAGATCAGCCATTCCCTGTCTGAATGCCATACAGTGCTGTCTTATCTAAATATAAACAAAGTTGTGCTGTTAAAATTCTCTTTGTGGATGCATTTCCATGACTTACGAAAATTTTTATGACACATGGTTTCAAATTTTGCATTTAAAAAATCTGTAATGACTTTGCATTTTGTTAGGTATTTAATATAAAAATAAGAAGATGTGGTATGACAGCCAATGAGACAACTCTCCACCAGTCACCAAATGACATAGAAGTTAACTATACAGCTACAGTGTATATGTACATTACCTGTTTGTTGATTTTGTAATCTGCCATTAAGTGAATGTATTCAATTTTGTTGCTGTTGGTTACAGCAATATCACGACCACCTGGTTTTAATTCTTCTATCTGAAATTCAAATATAGGATTTATTAATTCATAATCATATCTTCTTCTACATATAGCAAGACATTTTTAAAGTCATCTACCTCATATCTGCTCTTTCTAAAAGCAAAATTTTATTTACTTATATTATTATGTTTTATATTTTTAGAAACTTCTTACAATAAACATTCAGATCAATCCAAGTGAATATATAATAATTGGTAAACAAACATGAACTTGGGCACTATATTAATAGAAAACAAACCATGCTGACATTAATTGTAAAGTTTTATATAAGTCAAATCACAACCTTTTATCATCAAATAGTGGGTAAAGTAGAAAACAATTATCCTTTCTTTCTAAATAGACAATTTGAACATCCACTCTCCCCCTCTTTCAAGACATTAATTAGCCTTCAGAGGATTTTCAAGTTTTTGATAACTATTGGAAAGCTACAATCAATATTTGTATGGTTGACATTTGTGATTTATTTTAGAGCAAACAGGTGTTGAAATATTGCAAAAAGATTGTTTCTGTTTTTTATTCATGCTTTCAATATTTGATTTAAAGGAAATGTATGAAAGCATCATCACTTTATGAGCATCATCACTTTATGAGCATCATCACTTTATGAGCATCATAAATGAATCATTTCTGTTTTACTTCTTTTAAATTGATAGAATTTTTTTATCAGGAAAAAGATCTTTAAAGTTTCATTGAACCATTAAAGCTTATATAAGGCTGCCAAGTTTTGCAATCTAACCAAGTTGAAGTGATAACAAAAGATATATGGCCCCTAGCCTAAACAAATACAAAAATCCTAGAACATAACAAATTTATGGAAAAAACACTCACTTTAGTTTGCCCAAAATCATTGTTGACAACTGAGAAATCCAAGCCCAAGTCTGATACATCACCATCATAAGTCTTCAGCGATAACAAATTTCTGTAAAATACATGAATTATTAAATATAGTTAATTTAAGTCATTAGCAATAAGAAATTTCTGTAAAATACAGACTGCATTGTATGAAAAGAATAATAAAAAAAAAAACAAAGTGTTACATATTTTTTAAGACATTAGTTATAATCTTGGACTGCCTGCACCTAATAATAAAGCTATTTTACCACAAGACTGATCAAGTGATGAATTACCATGATTTAAATGTAATGTAAAAATTACAATTCTTTCTGTTAAGACTTGATAAACAAATTTTAAAGGCCAAAAAGACAAAGTTCTTAAAATACAAAATATTTTGAGTACTGAAGAATCAATACTTAAAGATCTCCCATCAATGTCTGAAATACACTACATACTTGTACATTTCTGGATCTAATGATGCTAGATGATGAATGTCAAGGTCACCACCATGTCGGCTTAAAATCTTTGACAGGAAGAAACTAGCAAATGGAATCTCTACTAACATGTTTTCATATATAGCCTGGAATACAATTTAGAGCACTTTAAAAACAATTATCTACAATTAAAACAAGAAAATAACTACACTGCTCTTCATTAAACAACTATTTCACAAATATTTTTAATGTTTTAAAAAATTAATTTATAAGTTAGCTATCTTAATTTATTATTGTCTTGAAAGGAGCTCTACTTGCCTTAAACACATTTGATTTTATTTATTGTTAAGTCTCTGACAAAAATAATACAATGGAAAATATCTTGTTAAAGAATACCTTTCCCAACATCCTTCCTAGGAAAAAATAATGCTGAGTGAAATTGTCCATCAACAAAGCAGCTTGTGGATTGGGATACAACAATCTGTCTGTCGTACTCAAGAATAGACCTCTGTTAGGATCAAACCCTGTCTTTAACAACTCAGATAAAAACTCCCTAAATATACCTCCACCATCGATACCAGCCTCATCCAGACCTGCAGCATTTACTAACTGTACTCTCATCTTCAGCTTTAGATTTGGTTCTGCAATATAAAAAATGTATTAATATTAAGCGTTTCAGAATTAAATAAGTTCTGAGTAATAGTTTCAAAAGCATACACTTTTAACAAACTTAGTGATTGGTTCACCTTGTCTTAAACATAGATTGATATCCAGCTAGTAACATAACGTCACTTTCATTTTAGTGTACAAACGCAATACCCACAAACTACCGGTATATTAGATTATGAAATGATTAAAACTTAACTTTCATGAAATGTTGAAGTTATGCTCCTCCACCACTGTTATAAAATAGTAATCAACAGAATAAGACACACAATTCTAGATGCTGCATTGTCCTGAAGATGCATGAAATATTTGCAGCTGGACATTAAAACAAACAACTATTAATCAATTTAGATGTTTCAATAGGTGGACTATTAAGATATCAAGGGTAGGTATGGACAGAGACTGTATATACACTGAGTATAGGAGTACTATGTTGTACCATTATCACTATGGGAAGGTGTAGTCAAATACTGTATATAAACTGTTTAAAGGAATACCAATAAATTTATTGATTGAGTGCTGCTTTCTTAATGTCCAGTGGCAAATATTTTGAACCACAACTCTCAAATAAAATAAAAGAACACCAACCATTTTCTGGTGACAGTTTATCAAAGGCATCTTCATAAATATAATTCCTCCTAATCATAACACTGATTGCAGGACCTGACAGGAAGTGGTGTGTATCTCCCTGATTTTCTTCTCGGTCATTCTGAATCAACTTCTGTAATATCTGTTAAATAATATGACATAATGTGTTGCTTGGAAAAGGTATTTGAACAATGATTAAATATTTACATATTTCTAATTTCATTAACTTCCAAAATATTATAAACGAATAAAACTAGTGTCCCGAAAAAAATAATCATAAGAGGCTTTTTTAAATTAATATTTTTATCTTTTCTCATATAAATAAAAAGACAGCAATGACATACCTTCACACGTTCTGCAAAGGAGACAACAAATGGTAATTCTGTGAGTATGACAAGGTTCTTTACATCTGTGTTAGATAATGGGGGTCCATCATCATCTAAAAATAAGGTTAATAAATCTATGAACAATACTACCAGAAGAAAGCACTGATAAATAGGAATTTGTAATTATGACTTATATGATGGGTATTTCTTTGGAAAGTATCTTTTTAAGAAGGACTCTTTCACATAATAAGCATTTTTTCTGATTGGTGTTAAGATCAACGACCCATCCACCCTCAATCATCTTTACTGAGAAATGAAATGTATTGCAATTACTTAGTTTATCTTAACCATTTTTCAATTTTAACAAGCATCTAGGAAAATTAAATAAATAAATAATGACAGTTGCAATGTTTGTATTGACTTGCCTATAAAACAAAATCAAAGAGCTGAAAGCTCTAAGTAAAAATGACGCCATTGTCTCTCATATTAGGATATTTTTGATGCAAGTCTTGATTTTTACTTAATTTACCTACTGAATCTTAGGCGACGTTCAGTTTATGGTAGGTAGGGTAACTGATAGAATAGATATGAATTGTTTCCACAATCTATAGCGTTTTTATTTGTTTGTCAAGATATATATATGTGTGTGTGAAGTGAAAATAACTACTAGTTGTTCTGCTGTACATAGAAATAGCTCAAGACTACCTGAACAATCTACAATATTCAAAGTAATATGTGAATTTGTTTCCCTTATTTGTAGAATTATTTAACAAAATGATTATGAAGAGCCTGTAGTAAGAAAGCTCTTATACCAAACATAGTCCTTATTCAAGAGATAAGTTACAGGTGACCTAGTGACATAATCACATTGTTATTTCAGTTACCTAAACATGATCAATTTTAAGTAGATTTAGACAATAGTATTGTTATACTAGTTTCACAATTACAAACAAAGTGACACCATTTATACAACTTTATTTCATTGTGAAGAGCCTGTAGTAATCAAGCTTACACTGAAATCTTAAAATAACAACATAAGTTATTGCAAAATTATTTTTTTTCAAATGATTTAATGTTTAGTACCGTAGTCATTTATTTCAAATAATTCACCTGTAATAAAATAAGGAGATGGGGTGTGATTATCAGTGTTCTCCCCAGGATTTTTTTAAGGCGCAAAATTCAAGGGCGCGTAACTCTTTTTTTTAGAGTGAACGTTTGTGATCTGAAGCAATAAGTCATAAATCATAACATGCAATATGAATTATAATGCTTTGTGTTATGTGTTTAATAATGCAGAGTATTAATGAATAACAAGAATATATTTATGAAATAAATTGATTTTAAACACAAAAGTTATTTATATTCAGTCAATTAAAGAAGTCAAAATATAAATATTCATCTCTACTCTCTGCTCCTTCTAGGGATATTGTTTCAAGATAGTGTTACTAGTATTTTGTTGGACAGTCTGTTCCTCAACTTTGTCTTTATCCTCTTCAGGGTTAAAAATTAAACCCCCACTCACAATAACTTTTGCTTATACCCCCTTTAACATTTCTAAGCCATGAAAACTCAGTCAGCCACTTGTCATTGAAACCAAAAACATGGTGCTTGCTTTTATCAATTGCTAAAACTTGAGCTTGGTTGGGATTAGGAGAAGCAATGAAATCTGCTTATACTGACAGTGTAGACGGAGGTGTATTCCCCTTTTCATTAGAAGTCATTGGTCTGAAAAAAACTTTTACTTCCATCATCTACCTTTTGCTTATAATTCACCCCTTTGTTATTGGCAGAGAACATGTTCATTCAGAATTAATAAAATCGAATATGGTTAAGATATTTGGTATACAACTTCTTAAAACAATTTTTTTTTTATAAATGAACAGCTGACCAGTTTCCGTGGTTTCACATTACGCTTCCATGCGTATTATTGTTTAATCCTATCTTTGGCAGATAGATATAAATGAAACTTTACAAATTCGTTAAAGTTAAAACCATTGAAATTATTTACCAGTGACATTATACAGAAGCTGCGGCGATTCTGTACCCGTGTTGATTGTCACATATTTCCCGACGCACGGATTCACGATCGATGTTCAATGATCATTTTATTTCTAAAAATATGACAGTTTCAGACAAATTTACCTTGCAAGCAACATTTTTTCACTTTCTATTAAAGTAAATCACTCCTCGTTATCTTTAATCAAACTTTATTTTAATTTTTTCAACTACTTATACTTTCATTCATAGTTTTCATCCTAAATATCTTTAGCAATGTGTATTCAAATTTATCATGTGTATTCAACACGTTCATTGGTCGTGTTTAAATAGATTCTTCTTCTCGACCAATGAAAAAATTCGTTATATAAATGGTCAAGTGATCACACACACGATGCGTAAATACAATGTATTTGCGATCTATTTCTTCAATTTCTGAACTGAAGTTTTTAAAATTTTTAATTTTCTTCAAAAAATATCTATCTTCTTGATGACCATTTACGCTATTACCTGATAACATAGACCGATAAGGCTGAGATAAGCGTGGCTCAGGTAAAACTAATTATCAGTTATTGCGTAACACTGACCAACCCATCAGCGGTGATCAGTAACTTGACAATTTTAACCAACATTTATAATGAAAATGTGAAAATTAACACGCTGCGGGATCCAGTATTAAGGGACAGCGGCCAATTAAGACGCTGCGGGATCTACAAAAATATTATGAAGGCGCTGCGGCACCGCAGCGTCATATCGGCCTGGGGAGAACACTGAGTGATTGCCAATGAGATAACAGTCTGAGGTACTATCTACCAGAGTCCAAATTTTGTGGCTGTTGGCAGTTATAAGTCACTTTCAGACCTCAACAATGTACCAAACCGGTTTATTGTTTTCGTGTACCACAAGAAAAAGAGGAGTTGTGGCCAGGTGCTGCCAGGATTTAAAACTATTAGAATTACACAGTTTTGTCTGCATTCAGAGAAAATTTCATGGTGTAACCACAGCTATTTTTGTTGGTGTATATTAGATGAACCTTAAAGGTGGATTATCAGATTATTGGTCCCAGGAATATTAAAGTGATTGTTGTCTTTTCAAAAATAAAAATATGCACAAAGAAGGAAATATATCTGATTCCTTGTGAAAATTAAAAGATAGAACATTGTACTTTAATGGATTTGGTAATTTAATTTCAAGAATGACAACATGTATGATCTGTTACCATAAGTGTAAAGCTACTGTTTATTATGTTTATGGTTGAACTGCATCTTTGAACTTTGTCAACCAGTCATGATTTACTTCTTAAGCTGTGTAAGAACCTTTTTGTAATTGAAAATTGGTCTGCCATGATCACGATTTCTACATTATTCTGAGTTCCTGACAAGTTCAAAATTTAGCACATATGCAGTTTACAATACCCAAAGATCAGGAGAAACAACGATTTTGATTGGCTGATCACAGTTGTCTCCCTTGGGAAAAGTTTGAGAAAGTTTGAATTTGGGAACAGTAGAATTTAACAAAATCGTGGTTTAGAGGACTCGATCACAATCGCGCAATCGTGACAAGGGGTCAAACTTGAGTATTTCACGCCTGAATCGTGCAAGTTGGCAGGTATGACAGGTTAAGAAATTAAAGAATGAAAATTACAAATTTAAGTCTGTTCCAGTTGTATTTCCAACAAGATGATTGAAAATTGCCCGACGGTCACGAAGGTTAATGACCGCCATTTTGTACACAACAAAACATATTGAAGGGAGACAACACCATCTGTTATTTTAAAATGTACATTTGCAACGCTGGAGTTGTCTTTCTTTTACCAATGTATGAGCATACGAACATTCACTTTAAGTATGTGAAATACGGAACCGAGTTCCGAATGCGGATTAGAAGTCTGGTCAATGGTATGAGAAAATTGACTGCGTCATTTTCTAAAAACAATGTACTGAAGAAATTATCAATTTATTTGAATGTTTTTAAATATAAAACTAAAGAGAATGTGGGGTAAACTTTAAAAGAGACAGTGACTACACAAACAAAACCTATTTGTTCACTTGTTGACTAATTTCAACATATATATATATATATAAATATATATACTATTCAATTAAATACTTTTCTACTTTCCCCAGGCTTTTATTGGTTGGAGGTACAACTCCACTTACACAGATAAATTTTGCTAATGTGAATTTCATGTGAATCAACATTTAATATGAAAACGTTAACACGAGAAAAAAATTCTTGTTTTTTTTCTAATTCAGTCTTGTTTTGTCCACAGTTTTACTTCAGAACTAAAATTGCCAGGCAGGGATGTGGATTATCGAGTACCATAAGCCAGAAATAAGAGAAAAACTAGATTTCCCCATGTTTGTTTAAGTTCCGCCATATTTGTTATTAAAGTTGTAGAGGGTGCCCTTATTTCTTTTAATTTATGTAATCCATAATAATATGCAATTTTATTTAAAAAATCCAATATCAACTAATAAATATCATAATTAAATGCTGCATTACAAATTTCACATTTTTTTTCATGGCATTGCAAAGCCAACTTCCAAGCTAGGACAAACGCTCATAAACACAGGACATCAGAGAAAACAACCTTCTTTGGAATTTGATTGCATAACTTTATTATATAAACTGCAATCGGGTTGTAATGAATGATACGAAAAAAGTGAAGAAGTCAATCGGATATCGTATTTGTTTGTAATTTACACTATCTATTCCTATTTCCAATTATTTTTTTGTAATTTTGGCGTATTTTAACGCTCTAGTGTACGAAAGTGTTTTAAAATCATTTAGAAGCATTTTCAACTTCTACTTGATGATGAAAAAAGGTTTATTCCATGAAAAATCCATAAACATTCACACACGATTTGAAATTACCAGAGATTCACAGGATGTTATCAACAAGTGACAAAAGTTTTTTTTTTCTGAATTCCTGTAGAGAAAAGGGGGTGCAGACAATGTACCAGTGCAGACTATTCAAAACTGATTACAGTAATGACTTACCAATTTTTACTTTTGTCAATGACCTCATTGTACCAAAAGGTCTTCTTGTGAAGACTGAACCTTGTGCTCTGTATATTTGAGATGGCTAAATAGATAAACAAATCTAACATTAGAAATGTTACTTTTTTAAGAAAATACTATACAAGGTGTTCATTTAGAAATAGTACTAGGACCAATATAGCACTATTATTTATAGAAATTATCATATACATTGTATAAAATACATGTACAACTTATTAACTGGGTAATGCTTCATTCCTGCGCAAGGGTCATAAATAATCCATTTCTTTTTCTTTTTTATCCCTTCTTTGGTGATATTTAGCCTTGAAAACCAATTAAAAAATGTTCAGGTAGATTCACTGTATACCGCCATCTTGGATTGTACAATAACAGTACACAATCGGTCTTGTTCTTAGCTAAATCTGCAAATTTTGAGAAAGGTTTGCAATTTATGTGTAAGACTGTTTATTTGTATATAGAAAAATAAGTGATTTATTGCATTATCCAAATTGTTTAAACAAATACCAAGTGTTTTTTTAAATCAATTTTCCTACTTAGCCATTTAAGGGGAGATAACTCTTATAGTAAAAAATTTATACTGGAATGATAGTGAAATTTTTTTTTTTTTTTAGCAAGAAAACAAGTTTGGTGACACCATTTTTTCCTTTTATTTTCTGAAAGCATATTATAAAACCTATCTTCTCATATTTCATTTCATAATTCTATCTCATAGATATCTTTTCATTCACAAAATTGTGTTTTTTCATGAACAATCTATGCAAATTTGGGCAATTTTGCACTTGTAGCTTGAAAAATAGCACGGTGACTCATACTTTTTATTATATTTTTGAAAAAAGCATAGTAAAAACTTCAATTTGGCAAAGTATAAGAAAATTCTATCTGAGGAAATATATACCGATGATCCACTTTAAATAGTAATAAGAGTAATTTTAAAAGAAAGTTAAAAAATAATTAAATATAGAAGTTGTATATTTTGAACTAGCTACCTTATCAGCTTGTAAATGTACTCTATCAGATAACTTATATGTCTATGACAAAAAGATCTTACCTTATCAGCCTGTATATGTACTCTGTCAGATAACCACATATGTCTGGGTCAAAAGAGCTTACCTTATCAGCCTGTATATGTCCTCTGTCAGATAACCACATATGTCTGGGTCAAAAGAGCTTACCTTATCAGCCTGTATATGTACTCTGTCAGATAACCACATATGTCTGGGTCAAAAGATCTTACCAAATCAGCCTGTATATGTACTCTGTCAGATAACCAAATAAGTCTGGGTCAAAAGATCTTACCTTATCAGCCTGTATATGTACTTTGTCAGATAACCACATAAGTCTGGGTCAAAAGATCTTACCTTATCAGCCTGTATATGTACTCTGTCAGATAACCACATATGTCTGGGTCATAAGAGCTTACCTTATCAGCCTGTATATGTACTTTGTCAGATAACCACATATGTCTGGGTCAAAAGAGCTTACCTTATCAGCCTGTATATGTACTTTGTCAGATAACCACATATGTCTGGGTCAAAAGAGCTTACCTTATCAGCCTGTATATGTACTTTGTCAGATAACCACATATGTCTGGGTCAAAAGAGCTTACCTTATCAGCCTGTATATGTACTCTATCAGATAACCACATATGTCTAGGACAAAAAGAACGTCTGGCATCTCTGATATAGATCTGTCTTACTAATGTTGCTATCACCTATAACATAAATAAATATATCCTCATTCAGAAAAAAAAAGAACTTTATTCTGAAGTTTTCAAAAGCAAAACAAATACTTACTAACAGACTTGACCTCCATATTATTTCAGAATTATATTAAAATTTATGTTTAAGGGAGATTATTACAGCTTTGTGCAGTGAAATTTCAAATTTGCTTTAATGATCTAGTATCTACTTAAAATAGTTTCAATCTTAAATATTGTTTGTCTATAACTCATTAATAAGACTATTGTTGGGTCAAAAAGGAGCAGTCATCGTGAAATGACTGTCTTTTTAAAATTAAAAAAAATTCAAACTGTTCATAATTTTGTGTTAAATTGTAAATATTCCATCAAAATCAGATATGAAAACATTTCACAACAATAAGTTTGTTTTACTTTGTGATCTTACATGAAATATATAAGGACAATTTCAGTTAGTTATATCTATATGGCTCCTTACTAATGACAGTATACTGTATATAAAACTGTTATTGGACCAATAACACAGAACTCATTAATAGATTTGTTATCAATCAAATAATATATAGAAAAAACAAATTTTTCACACATAGTTATATACATGTACATATATTTATTCACCTTGAATAAATAAGCCCATCTCCTTGTTTCTTCATCTCTTGATTGTTTGGTTACATCTCTGACACCAGTGATTCTTAGAGCTTCTTTATAATCATCAGTAATCATTGGTTTGGCATCAGGATGGGCTAGTTCTATAATTCCTAAACAGGAATCTCGTAACATCAATATCATTGGAACTAACTCATCCAAAGAAAATGGCATACTATTGGTTTTTTCTGAAAATTAAAAAAAAAATTCAATAAAAACTGAGAAAATATAGGCTACTAATCACTAAAATCTACAACATGATACTGATGATAGTTCACAAGGTCACAGTCTGCAGGAAGACATATCACCCTACATGTATACAATATTTTCACTCTGAAAATGCAACTCTTTGCTCTTATCCTAAATTCTGCATGCATAAAAAAACAGCTTCAGTCTTTGCGCTCTGGCTGGTATTCAAACTACCTATTGCTGTCTCTTTGACATATATCTCACATACTCTTATTCATATTTGACCTACCATTGAATGTCTCTCCATAGAAATCAGCATCATGTAATGTATACAAAGAATGACTAAACATGGCACAAAACACAGATAACATTGGAACAATACGATTGATATCCTCCTCTGACATCTGTAATCCTCGAGATAACGTTTGTAATAAGGTCGTTTCAGTTCTGTAAAAACACAATCAAATTATTAAAACAACTATTGTTGAATTATGACTACACTTATCAAAATAAATTTTCAAAATTTGTTAGAGTATGTCAAATTTGTTGTATTTTGCTCTTTAAACCTACGAAATCTCTCCCTTTACAAAATCTGTAATAACACTCATACCTTCAATTCCATAAAGGTCATATTTATAAGACTAGCCAAGAATGATGGATCCAACAAGAGCTGGAATGCAGCAGTTATCAATAATTAATCTGATTCTTTCTCATGTGACAAGCAAAATTTTAAGTTTAGACAAACTATCTCATCTTCACTTTCCTATTTAAACATATGCATATTTTTAGTCAGACAGCTTTGGTTGTTAAATATAACACACCATACCTTGTAACAGATACATTAGACATTGAGACACAGGTATACCATAACTTCACCATGAACTCTCTGTTAAATGCTAAACTGTATAAAAGTCTGAAAAAAGCATCATTCAAAACTTACATGTCAAAATACTGTCATGGAAATTGAAACATTTCTTAATCATCTTGCAAGTCATTAATTCAATTAACATCATTATAAAAACTTAGAAAAAAATTGTCAGCCATTGAAATTATTCTTGCAAAACGTAAATTTACAAAAAGTTGACACATAAGTGGTTTATGCTGTAACTGTTGTACTAATGCACATATTACAAATTGAACAGAAACACTATTTTGCTGATGTAAACAGCTTTCAGATACATCATTTTATCTAACTAGTACTTAGTATCAAGAAATTATGTAACTGTGCATCTGCTTTTCTCGTTGTCAGCTGGATGTCTGGATGACAATGTCAAATCAAAGTGCTTGTAAGCACTGAAGGGTAAAGATTGCTTCAATTTATCAGTGGGAAGTAAAATTAAATATTGCATTGGTTGTAGTTGATTTAACAGCAGTTCTAGACAAAGGAAGATAACTCCAATTTTTAAAGATGACTTTATCAATGACATCATTTATATTTTTAGAACAGATATTAGATTCCTGCACCTTGCAAAAGTTATTTAATTTTCTTGACAAGTGTAACATCATTTTGTGCCTTGAATATCTGAGCATATATCACATCTATAAATTTCTGGAAATGTTCATGGGTAGGATGTATAGAATGTTATGATCAATGCACTATATTTTGTGTATCAAAAAGGTAGTGATAAGCCTTGGAAGATTTAGATATCAAGTCAGTCCCATAAGGTTTTGATTGCATTTCATGCAATCTTTACCTAAAAATATTGATACCTAACAATTTTTCATAATTTGTAAATATTTATTATAAATATTGTTTGTATATGTAAAAAGAAAGCATCCTGCAATCGTGGTCACTGTAAACCACTTATTTTTGCAGATACTTTTTTCTGTGTTTAATCCATTTTAGCAGAATTCGCTGAGATTTATTATCACCATTGTCTAATTTTTTTTATGTATTCCTATTCAGAAAGAGCCATATTTGACATATTCAAGACAATTTATATTCAGGTTATTTTCTAACCAATAAACGTTGCATTAATAAATTGCTAGCAAAAATAAGTTGGTATACAGTATCTTAGGGGCTGTCTTATTTTGCTAAAAGGTCTAAGCATATATTCAGTGTTGAATGCCTCACTTCAAATAGAATGAGGAATCACCATAAATCCATATTCTACTGAATGTTAGGTCTCAAGAACATTATGATATCCTAGTAGTTCTTAATTCTGAACCTACTCTATACTCATATTATTTTTCTTTGAACTCATCATTCTTTTAACTAAAAGGTAGGTTATTTCTTCAACTTAATATTTCTTTTAAATCATTTCAAAAGACAAAAAATATACAATTAAGGACATCATGATCAATTTTCTCCTGATCTATCTCCAAGCAAGTGAATATCTATATATATGTATTGTTGGCACTCTAAGATTTCTATATCATAAATAATAAACAAATTACCTTTGTTTATGGATGGATAGATTAAACTGTGACATTAGAGAATAACATATAACACACACACATGACACATCTTGGTCATCTAACTTTCTATTTTGACTGAGACATCTTACAACAGCATGTACAAACTTCTGGGAATTCAGAAATGCCACAATATCTTCATGCTGACTTTTGAAGTTCTATAAAAGATTTATTTTAAAGTGAAAAGCATTTCATATTGTAATACAAGGAAAAAGTCTGAAACAAGTTTTAGAATATTAAAGGGCTGTCAGTCCTAAAAAAGCAACATTAAGAATGTAAAGTTACCAATCACTAAGTAACATTTATCTGTCTTCTGATATATTTAACTGTCTTGAAACATTTCAAAAGAACATAACTCCTGTAAAAATAGTTGATAGGCACTGATTTTTGAAATCATCCAAGACATATAAACTTTTGATATTAATTTCATAAACCTGAAAAGAGATGAAAGCTTGAGAACCCTGACAATCCAATTGTTCATAGACTCTACATTTCCAAAGGACATAACTCCTGTAAAAATAATCTATCGCATATTTTCAAAACTCGATAATTACTGATATAAACCTTTGATAAAAGCTTAAAAAAAAATACTTTCATGAAATTTGGGATTGAGATGGTTTAAAATGCAGTTTTCCATACAATATATATTCCCAAGGGACATAATTCCTTAAATAAAATGCTCCGCAGGGCGCAGCTTGATACGACCGCAGAGGTCGAACCCTGAATAGTTGGGGCAAGTATGGACACAACATTCAAGCTTGATACAGCTCTGAATTTGGATTGTGATTAAATATTTGACACAGCATAGGTTTCTGACACAGAATGAATGTGGTCTAATAACTTAAAAATTTTAAATTGGACATTCACCTATTATGGTCCAATATCCAAAATCTAAATACATGGTTAGTCTCAGCATATCAAAGAACCCAAAGAATTCAATTTTTGATGAAATCAAACAAAGTTTAATTTTGGACCCTTTTGACCTCAATGTGGACAAAGTTGATAACGGGGCCCAAAAATCTAAATACATGGTTAGATTCAGCATATCAAAGAACCCCATATATTCAATTTTTGTTGAAATCAAACAAAGTTTAATTTTGGACCCCGATTTGGACCAACTTGAAAACTGGGCCCATAATCAAAAATCTAAATACATGTTTAGATTCAGCATATCAAAGAACACTAAAAATTCAATTTTTGTTAAAATCAAACTAAGTTTAATTTTGGACCCTTTGGACCTTAATGTAGACCAATTTGAAAACGGAACCAAAAATTAAGAATCTAAATACACGGTTAGATTCGGCATATCAAAGAACCCCAATAATTCAATTTTTGATGAAATCAAACAAAGTTAAATTTTGGACCCTTTGGACCTCAATGTGGACCAATTTAAAAATGGGGCCCAAAATCCAAAAACTTAATACACGGTTATATTCAGCATATTAAAGAACCCCAAGAATTCAAGAATAAAACCCCATTGAAATTGATCAAGAAATAAGCAATTTATAAGAAGTATCTTCTTTTGCACAATACTGTGCAATTGAATATTTCTTGCTATTGCGCAATACTGTACAATTGACAATTTTTTGCTATTGCGCAATATTGTGCTATTGGATATTTCTTGCTATTGCGCAATACTGTGCAATTGAAGATTTCTTGCTATTGCGCAATACTGTGCAATTGAAGATTTCTTGCTATTGTGCAATACTGTGCAATTGAAAATTTCTTGCTATTGCACAATACTTATTATATAAAAATTTACACATCCTGTTTGGTGTGTATCTCCTACCATATCATTATTATTTGCTTTTAAATATAAATCAGAAATAACCAACTTAAAATGGAAAATTTTAAAAGAAAAAAAAAAGGAAAAAAAGAAAAAAAAAGAAAAAAAAAAATCCACCCCCCCCAAATTTTTTGAACCCCCTTATGATTCATCACCCCCAAACTCAATCAAAGCCTTCCCTTTGTGGTACGGTACCTTGCAGTACAATTTCAGAGAGATCCATACACTTGAACACAAGTTATTGTCTTGAAACTAGAAAAATGCTTATTTTTGGCCCCTTTTTGGCCCCCAATTCCTAAACGTTTCAGGCAATTACCCCCGAACTCAATTCCAGCTTTTCCTTTGTGATATGAAACCTTGTAGTACAATTTCAGAAATATCCAAACACTTACACACAAGTTATTGTCATGAAACTAGAAAAATGCTTGTTTTTTGCCCCTTTTTTGGCCCCCAATTCCTAATATTTTGAGGCAATTACCCCCAAAATCAATTACAGCCTTCCCTTTGTGATATGGAACCTTGTGGTACAATGTCAGAGAGATCCATACACTTACACACAAGTTATTGTCTGAAAGTTACAAAAATGCTTATTTTTGGCCCCTTTTTGGCCCCTAATTCCTTAACTGTTGGTACCATAACCCCCAAAATCAATCCCAACCTTCCTTTTGTGGTATTGAACCTTATGGTAAAATTTTATGGAGATCCATTCACTTAAACTAAAGTTAGAGTGCGAAAACCAATGTGTCTTCGGACGACGCCGGACGACGCCAGACGACGACGACGACGACGCCAACGTCATACCAATATACGACCAAAAAATTTTTAATTTTTGCGGTCGTATAAAAATAGGTTATTGGCAATGATTTTCTTATTCCTCTGAGACATGCTGAATAAACCTGCTTTACTGACCATGAATGAATTTTATGTTGAAAGACTTTAAGATAAAAATTTTCTACATGTATCAGATGAAATTTTAAAATAAAATAATGAGGTCAAGGTGAGATGAACCCTGCCAGACATGTACATCTTTAAAATCATTCAATATATCAAATATAGTCGACCTATTGCTTAGAGTATCCCAGAAAAGGATCTGATCATGAAAACTTTAATGCTGACCAACAAAGCATGAAAATGATGTCAAGATCAGATAAACCCTGCCAGACAGTCATGTACAGCATAAAATCATTCTAATCATTAAATATTGTTGACCTGTTGCTCAAAGCCTTATAGTTTCTGAGAAACGGTCCTAACCCTGAAAACTTAACAATAATCACTCATCCATTAAAGGAGGTCGTATTGTTTTTATTTAAATTCTTACTTTTTTTTTATGTGACAAAATTCTGATAATTAACATTATTGACATTTTACAAGGTTCCACAATTTGTATTTTAGATAATACATGATATGAAGTACCCAGTTCTTTTACTTTCTGAAACATAAAGCTTTATACAAATAGTTTATGACTTTGTTGTAGTGGAATTAGAATCCTTATGTTAAGCATTCTGCTACATTTGTCACAGGCAAGGCACACACCTTTTTAATTATGACTCATGGTTGATACTTCCTGATATCGACATGTAGAAAGCTCAATTGCTTTTATCATCATAAATCCTTTTAGAATTTTAAAATCGTTGCTGAGAATAACTTACAATATTAGAATCAGTCTCCATTTCCTCCTCTTCTGAATCTGAATCTTCATTTGAACCAAACTTACTGTGAACAGCAACACATGGTAAAAGTTGTTTCAGAACTAACAGTAAGTTCAGTACATCTGGAGTAGACATAGAATCTACAAAACATACAATATCCATCATGACCATGATTACCGAAACTCCTTTAATTTAAACTCCATTATGTTATTAATACAGATATGTCCTAGTAATAAATATAACAATAAAATGAAGAGAAATGGTGTTATGTCAATAAGACAGCTACCCAATATGGCCAATCACAAGATTCACTCATCATATAAACATATGACACCTTGATATTTACATGAAAATCAATACAAAAATAAATGTGGATAGTGTCCACATGTGAACACAGATGATGCCCCCGCTTGCATATCATATAGTTATAAAGGGACATAACTGAAGAACAGTAAAAGTGACGCTACCCAAATTTGAACTTGATCTGAGTTTTGTGGTAATAAGCATTGTGTGTACGTCTCATAACATTCGGTTGAGGCTAACTTAAGTAAAGAACAGAAACTAAAAATTCAACAATTTTTCTATTTGTAAACACGCATAACTCTAGAACGGTTGTGTATAAGTTTTATAAGATTTGGTTGAGAATGACTAAAGTTAGAGAACAGAAACGAAAAATTCAGCAATTTTTATGTTTATAAAGGGACATAACTCAAGAATGGTAAAAGTGTCACCACCAAATTTCGTACTTAATCTGTATTATGTAGTAATAAGCATTGTGTATAAGTTTCATAACATTTGGTTGAGGCAAACTAAAGTTAGAAAACGGAAACAAAATTTTGAACTTGATCTTAGTTTTGTGGTAATGAATATTGTGTATAGGTTTCATAATGTTTGGTTGTGGCAAACTTAAGTTACAGATTGGAAACTAAAAATTTTGCAATCTTTCGATTTATAAAGGGGCATAACTCAATAATGGTTAAAGTGACACTACCCAAATTCAACTTGCTCTGTGTTTTATCAGTGGAAGTCAAAATTAAACATTGCATTGTATAAAGCATTGATTGTAGTTAATTCAACTATAATCATGGACAAAGGAAGATAACTCCAGTTTTAAAAATTACTTGATATTTAGAAGAAAATAAAAATTTTGCAATTTTTCCATTTATAAAGGGGCATAACTCTAGAACGGTTAAAGTGACGTCACCAAAATTCAAATTTGATCTGTGTTTTGTGGTATAAGCATTGTGTATAAGTTTCATAACATTTGGTAGAGGCAAACTTAAGTTAGAGAACAGAAACTAAATATTTTGCAATTTTTCTATTTATAAAGGGACATAACTCTAGAACGGTTAAAGTGACGCCACCAAAATTCAAACTTGATCTGTGTTTTGTGGTATAAGCATTGTGTATAAGTTTCATAATATTTGGTTAAGGCAAACTCAAGTTCGAGAAAGGAAACCAATTTTGGGAATACGTACGTACAGACGGACAAGGGTAAAACTTAATGCCCCCACCGCTACAGCGGGGGCATAAAAATTATTTACAAAATGTTCCATAGTTTTTTTATATATATCTTGTATTGCAGATTTTTGCTGTTTTCAGTTTTATTATATGTTTCAAAATCATAGACAATAGAAATAGACAATATATAAAAAATAATCATTTTAAAGGAAATAACTACTTTAAGGAATTCTAAAATTGTTTAAAAAATATTGGCATTTTTGTAAATCTTGTATTGTTGATTATTTTAGCTGTTAAGGTGGATCATCGTTATATATTTCCTCAGATGGAATTTTCTTATACTTTGCCAAAATGAAGATTTTACTATGCTTTTTTCAATGATATAATAAAAAGTATGAGTCACTGTGTTATTTTTCAAGCTACAAGTCATGCAAAATTGCCCAAACTTGCATAGATTGTTCATGAAAAAACACATTATTGTGAATAAAAAGAAATTTATGAGATAGAATTTTGAAATAAAATATGAGAAGATAGGTTTTATAATATGCTTAAAGAAAATAAAAAGAAAAAAATGGTATCACCAAACTTGTTTTCTTGCTACAAGTAAAAAATGTAAATTTCACTATCATTCCAGTATATATTTTTTTTCACAATAAGAGTTATCTCCCCTTAAATGGCTAATATAAAAAAAAATTGATTCTTAAAAGCACTTAGTATTTGTTTAGACATATTGGATAATGCAATAAATCACTTATTTGTCTTTATACAAATAAACAGTTTTACACCTAAATTGCAAATTTGTCTCAAAATTTGCAGATTTAGGCAAAACATTAGAGCGATTGTATAATGCTATTATACAATCCAAGATGGCAGTATACAGTTTCTGTGCATCTATAAAAATTTTCAAGAGAGAAGCTACAATGCTAGAAAGTGTCAATTAAGGGCAATAACTCATATAAGGGGTCAAATTATAGTTTCATTCATTTTGCATTTCAGTAGATCTTGTATTGCTGATCATTTTAGCTCTCTACAACTTCTGTCTATCTATTATAGTTTTGAGGTTAATAGACAACAATACGTAAATTAGTCAAAAACTGTTATTTAACCCTTTCATGCCGAAGTTTTCCTTTTGGCACCCTTGTGCCCATGCACCGATGTTGATGCCAAAATTTTCCTTAAGGATAGATAAGTTTCTATTTTTAGATGGTCCAAATACAAATAGAAAAAAATAACATTTAAACGGATTTCTTGACCCAGTTGTTCAATAAATAATATAATAATTAATTAATGTATACCATATATTTGTATCAGATGTAAAAACGCTGACAAATACAATGTTTTTTCAAAGAATGTTGAGAGAAAAAACAAAATGGTGGAATCAGAATCAATCCTTCTTGTGTGTTTCATTTCAAGTGAATACATTTAGAAAACTTAACGTGTGGTCATGAAAGCAGTCATTTGATAATTTGGATACAGATATAAAGTAAGTAGATTTTGACATTCTGAAATTTTTTTTCTATCAGATATTTTGCATCATGTATTATTTTCATAATATTACTTGCATTTTACTCATATGTTCCATTTTTAGACATGGCAACTTTGTTGGTTGAAATCAAACTATAATATAATTCACAAACTAACATCTACACACCCTAAGGATCAATCCTTTTAAGTTTGGTTTCATTAGTTTAGGAGGAGAAAGTTTTTAAAAGATGTTTACAATGGATGATAATGGAAGTCAAGTGATAACAAAAGCTCTGCATGATCCTTTGGCAGCAGGAAATGTACACATATAAAATTCTTCATAAAGTGGCAAATTTAAGGGAGAGTCACCCTCCACCATCTTCAGGATCCCTAATTTTGTTTTATCAAATATAAATCAAAGAGAATTGACTCTTTGGCAGTCTTCATTCTGTAAATACACAATCCATCTTTTCTACCTCATTTCAATTTCAATAATCAAAAAGAACTAGCGTTTTCTCCACTTTCCCAAACATCATATAGATGCACTGTACATTCCTATAAATATTCTGTTTTTCTTCTAATTATTGTAATTCCATAAAAAACATGACTAAAACACAGAGATTTTTACCTAAATATCTTTCAGCAAATGTTACTACTGCAGTTAATAACCATTGAGTCTTTGGTATATCTGTAATATCATCATATCTTTGACTTTTCACCTTTGAGGTATCACTTGTCTGTTGAAGAAGTGCTTGTATGAGCTCAACAAGAGGAAATGGAAATTTGTTATAAGCCATTGCTGGTAGAAGGAATTGTTCAATCTGTTCACTGAAGGCTGGACAGAAGAAGGATCTACACAAGGACTTCAGGATAAACTGACTATAAAAAAAACATTCAATTGTAAGTATGGTAAATCAAAGATAAAATTTATACCTAAATCAAGCAATCTGACTTCAGTCATTTTTATTTCAAAACTTAACAATTTAAATCGAAACTTAACAATTTAAAAAATCTTCTGTGACAATCTAAATAAAAATTATAAATTACAAAAAAAACCCATTTATTTAATGGTTTATGGTGTAGCAACTCTTTTAACACAGAGAACTGCAAAGCAAAGAACTGCATATAAACTAGGACTACTATATAAATGTATTCATGTATTAGTCCCAGATATCAACAGCACTGTGAAATGACTCATTTCTGAACAATGTTCATGAAGCTTTTAATGACATTACTATGAAACTGCAATGATGTTACTAAGTTGTAAAACTTGTGTCTACTCCATTTGTCATTTTGAACAATCAAGTATTTCAAACCAGCTTGTAATGTGAATCAAATCACTTTTTAAAACATAACAACTAAACCTATAGAGAACCTTTACAGATATACTGACCTGAATACTTTGTTCTTCACCTCTGTAGCATATACAATAGGTGACATAATGAGGGAAAATATACTGCCTGCTTGTGGTGTTGGGGGCACTGTGGATTTTTCTAAGTTAGAGGGTACTTTAGCTTCAAAAATAGTCCTCATGTACTCAAAGTAACCTGAAATTGTTTATGATTACAAATTGAAGTGGAAATCCAGTTCCAATCTTCTGTAAATATTTTAATAAATACAACAGAAAAATTACATTCTTTAATTGGAAAATATCAAATTGAAAATTACCCTTACAAGGATTTGACAAGGCTTTGTTCTATTTTCTGTTTAAAAGACCTTTTTGGATCATAGGGTTTTTTGGTAATGATACACACCTTCCAGAAGGTAGAATGGAGCCTTGTCAGATCCTTGTAAGTGAAGAGTGGACACACATGGACACAAAATCTATCTTTTAATAAGATGTGATACCTACAATAGGTCTGGGAATACTAATAAAATTATCATCCATCAACTGAGACTATAACTTGAAATATTCATTTCTAGAATTGCCAGCCCAACCCCCATTTACTGCTCACTTTATAAAAAATAACTTTGAATGTACAAATGTTAGTGATGTACCCCTGACAGCCAAAACATACCATAATGTCAAACTGCTATTAGAATAGACAGGATCGGTTTTTGAGATTCTGTGACACTTGACTGGATGTGACATTTTAACATATTAAGCTCAATCTCTTTTTTGGTTTGTGTTGATGGGTTAAAGTTTTAATAACTTTCATCCAACAAATGAATAATTAAATGTATCTAATTCAAAATTGTTTACCTTTTTCAATAAGGTGGGACCAAATAACTGACAAATGACTGTGATTTTTGTACAGATTCTGTGATGTAAATGTTTCCAACATCCTCATTGGTACTGCTATAGGTTGTGATGTATCAGCTATAGATACCAAGTATCTGTTAATAAAATAATAGCTGGCATATTACAAAAAATATCTAATATATGCAGGTCTTATAAGAAGTGTACTGTAAATTGACTAATATTACACATCAAATCAGGTCTTATAAGAAGTAAACTGTAAATTGTCTGACAGTTTAAAAACTGTTAAATCAAACTTTTCTGGTGTTTTTATAATTGTGAAAGTCATCGCAAATAGGTTTTGCAAAAATTAAAAACTCCCATTTCAAATTTGAATAGCATTTTTTGTATGCAGTATTTACTGGAAGCATGAATACTTATCTCATATTTTTGTCCATTCTTCAAAAACTGCACTAATGATAAATGCATGCATTGTTTTTCTAATACCATTAGGGTTCCTACCAGGAATAGTAATGAAGGGCTATGTAAACATTAGGTCATCTTGACCATCTTAACCTACATTTTGCATGAAACTGAGATTCTATATCTTTAAGAGTAAGGAAGCCACTTTTCCTTCATTTTCCCTTCTATTTTTAATACATTTAATGTAACAATAAAATAGTTAAAGTATCACAAATAAAGCAGACTGTTACAACTACTTTATTTCTTTCTTTCTTGAACTATAGGTTCGAACTATATGCATGTATATAGATATTTCATATGTATACCTTAAGCAAAGGACCAACAATCTGTTGATGAGAAATGATCTCTGTGGTTTTTGACTATACAACACAGCAATTATATTTTCTTTTGACTTTATTATATTCTGACAAAGCCAAATCTGTAAAAGAAATCAAATCATTTTACTGTAATAAGTTATTTTCTGTAAATATGAAAGGACTTACAATTTCTGCTATTCAAGAAAAAAAAATGGGTTAACTATTTTTAATTTAGAAATATCAGATTAGGAACAGCACAAACTAACGCAAAAATGTTTTATTAACAACCAGAAGCACATTGGTTTGTTGTTATACAGACTACAGTGAACATGTGCTCATGTTTACAGCTATATATTATTTAAATCATTTTTAACATAACAATAAATAATCTTAGCATAGGTAAGTGTTTAAAGTTTTGTCATATTATAGCTCTGACTAGTCTTTTGCGGTTGAAGTTTACATTAAAAATATATTTTCTTAGTCTGACAATATGAAGCTCAGTCTTAGACCAGTAAATTCTCCATCCACCCACCCACCTTTCTAACATATTTTGTACAATGTATTCATAATCATAATAATTGTAACACACAATTTTTCTACTGACATAATAAGAGTATCTAAGTAGATTTTTTTTTTGTATAAATGCTTGCTCCGTGTTGAAGACCGTACTTTGACCTATAATGGTTTACTTTTATAAATTTTGACTTGGATGGAGAGTTGCCTCATTGGCACTCATACCACATCTTCTTATATCTATTGAATGATTTCTATTTCTTGATTTTTGTTGTTCTTGATATATTCATATGACATGTATGTGGCTTGAGGCTGTGTCCCTAAGAAACATTAATGACAGTTTTTTGTTTTATAAAATGAAACTTTGCTGCACTAGTCTAGGCAAGCTGTTCCCATAGATATGTGTTTTGGTTTATGTTCATATACTTTATATGTGTCTGAAGAAGGTTGTATTTGCATCGATGAAAGGGAAATAAAATGGCCATTTCATGATGAATTAAAAATAAAAAAGTGCTTTTTTACAAATTAGCACAAAACAAAGAGAATAATGAGCTTCAAGCACAAAAACAAGTGAAATAAAAATTGCAAACACTTTGCACAAAAATAACAGTTTACATTTTCATACTAAATTTTGTAGCTCCATTAAACTACAAAAACTTCCCAGAGTAAAACTGTTCAAAATTATTTATGCATTCATACTTGTATTAAATAAGCATTACCATACATTGTTATGGTAGTATTTATCTAATACTATTTATGTTATATCATGAGATGAACTTGACCTTTTAACAACAATTTGTAAGTATAATGTGTTCTTCTGTCATAAAGCAAGCTCATATTGCAAGACATGTATGTTAAGAGGTTTTAAGATGCATCATGATGTAGTTATGAAATAATGTTACATTTAGTACTTGTTTTATTTAATACAAGAGAACAGAGTATATAACTACCAGTCTTTGGCCATCTTTCTTCACATCACAAAAATAACCTAGTTTTCCAGTTAATTTCAACAAGAAATTTGCATCTGTGGTGTTTTTCTTTAAATTGCTTTCTTTATCAAACTCAATCCTCAACCGTTCAGCCTGAAAAAAATAATATTTTTATTGAATTTGGTGGAAATATTTTATTTATGCTAATTTGAATGTTCATGTTTTAGATGTTATATTTTTTATAACATACATATTTCATAATGTTTTCTTGAAGAATAAAGATAATTAAATTCACAACTGTTAAGGTATCTTCTTTTCCATAATTCTTACCTCTTTCAACCTTTTGAAAACAGTAATTTTTTTAAATATTAATGTGAAGTTTTTTCGATCTCAGCTTTTAATTGATCAATTCTAGTTATGAAATCATATTACTTTTTCACATTAAAAAAAGTGTGACAATGTCTGATTACATTAAAACTTTTTAAAGGGTTCTGTGAAACCCTGTGTATCTCTTTTAATTGCTGCTGTTAGTGTTAAAGTGTAATGTTGATTTCTAAAAAGTCCATTTATCAGTAATATACAATACCTTTTTTTAAAATTTAATTTGAAATTTTTTCTTCAGTTGCTACTTCTTTATCTTACAAGTTTCATAACATTCCATAAAGGTTCAACAATGTTATAATGGTCTTAAATGTAATCTGAGACTACATTGTATGTGTAAATTTTAACTTTAAAGAAAAACTTGTCAGTAAAATAAGGAAAATAAATGGGGAATGTGTCCATGGGACACAGATGATGCCCCCGTTTGCATATAACGTTATAAAGGGCATTTATAAAACTCAAGAAAGGCAAAAGTGACGTCACCCAAATTGGAACATGATCTGTGTTATATGGTAATAAGCATTATGTGTAAGTTTCATAACATTTGGTTGAGGCAAACTAGTTAGAGAACGGAAACTTATTTTGGGACATATGTACGTACAGACGGACAGACGGACAAGGATAACGCTTTAATGCCCCCTCCGCTGCGTCGGGGGCATAATAAAAAATGTATTTTGAAAATTTTTATTCTGACATTATTTCTTAATCATAAAAAGGCTTCTGCCAAAGTTTCATAAAAATTCTGTTTAAGAAGGGTTGACATTTTTGATGTCCAAAAAACTGTAACCCCAAACTGTATCTAAGTGTTAACTAAAACCCAAAAAGCTTAGTTCTTTTATTAGTAAATATGGATAAAATGAGAAAAAAAATAATCAAAATTTGCAGTGGATACTGTCTTTTCATCATAAAAAAAGCATCTGTCCAAGTTTCATAAAAGTCCATGAAGGTTTGACAAAGTTATTGATGTCTGAGAAACTTTAATAGAAATAAGATGTGGTATAACCTTAGACACGATCTTAATATTATCTGCAAAAAAACTAAGTTCATTTATCTGTAAAATACGTAATAAAATAACAGTTATAAACTGTTAACACCGAGATATGTCTCGCCTTTTTGTTCTTTTAATAATGCAAATGTTGAAATTAAAATAGCAATACTTTAACATGTATTAAGTTATACAAAGATTCAAAGTCAATGAACCATGACTGAAGGTACATGGCAAAACAATCTCCATGGAAAAGAGATGTGCCAATGCTAATACAACTGCATACCAAATACCATAGACCTATCATCAACAAACCTAAACACAAACATTGACTTGTAAACTATGTAAAAGTTTCAAAGTCAATGAACCATGATGAGGGGGTGGTGCTATATAATCTCCATGGAAACAAGACTTGCAAATGCCAATAAATTTGCATACCAAAATATCATTGACTTAACATACATGTGTACCAATTAACATTGGCCTACCACTAATGGTTCCCCTTGAACTGACCTAATCACAAACTAATACATGTAAACTAAGCAAAAGTTTCGAAGTCAAAAGACCATGACTGCGAGGGCGAGACCAAATATTCTCCATGGAAATGAGATATGCCAATGCTTATACAACTGCATACCAAATATCATTGACTTACCACCAGTGGTTCCCCTTGAACTGACCTAATCACAAACTAATACATGTAAACTAAGCAAAAGTTTTAAAGTCAATAGACCATGACTGAGGGGGCAGAGCCAAATAATCTCCATGGAAATGAGATATGCCAATGCTTATACAACTGCATACCAAATATCATTGACTTACCACTAGTGGTTCCCCATAAACTGACCTAATCACAAACTAATACATGTAAACTAAGCAAAAGTTTCAAGATCAATAGACCATGACTGAGGGGGCAGGGCCAAATAATCTCCATGGAAATGAGATATGCGAGTGCTAATACAACTGCATACCAAATATCATTGACCAACCACTAGTGGTACACCTTAAACTAGACCTAATCACAAACTAATACATTGTTGACGACGCCGCCTACCCCGGAAACAGCATACCTATGTCTCGCTTTTTGACTCCGTCAAGGCGAGACAAAAATGAAAGAAAAAAAAAATTTCAAAGTTTTTTTATCTGAAAAACTTCTGTCCAAGTTCCATTAATTTCATGAAGGTTTCACAAAGAGAGTGATGTCTAAAAAAACTAACCACAAGCAGAACCTAAATGTTGATGCTGCCAAGGATGACAGAATGTAGGATTGCTGTGTCTTGCTTCCACGACAAAATGTTGCAGGCTCAACAATAACAAAACAGCACTTAATTTTGTTTATAAACAGAAACAGTATGGATAGTACTTTTGAAGAAATGAAAAAAAACACATATTATCAAACAAAACTTAAATGATGTACGTACACATTTCTTTCTGACAGAATATCCACGATAATAAGACTGAATGCATACTGTACTATCAGCTCTTCTTCTCTGGTCCTGTAATTGTAAAATTGGTTTTAGTAAATCTATCGTGATAACAATTTTAGATAGAAACAGTCGGATTGTAATTAGTGTTCAAAATTATCTGGGAAACTAAAAAAAAATGCAGATATTTTTAATGAAAGTCAAGAATTCATATGTAATGAAGTGTCAAAATATAAATATTTCAAAGCCTTTACTTGCACAGGGTAATTAAAAATTCAGTGTTTTCCCTAGGCTATTCAAGCATTGCGTTACCGCTATGCATAAATTTCGACCGCCATGCTTTCATCATTGCCATAATACATCCCCCTATGTGTGAAAATTATAACTGTGTAAAATATTTATTATCAATATTTTAAAAGTGAAGTGACAAGTGACAACACTCCATAGGTGTTTTAAACTCATCCGACTGATAACTGGATGCATCATGTCGCACATGCTGGGATTTTACAACCTTCTTGATTAGTTGGTTATACATCAAGTCCTCGGTTACATAATAGAAGTTACCAGTTAGCTGATAAATAAATATCAGATTAATCTCCAATGCACAACTTTCTGTGCTAAATAAAAAGTTTTACCTTTTCCAGTATAAATTTCACCTTTAAAACGGGTGTTTGACATTGTTATTTTACTGTGATCTTTAAAAAGTAGAAATCAAAATTTGGTATAGTCTCTGGTATTTATTATAAAATAAAACTAACATAATTTCACCAAGAATGGACAAAACATTTTTTTTTTAATAAAGTTTCGCAGATATTTCATCAGTATTTTTACATCCATGAATTATTTTTTGATTGATCACAACAATCATTTATTTTTAGATTAGTTGCAGTTGATCGATTTTATCAAACACATCACTGCCACGAGGTAGAGAAAAGATGTGTCTTCTGAATTATTTAAAAGTTTTGATAGAAAACTTTTCAAAACATACGTAGTTATTTATGGAAATATTGTTTTTAAATAAATTGTTGTTCTATTTTTATTTTAATGGGCTTAATTGTAGCAGATTCATTTGCCGTTTTTGTCGAGCCTGCGACTTTTTTCGCAAACGCGTGACATAGCGATCCTACATTCCGTCGGTGTCGGCGGTGTCCAAAAATATTCACCCTGTGGTTAAAGTTTTTGAAATTTTAATAACTTTCTTAAACTATCCTGCATTTCAACCAAACTTGTACAGAAGCTTGTTTATGATCATAAGATAGTATCCAGAAGAAAATTTTGTAAAAAAAAATCCTGTTTATCCGTATTTTACTCATATATGGACTTAGTTTTTCTGCCAGTTAACATTACATTCACTCTGTGGTTAAAGTTTTTGAAATTTAAATAACTTTCTTTAACTATCCTAGATTTGTACCAAACTTGGACAGAAGATTGTTTATAATCATAAGATAGTATCCAGAAGAAAATTTTGTAAAAAAAAATCCTGTTTATCCGTATTTTACTCATATATGGACTTAGTTTTTCTGCCAGTTAACATTACATTCACTCTGTGGTTAAAGTTTTTGAAATTTAAATAACTTTCTTTAACTATCCTAGATTTGTACCAAACTTGGACAGAAGATTGTTTATAATCATAAGATAGTATCCAGAAGAAAATTTTGTAAAAAAAAATCCTGTTTATCCGTATTTTACTCATATATGGACTTAGTTTTTCTGCCAGTTAACATTACATTCACTCTGTGGTTAAAGTTTTTGAAATTTAAATAACTTTCTTTAACTATCCTAGATTTGTACCAAACTTGGACAGAAGATTGTTTATAATCATAAGATAGTATCCAGAAGAAAATTTTGTAAAAAAAAATCCTGTTTATCCGTATTTTACTCATATATGGACTTAGTTTTTCTGCCAGTTAACATTACATTCACTCTGTGGTTAAAGTTTTTGAAATTTAAATAACTTTCTTTAACTATCCTAGATTTGTACCAAACTTGGACAGAAGATTGTTTATAATCATAAGATAGTATCCAGAAGAAAATTTTGTAAAAAAAAATCCTGTTTATCCGTATTTTACTCATATATGGACTTATTTTTTCTGCCAGTTAACATAACATTCATTCTGTGGTTAAAGTTTTTCAATTTTAATAACTTTCTTAAACTATCCTGGATTTGTACCACACTTGGACAGAAGCTTCTTTATGATCAAAAGCTAGTATATAGAAGGAAATTTTGTAAAAATTTATTTCCTGTTTTTCCGTATATTACTTATAGATGGACTTCCAGTTAACATTATGTACAGTCGGCAGTTAAAAGTTTTTAAAACATTTATTAGATTCATAAACCTTCTTGGATTTTTACCAAACTTGAACAGAACTTCATACAATCAAAAGATAGTGTCTAGAGGAAAAATTTTTAATAATTTTTTCCCCTTTTTTGTTGAGCCTGCGACTAACAGCAAAAGTAGGCGAGACACTGGGTTCCGTGGAACCCTTACGAATTTTTTACACAAGTGGGGCTTAAATTTCTTTCACTTCGACAAGAATGGATTTTTACAATTATGAAGCGTTATAAATAAATCTGACAGGGATGTACGTATTTAAAAATAAATGTGGATAGTGTCCACATGTGGACACAGATGATGCCCCCACTTGCATATCATATAGTTATAAAGGGACATAACTGAAGAACGGTAAAATTGACACTACCCAAATTTGAACTTAATCTGAGTTTTTTGGTAATAAGCATTGTGTGTAAGTCTCATAACATTTGGTTGAGGTTAACTTAAGTAGAGAACAGAAACTAAAAATTCAGCAATTTTTCTATTTGTAAACACGCATAACTCTAGAACGGTTGTGTATAAGTTTTATAACATTTGGTCGAGACAAACTAAAAGTAGAGAATGGAAACGAAAAATTCAGCAATATTTATGTTTATAAAGGGACATTTATCAAGAATGGTAAAAGTGTTGCCACCAAATTTCGTATTTAATCTGTATTATGTAGTAATAAGCATTGTGTATAAGTTTCATAACATTTGGTTGAGGCAAACTAAAGTTAGAAAACAGAAACAAAAAATTTGTACTTAGTTTTGTGGTAATGAATATTGTGTATAGGTTTCATAATGTTTGGTTGGGGCAAACTTAAGTTACAGAATGGGAACTAAAAATTTTGCCTTCTTTCAATTTGTAAAGGGGCATAACTCAATAATGATTAAAGTGACACTACCCAAATTCAACTTGATCTGTGTTTTATCAGTGGAAGTCAAAATTAAACATTGCATTGTATAAAGCATTAATTGTAGTTGATTCAACTATAATCATGGACATAGGAAGATAACTCAAATTTTAAAAATTACTTGATATTTAGAAGAAAATAAAAAATTTTCAATTTTTCCATTACTAAAGGGGCATTACTCTAGAATGGTTAAAGTGACACCACCAAAATTCAAACTTGATCTGTGTTTTGTGGTAATAAGCATTGTGTATGAGTTTCATAACATTTGGTGAGGCAAACTAAAATTAGAGAACGGAAACGTAAAGGGGCATAACTCTAGAACGGTAAAAGTGACGCCACCAAAATTCAAACTAGATCTGTGTTTTGTGGTAATAAGCACTGTGCATGAGTTTCATAACATTCGGTTGAGGCAAACTAAAGTTAAAGAACAGAAACGAAAAATTCAGCAATTTTTCCATTTGTAAAGGGGCATAACTCTAGAACGGTAAAAGTGACGCCACCAAAATTCAAACTTGATCTGTGTTTTGTGGTAATAAGCATTGTGTATAAGTTTCATAACATTTGGTTGAGGCAAACTAAAGTTAGAGAACGGAAACGATAAATTCAGCAATTTTCCATTTGTAAAGGGGCATAACTCTAGAACGGAAGAAGTGACGCCACCAAAATTCAAATTTGATCTGTGTTTAGTGGTAATAAGTATTGTGTATAAGTTGCATAACATTTGGTTGAGGCAAACTAAAGTTAGAGAACGGAAACCAATTTTGGGACGTACGTACGTACGTTTGTACGTATGTACAGACGGACAAGGGTAAAACTTAATGCTACGGCGGGGGCATAAAAAATAGTTAATTGTCATGAAATAAAATGTCAGTTTAGCTTCCAAACAGGTAATTGCCAAATATCTCATCCCTATGTCAGGTATTCTTCATTGACGACTTCTGTATAACTTTTAATTAACGCAAATAAACTTTTTTTTATTGTTTCCTGTAAAATCTCTGTGAAACAATGATGACATTCAAAGTTTTATTTAACAACTTGCTGTTGATGCTGAAACATATTCTATCAGCAAAATTCCAAGAACAATCATCATTTTAACAACCATGTCCAAGAAACCATCAAATGTAAAGACATGATTTAGGCAGACAATGAAAAAAGTTGCCAGTCTTGGAACTTTGTATCCTTGTCTAAGTATGCAGCAATTGGTCTTGTTTTGCCAGTTTCAAAAGCTTATTGTGAAAGGTGTTTTTCATGTTGAAACAGAGATAAAACACCTTTGAGAAACAGATTATGCCAAAAAGTGCTGAATTGCTTAATGCATATATTAATTGACGGACCAAAGGAGGAAGATTTTGACTTTGAAAAATGTGTGGTGACCCTTGGAAAGTTGAAACACAGGAAGATATCAACAAAATAATGTGTACATGACATTAATTTGTAAATAACTATTGCAGACTGGATTATTTTTATTATTGTTTATAAGGTCTTTCATTAATTCCTCTCATCTATAGATATACTGTTCCCAGCTATGATAAAACAATTAGACTGGTATATGGCTTTAAACATATAAATTATGTAGTGTAACCAATTCTGAAAAAGAAGCATTGCACGCCGCGTTGCAAATTCACCATGGATCCATGCATGAAAAATTTTCTAGGGAAGACACTGCGGGTTTGTTAACTATTTATGTTTTTTTTCATTACTATAGTCTTTTGATTTAGAAAATGTATACTATGGTTATATAAAACAAAGTTACCTCTCTTTTCTGTCTTTCTGTTTGGGCTCGCTTTATCAAAAGATCTTTTTCTTCCTGAAATAAATAAATTTATGAAAAAAATGAATATTCTATTAATATTTATTCATACATGTAAATTGTATGTAAATTAAATTTATGTACATTTTGTTGTCTATTGAGATTGCATTTCACATCATGAGAGAAAAAGTTATAGGCTCCCAGGAGCCTAAATGGCTCATCATGATATCTTTTACCTGAATAGTAAAAAAATAGACTTTTCATCAAAAACCATAGTCAAATGAAAGTAACAACATACATGTATGGTAACTACATGTACCTTCTAAAGAACATTTTTAATGCTTTGTTTTTGTTTCCCTTTCATGTACTTTTTAATTTTTCAAAAACAAAATCGCTTTAAGTACCAATAAATACAATATTCAAAGATTTTACTACTGTGTTAAGTTGATAGCCTTTTAGAATAATAACCTCTTTTGTCATAAATTTTCATATAAAGTTTCTCATGTCAAACTGAAACATCCAAATCTAGAAAAAAAAAATTATTGCTGTTTTTTTTTTACATGTAGCTATATTTAAAGTAAATTCCTTTGGGTAAATTCCGCAGTAAAATTAAAAAATTCTCAATTATTCAAAGCAAAAATATCAAGGTAACTGTGAGCGTTTATAAATTTATCTGTTTAATGTAATTTTGATGAATCTTTACTGAGTAAGGCCATAAACTATGATTCATAACAATACAGGAAAAAGTCTGATATTAAAAGGGTGCAATTGGTGCCCATAGGTATACCTACAACCCATCAATTAAATTTTGCCACAGTAAAATGCACCACCATGTACATTTTGTAAGTATGGCAAGTTAAAAAATCATTTTTTTGACTGATCTGGTACAGATTCACATTGACGATAAACAGATTCATTTCTTTTTACTTTTAAAATTATTTTTAATTGTTGGAAATAATATAAATGCAATGTCATTATAAAGGACGTCACATCTACAGTACAGAGCTCATGCAAGGATGTAAAATCAGCCCCTTTCCGTCAATCAGATAAAAGATAATGGTAAAATAAGTTGAACTTGATTATCTGTGAACCTTTTTACTTGCTCCTCTTAAAGACTGTACTGGTGCTTGACGGAAATTTCCTTCAAAACTATACATCTTTCACTTTCTTCGTTGTCTGGATTGTTGTTATTTCTAGAATTCAAGGGAGTTAATAAATGTTAAAATTTGTAACAGCGTAAGTGATTGGTCATAAGAAAAAGTAACGTCCAATCGAAATCTACAACACTTTCTTAGGAAACTTCTTCCGGAATGACACACGTGTTTTGAAAATCAAAACAAACAGATCAGTTGATGATGTTTTATTTTATTGGATTAGGTCTTGGTGATGCAAAAGACATAACAGTAAAAGGTTTAGAAATTGTCAAAAAATCCAAAAGGGTATATCTTGAAGCATATACTTCTATTCTAACAGTTGGCAAGGAAAAATTGGTAAATTTTATAGAATAGAATATTTATTATTCCAATCAAGGGCCCTTGACGGGCAACATAACATGTACACATAAAACAATACATCATGATTTGTAACAGAAAAACATTTTTATATATTAAAATGAAACGTTGAAAAGTTCAGACAGATGTTATTATCTTCATTCTATAAAAAAATCACATACATTTAAATCCAGGTAGGATCAGAACTATAAAATCATTACAATTATCATTGTTATTACATACATTAATTAACATTTCGTCTAACATCTAGACATGTAATAATATAGCTCCCTAAATATTTAAGTATAGACAAATTTTCATTAGTAAATAACCAAACAAATGTTGCCTCATTTGAAAGATATATAAAATTGGGACAGATACAGTTTATCTCCTTGAAAAATATCTCCCTATCATTATTGTATGCTGGACAACTAGCAATAAAATGTTGTTCATCTTCAACCAGATTTAGAGTACATTTCTTACAAAGCCTTTCTATATATAAAGTTTTATACCTGTCTCTTTCTATTTTGAGATCATGTGCACTGATTCTGATTTTACATATGGCACTTCTCAATTGAAAATTGTTTAAAGATAGATACATTTCTTTCGAAAAACAAGTTTTAAGTTTGAAATAAGTATCTAATTTACTACTCTGTATCTCTTCTTTTTGTGTTCCAAAATTTTACAAAACTATTACAAAGTTTTTGCTTAACTGACTTGATAAAAAAGTTGAGTTTTACCTCCAAATTATGAATATTCAGCTTTTTAAAAATGTAATGTATGGATGAATACCAGCCTTCAATATTATTATTAAACGTTTTTGTTACACATATAGGTATCATACAGTAAACCATCTTTCATATTTTTTATTCTAAACCAATATTTCAGCATTGATAATACAACTGAAAAATATAAAGGGAATCTACCAAGCTCTCCTAGCACAGCTACATGTAGGTTAGAAGACTTTTTGTTTACACCTAATATATACTTCATATATCTTAAATTGGATTTATCTAAAAAATCATTCATATAAATGTGCTGTAATAAATATTCACTTTCTTTCTGGCATGCTGCAGAGCTAGTTTTAAACATACCTGTAATTTCACTGCCATACATTTAAATGGGTTTTATTGTATGGTCATATATATGTAATAGAGTAGAAATGCTTGGATTGGAAGATGATAAAGATCTTTGCAATTTGAATATAGCTTTTAGTGATTTTTTGTATAATTCTTCCTTTCCTTGCTTAAAAAGTCCACTAGATATAAATTTTAAACCTAAATACTTATAATTATTAACACATTCTATTGTATCTTTTTTGAAATAAAAATAATCTTTTAAAAGCTTACCAGGTTTGTTAAATATAATAACTTTGGTTTTAGATAGATTGACCTCTAAACACCATTTAGTACAAAAATTGGATAAACCATCAAGTCGTTTTTGAAGACCTGCCTTGGAACTAGAAAAAATAAGAATATCATCTGCATACATGAGGCAGTCAATCCTGCGACCGTTTATATCAACAGAGTCTGGGCTTTCCTTAAATACATCCGGTAAATCATTTATAAAAATCTTGAAAAGGTTTGGACTTAAAACATCCCCTTGCTTTACTCCAATTTGAGAATAAAAATTAGGAGTAAGCACATCATCTATTTTAACACATAATTCACTTTTATTGTACATATCTCTCAGGATTGCATAAAAGTTACCACCTATACTATGTTTTAATAGCTTATATTTTAAACCAGAATGAATGACTTTGTCAAACGCTTTTTTGAAATCAACAAAGCAAGCATAAAGTTTCCCACCTTTCATACTGGTGTACTTATCCATTATAGTTTTTAATACAAACATGTGATCCGATGTCCTACTTTTACTTGAAAAACCAATCTGACATGGATTTATGATATTATTTGTTTCTAAATATTTATCAAGCCTTTTGTTTAGTATTGAATTAAATAGTTTTCCTATACACATATTAATTGCAATACCCCTGTAGTTTTCAGGTTTAGATGGATCCTCAGCTTTAAAAATTGGACAAATATATGCTGATGACCATTTTTTGGGATATATTCCTGAAGAAAATACAAGATTAAAAAGTTTTTGAAATAATGGAGCCAAAATACTAGCACCACTCTTCAGTATTTCATTTGGGAGGCCATCTAAACCGACTGCCTTTCCACATTTTAACTTACAAATAGTGTCTAACACCTCCTTGGAGGTTATCCTAAAATCTAGTTCATTGAACGAGTGGCTTAATTCCATGTTTTTGAGTATCTTGTCAATTTGATTAATTCTAGATTTATATTTATCTGGTATTTTATTAAGTGATTTAAAGTAGGTATACCAAACATTTGTATTTACTGTTTTTTCTGGACCCTCCTTTTTATCATCTTTTAGTGACTTGATTAAATTCCAGTATTATTTTGGATTATCTTCCATTAACCCATCAAGACTGTCCAATATTTTTTGTTTAAATTCTCTCTTTTTTCGTTTACGAGATTTATTATATTCTCTATAGCATTTGAAGTACGAACCCCTTACAATTGGATCAAAGGGAAATTTAGATAGGAGCTTCCCTTTAGAAATGAGTATCTCCCGTTTTGTTTTTAAGTCAGTATCAAAGAAGTTTTTATTTTTATGCTTTTTTTGCTTAACAGACTGTTTGAAGACTGTTGCTTTATTAGCAGCATTAACTATTATTTCATGACATGTATTCACAGCATTCTCAATGCCCTCAGATGTATTTTCAAAACTTTTGTCGAGAAAATTTTTAATACTGTATTTTGCATCTGCCTGTGTTAGTGCATCACATAATTTTTGACCCGCCTTGGTTGACCAAATGTATTTACCTGGGAATGTTGTTTCATTCTGATTCAGATCTTGTCTCTCAACAGAATACCTTGCTAATATTCCAAATGAAAGTTTACAATGACAGTCTGACAGAGTAGAAATAAAATCAGAAACTTGAAAGTATAATGTGGTGTTTAACAAGTCTTCTGACATGACAACATAGTCAACTACACTTGAACCTGTTGGTTTGATACAAGTAAATTTACCAGAGGAATCACCCCATAATCTACCGTTCACAATACGTAGTTTGGAAGAGATACATAAATCCAGAAGCTGTTTACCTCTACTATCAACTTTACAATCATTGCTACATCTAATTTGTTGTATAATATCACAATTATAATTATCGTACATTGGTATATGATCATCACTTGAATCATCTAGTATAAAATCAGGTTCTGACCCTGTCCTGGCAATTAAATCCCCACATAATATAATATGGCCTTGATTATTGAATTTTGTGGCTATATCTTTTTCAATACTTTCTAAAATGTCATCTTCTGATTGACTGGCATAATATGAGGTGCTAGGTATAATATAAGCCAAGCAAAGAAATAAATCCTTTTTTAAGTTGAAATAAAATTTGTCAAATTTTAACCATTGATAATCTTTGCTTGTATTTTGTAAAATTTTAATGCCATTTCGAATATCATTCTTTATCAATATACCTAGACCACCATAATAAATACATGTATGTAGTTCATTTGATTAAAAATTTGTAATCTCAGATTAAATCTGGAAAACAATAATCTTGTATAAAGTCAAGCAATCAACAGTTAGTAATCACCACCCTGCTTGATGGATTCACGAAATTCAAAGAGAAGAAGAAGCTGTTAAAGGTTAAACTGATAAAGGGACAAATGAAGACAAAATTACAACTAATTTTGGAATCACTGTACTGATGATTTCATGTCAATCCATCCTAAGTTGTTCCGTCCCATATTTAAAGTCGATCAGGCCCCAATTTAAAATAAAACATTTACAAGGGCTGAAAATTATATATATTCGACTTTAACTTCATAGATATTAATGAGTTTTATGAATAATAGCAAAGTCGTAGAATCAAATATTGTGTAGTGTGGCTTTAATGCATATTAAAATTTATATACATTTTGTAATTTTCATTAAAGGAGACAATTATTTGAATATTTTTAAAAATATTTAGAATATTTATATGAAGACTTCATATCAACTTGGGGCCGAAACAACCTGATACTCAGTACTCGGATAACTTTGATCTGTTCATATGAATAAGATAGGGTTATTGCACATGTTACAGGAATATTTTCTTGCCTGTATCTTACTTGATAAGTGCAATATTTTATGACACAATTTCAATCTGATGGACCAGTTTCCATGGTTGCTCTCACCATTTGTTAAATGTAATGATATGACAGTCTTGTAAATTTGCATCAGTTATTTTGGGTTCCCTAATTGACTCAATAAAAACTTTAAGGTTGATAGGTATTTTTTATATTTAAAAAAAGAATACAAACATATATATGAGTTAGCAAAAAATCTGTTAACAGTGCTACATGTAGATATAGATAAGTATAGGAATGATAAATCAGTTGGGTGTGGTGTTACCCTTTACAGACAAATTATTTTTGAGGAAGGGTCTTAATTACATGGATCTTATTTCCTTGAGTTCATATTGATTCTTGTTAAAATACATTGTAACCATTTCTTCTTCTTGTGGAAATTTGCCAAAACAGCACATGAAGACTGAGAGTGATAACCACTGACATGACTCTAAATTATAATGAAACCATCTAGCTATAGTAGCTGCTATACTTACAAACCTATGAGTTAAAATTAGATGAAACTTGATTTTACCTCTCTTAAATCATTTTGAGGTTTAGGTTAAGTAAACAAATATTAAATAATTGTCATTTGGTATTAGAGAACAATGGTGAAGCTCTAATTTTAATATTTAGGTCAAACAGATCTAGTTGCAATTTGCTTGCAAGTGATACTTTCAGCTACATTTGTTTATACATGATGTATTAAAATACAGGGTATGTTTTACCAGTAGTAAATGCTTGTTTTTAACGGTACATATGATTTGCAGGAAGAATTCTATGGAAGGGAAGTTATATTGGCTGACAGAGATATGGTTGAAACACAGTCAGGTATATAATTTATATAATATTGTTTTAAAACTGAGTTCTACAAGTTGTTTTGTTTTTCTTCATTTATTCATCAATAAGGTCTACATGTTAGGGAGCTACTAGTCAAGGGGGGAGTATATTAAATCAGTTTAATGCACTTTTATAAAAAACTTTAGTCAGAGGAAACTAGGAAACCATCAAATGCTTTAAACTATCTTGTCCTTTCTTTTCATACATGTAGTATACATATTTAACTGAGAAATAGTGCTATGCTCAAAAGAATGTATTCTTTTTTCAATATCTTTTAAATGCCAAAAAACATACCCTTATATCTCTTTCTCATTCTTTGTTTTTTTATGGATGAGGACTCATTGGAAATCATACAACATCTCTTTTTTGTGTTATAAAAAGTCATGTTTACATGCTATTTAATTTTTAATGTTTTACATGCAAATTTCAATTTTTATTATTGTGAATATCATTTGGGAATCAGTAACTACATGTATCTTACACATTCAACATCAGTGCATATATTTAAATCCTAGATGATAAATCATCAATACTTTTTATACATATTTGCAGATGAAATGTTTGAGGGATCTGCCACAGAGGATGTTTCCTTTCTAGTTGTAGGTGATCCATTTGGGTAGGTATATCTTTTTTAAGGAATGACTAATATTTTTTCTGTCTATATCTGGTTATTTAAAAGTGTGCACCACATTTTTGAGGTCATTTCAAATAGACAGAAAACATATTACAGTCATTCCTTATAATTTAATTCTAGATTCCATTTTTAAGGAGTAAATCATGAAATAATGTTGATGATGTCACTGTCACATGACAAAATTATGTCTATTAGCTGATAGACAAAAAACTTTCAGCCAATCATAAGATTTGTTACATCCAAAATTAAATTATTTGGATATACAAATTGTTAGTATTTGATTAATAATATGCGTTTAGCATTGACTATGCGAAAATAGTAGCCAAGGCTTGTGACACACACACACACACATATATATATAAATAGGGCACAACCCTATTTCGCATAGTCAATGCTAAACACAACATCTATACTATTAAATGAGAAGACCTCATTTTTGTGTCGCTTCTCTTCCTTCCACAATAAATTAATCATCATGCCTCTGTGTCCTATAGGTACCATGCATAGTTGCATTTGTCATCCTTGCTTATGATTATTCCGTTTGGGTTATTTTGGGAGGAAAACAAAAATAAAGGCGTCCGGATATTGTTTCCGTCATCGGATGGACTTTTAAATCATAGGCAAGACTTATAATTAGGACTGTTTAAATTACATAGATACAAACAACCCTTAATTCCTAACTTGATAACATACAATGTTTTTGGAACCTGAGCTACAGGAACCGGTATCAAACATCCTTCGGTCCCTGGAAGCGATAAAAATCTGATTTCTTGGGACCCCTGGAACCGGTATATAATCATGTTTTATTTAAGAAATAATTCATGCAAGCCATAGATTTGTTGAAAATTTTCACATGGCCTGGGTCGTATGTTGGAATTTTATCCTGAGCGTAAGCAAGGGATAAAATTAACGAATATAACGACCCAGGCTGTGTGAAAATGAAAACAAATCTATGGAATGCATGAATTATTTTGATTCTAATATGGTAAAGTTTCCCACTGGAAACTCTGACGCCATTTCACTAAAATATGTCATTTTGTGCACAAATCACATTGTGAAGTCGTCAATTTATAGTGGTTGTGGTTAATTGAGTATTTTATTTAATATAATATGCTTTTGGAACATCTGCTTTTATTCAAAATTCAGTCAAACCATTGTAGTGCCACAACCCATACAGATTTAGTACTGAGAGCAAAAGAGAAAGAACTGGAATACAGAGTCATACATAATGCCTCCATAATGAATGCTGTTGGCTGTTGTGGTCTACAGGTAGGCTGTTTTGGGTTCGAATATATATTGTATATACTGCAGATAATGTATGAGTTGTGTAGATGCTCACTATTGCTTCTAACTTCAAACGTAAGCATGAATTCATGAAAAAGACCATTCCAGTAATTGTCATGATGTAATCAGCAACAAAAGTGTTTATTTGATAATTGTATATTGGTTATTTTCTTTATTTCATGGGATATGTCTCATGTACATCCAAAGTACCTTCTGTCCAAACTGATGTATTTATTATTTTTTTGTTAGGTAACTTTTGCATGTACAATACCCATAAATTCAAGATACTACAGCAGCAACACAAGTCTGGTTTATTGTCGAGCCTGCGACTTTTGTCGCAGAAAGCTCGACATAGGGATAGTGATCCGGCGGCGGCAGCGTTAGTTAACTTCTTAAAAGCTTTATATTTTAGAAGCTAGAAGACCTGGATGCTTCATACTTTGTATATAGATGCCTTATGCTACGAAGTTTCCGTCTGTCATATGTCCATTGTCCTTGACCTCATTTTCATGGTTCAGTGACTACTTGAAAAAAAGTCAACATTTTTTGTAATGTTAATTTCATTCTTATTATGAGTAATAGGATAACTATATTTAGTATGTGTGTACCTTGCAAAGTCCTCATGCCCGTCAGACAATTTTCATTTGACTTCGACCTCATTTCATGGATCAGTGAACAAGGTTAAGTTTTCGTGGTCAAGTCCATATATCAGATACTATAAGCAGTAGGTCTACTATATTTGGTATATGGAATGATTGTAAGGTGTACATGTCCAACTGGTAGGTGTCATCTGACCTTGACCTCATTTTCATGGTTCAGTGGTCAAAGTTAAGTTTTTGAGTTTTGGTCTTTTTTCTTAATACTATATGCAATAGGTCAACTATAAATGGTGTATGGAAATATTTTATGATGTACATGTCAGTCTCACAGGTTTTATTTGACCTTGACCTCATTTTCACGGTTCATTTCTCAGTGTTAAGTTTTGTGTTTTGGTCTGATTTTCTTCAACTATAAGGAATAGATCAACTATATTTGATGTATGGAAGGATTGTAAGGTGTATATGTCTGTCTGGCAGGTATCATCTGACCTTGACCTCATTTTCATGGTTCACTGGTCAATGTTAAGTTTTCATGGTTAAGTGTGTTTCTTAGATACTATAAGCAATAGGTCAACTATATTTAATGCCTAAATTGATTGTAAGGTGTACATGTCTGTCTGGCATGGTTCATCTGACCTTGACCCCATTTTCATGGTTCATTGATCAATGTTAAGTTTTCTTGTTTAAGACTGTTTCTTAGAAACAATAAACAATAGGTCAACTATGTTTGGTTTATTGAATGATTGTAAGGTGTACATGTATTTCTCGTTTGGTTTATCTGACCTTGACCTCATTTTCTTGGATCATGTTAAGTTTATGTGTTACTTGTAGTAAAGCTTTGTATTTAGGACTATCAACATAAAATCAATGGTTAGTAAAGAAGGCGAGACATTTTAGCGTGTGCACTCTTGTAAAAAAATATATAGCACTTGCTAGAGAGGACAGTACATGAACAATTCAGATTATAGGGTGTATCTGTCTTAAGCTTTATAAAATGTTGATAAATGTAAAATACTTCTTTACATTTATCAACATTTTATAAAGCTTATCTGACCACAGGTCTCACCTTTCATTAGGCATATCTTTCTGTTACAAAAGGGATAATATTATCAATGAGAACTAGTGTATTATGGTTTATTAGTCCCCTACTGACAAAGTCGAAGGGGACTTTAGGTTTGCACTCCGTCCGTCTGTCTGTCTGTCCATCTGTCAGTATGGCAAATCAGTTTTCCACACTTTTTTTCTTCATGCTTAAAGATATTGATTTGATATTTGGTGTTTTGTTTTATCATGACCAGTTACAGATCAAGTTTGAATTTTGTTCCGGTCTGATGATTTTTTGCAGAGTAATGGTCCTTGGACTTAGAAAATTCACTCAAATAATCAGTTTTCCACACTTTTTTTCGTCAAGCTTGAAGATAATGATTTGATTATTGGTATATAGTTTTATCATGACAAGTTACAGATCAAGTTCGAATTTTGTTATGGTCTGATGATTTTGTGCAGAGTTATAGTCCTTGGACTTCGAAAATTCACTTAAATAATCAGTTTTCCACATTTTTTTTCGTCATGCTTGAAGATATTGACTTGATATTTGATATATAGTTAACACCATGACAAGTAATAGATCAAGTTAGCATTTTGTTCCAATACAATGAATTTCTAACCTGTATAGGACTATGTATTGCCATGCAATACTCTCAGAATGCTTGTTATAATTGATAATACCTTAGCATACATTTTGCTATTCATTCATATTAAATTTTCAATGCAGCTATGGAATAAGAACTGGTATATTTTGAAATAAGGATTTTATGTATTGAAATTAATTTTACCTACTATTTCTTTTTTTCAGTTGTATAATTTTGGTGAAACTGTATCAATTGTTTTCTGGACAGATACATGGAGACCTGATAGCTTTTATGATAAAATAAAAAGAAATAGAGACTTAGGAATGCATACATTATGTTTATTAGGTATACAAAACTATGTATATAGAGTTGTAAAATGGGGAGGTGATTGGAGCAGCATGAAATGATTATGTGATTTCACAATGAACAGAATATAATTTTTGATATGAGTAGCGTTTTCTGTCTTTTGCATGAAAAATGGCAAATAATGACCTTCAGCAAGAAAACCAATGGAATAAAAAAATGGCAAACATTTGGCATGATAATGACCTTTTACTATTGTCTTGTTGATATAAACTACCGGTAATGTGATATTTTGTAATGCAAAGCAAAATATTTAACAATTATGGACTTTTGACAAGGTCCATATATAAAGTATTGACTAGTGAAAGTCCTTAATTTATATATTACATATGTAAACAGTGTATTATGGAAATGGACTTCAATGTTCTTACTGTGTATTTTACTTTGTATTTTGCAAGATTTTTCAATATTAACCGTCAATATATAATAAAAATAGAAACATAGCATATTTTATGTTGAATTTTGCAAGATTTTATATCAAATATATATATAAATAGAAACATAGTGTCCATATATTTAAATACCTTTTGAATCATGTGATCATAATAACCAATGAAAAAATAATATAAATACTTACAACTGACATGCTACTGAAAGATGTTATTTGATAGATTTATTAAACTTTTTTCATTTTCTAAATCAAGGGGCCAACTAAGTTGACTTATCAAACCTTCTCCTTTCTTGATATATTAATGATTGATGTAAATCATAATCATATACTACACACCAAATATAACTACTTTGCTTAACAAAATTGAAACTGGATCACCTTATATGAAAGCTGACCGAGTTTCATTCATATTTGATAAAAACTGATAATAGCTTGAACTTCTTGCTTGCATATGTTTGTTTTTAATATCAGTTTCAATGAAACACTATGGTTTAATTATGATTTATTCAGTAACTTGCTGTTTTCATTGTATATTTTTTATATTTTGATAGAGGTATGAGGTTTGCAGTTTTCTGTCTCTTTTTCCAGATATTAAAGTTAAAGAACAAAGTATAGAAAATTTAATGAAGTATGTGCATTTTATACATTAGTAAGCTTCTTTAAATGTTTAGAACTCAAGACTGTTAGTCTGGCATTGATTTACTTATTAATATATATACATAAAAATGGATAACAGGAATTGTTGAAAATATCGCACAGTACGAAAGACCACATCAACCACCAACACCAAACTCCTCCAAAAAAAAATTAAACCAGACATACAAACAAAGACAAACAGCGCATGGTCCAGATTGTATGGATTGTAATCAAGTATCAGATATAATAAGTGTAGAGTCACAGTAACACATGACAAAAAAGAAAAAAAATCAAAACATTTCTTACTAACAAGACTGTATTCAACTCTTAAGTAGAGGCTTAAATACTTGTATGGTCTAGAAAAGCTTATAACATGAAATTATTCTGCTGATTGTATACACAAATATCACAAATTTAGATGTAGTTTTAATGAATTTGTTTCATATTTTTACAATCTGGCTAAAATTCATTATTTTTAAACAAATTTTAAAATGGGAAATTCTTTTTATTGAAATTTTTTGGTCAAATCTTCATTTTATTGTAATGACAAAAAAGTTTGGTTTTTTTTCTGGAATAATAGGTAGATGATTGGTTATTCTAATGCAATTATTTTGTATCAATGGTTCTGATTGGATGACAATAAGGGTAAAATTCTCTATCTCCCCGTCTGTAACCAAGGAAACCGACATTTTGAATACCGGAATGTATTGACGTGATTTTTTCAATAATAAGCCAAAAAACTCACATTTTGTTCTTAGAAATCTTCTTTTTATCAAGTTTTATTACATTCTGAAGCGGACAAGAAGCCAGAAAACGTCCGGTGTTTACGTTTGATGCCAGAAGCATACCTATGACGTCACCTAGTTTAGGCGCCAAATAAGATAACATCATTTCGCGGAATTTTCGTTTAATGAATATTTTACACTGAAATAATGACTAAACTTGAATGATTTGTTTATTTTGCATTAGAATAGAGATAACTGTATTGTATTTGAAGCTTTTTGGACGTCCATCGGTAGTTTTACTGTCGCAAATATCCGTTTACCTGTCTCTGCTACACGTCGCCAGGTAAACTAAAATTGCGACAGTAAAACTACCGATGGACATCCGCAAAGCTTCAAATACAATCCAGTTATCTCTAAATTGATGAGGGACTACTGTTTTTGTTGTTCTTTCACTGTATTTTCTGATTTTCTTCACTTCTATAAAATTATACTTGATAGTACAGGCAATACTTAGACACAAAGCACTCATTGTAAGGAAGAAAATCTACATACAAACAAAAGTTACATATGATCTCTGGATTAAGGGAGCTACCATTTGATTTTTATGGGGGGGGGGGGGGGGGGGGGCTAGGATGAAAAATGTTGTCCTGCATTTTTTTTTAGTTGTAATCTCTGTCCTGCCTTTTTATTTTTCACTCTATTCGGTCCTGCCTTTTTATTTTTCACTCTATTTGGTCCTGCCTTTTTATTTATTAGTTTATCCTGACTTTTTTACATAAATTGTCATCCTGCCTTTTTTATTTGCCAAGTTGCTCATCCTGCCTTTTTTTTAACTAGAAACTCCTGTCCTGCCTTTTTTTTCAAATTTCATCCTAGCCCCCCCATAAAAATCAAATGGTACCTCCCTAATGTTATAATTTTAATTTAGAGGAAAGAAGATTTTTGAACCACCAAGATACATGTCTGTGAATACTGCAGCAGAACAGCTGGTAGAAATCATTCAACGGAAAAAAGAAGAAGGGGAAACAGATTTAGGTAACTTGTGGATTACAGTAATGTCAGACATATAGCAGTGAATTTATTATTGTTATTGAAAATGTTCAATTGAATCCTGTATAATGACCAAAGTATTTAGATTATTGGCTATACATTTGACAGGAAAATATGTACACATGTAGATATTTTCATATAGATATATGCTTAGTAGTAAAAAATGGCAATAAGAAGAATGATAAGAAAAAAGGTAATATATGGGCTATATATCAATGGGACAGCAACCCAACTACACAAAGAGTATAAGACATATAAAGGTCAACATACAGTTCAACAGAAGACGGGCGTCTATACAATATGATCAGCTTTTAATCATCTAATATTTTTAAAAAGGTTATGAATAACTTAACTGAGACTATCAAAGATCAGCCATCAACACCAAATTCTGTAAGTTACAAAAAAAACTACCTCTGACGAGGTTCCTAACTTTGGATAGCACGTAATCATGTGTCAGGGTTAAATTGTTCTTTTGAGATCTTATAAACCTTTCTCTTTTAATGTTTTTTTTCTTTGTTTGTGTTTTTATCCTTCTTTACAGAATTAAAACAAAATTAAATCACTAAGCCAATATTCTTTTATTGGCCACAGGACAATTACAATTAGATTTTTGGATTTATAGCATAGTTTTAAGTAATTTTATATTTTTTCAACATTTTTTCTGGAGAATGGTCACTAAACTCCATATACCCTTGGTTTAAATCTTTTGTTTTAAGAATTAGTTCACTGATATGGTGATTATGTTAACAAGTACAAAGGTCATTTACGATCTCTTGTTAACATATCTTCTTTATTACAATGCAAAATAGTGATGTTTATACACAAATAGTACCTGTAGAGAAGAAATGTCAAAGGGAATCTTTGTATATTCATAATTCAACACCCATCTTTGAATGTGTTTATCTGCATAGATAAGATATATATATTTTATTAAAAGGGATATATATTCAAAGACAGCTTATATGTGTTTCAACTTCTATGCTGAAATGATCCTGTTTAAAGAAAACTACTTAAAAGCCAAGAACAGTAAATATAAAAGTAGAAAATAAATAACTTTTCTTAATTATTGTGTTATGACAAGACAGTAATGATGTTTTAGCCCACTTGACTGACTTGACTGACTCAAATTCAGGAAATTCAATGCAATGTTTATAACTTTACCTCACAATTTATGATTTTGATAAATGAGATAACCCTGAAAATAACTTTTTGTCAGAATGTTTTTTCTCTGAAGTGCATTTATTATTGATAAAAATATTAACTGAAAGTACTTACAGCTCTTTTCATAATGCTAGCAAGACAAAGGTTTGTTTGACTTGCTTGCTTTGTTTGTATAAATGTTTGCTCAAGCATTGTAATTAAGATTGACAGCTGCAAACAATATAAGTAGGCGGAGTTCAACCTGTGTTTAGGTAAATTTGATTATTTGATAATGTCCAATCAAATTTAAATATAATGTATACAAGTTTAAATCCACCTTTTTATGTTGTTTTCATATGTCAATCTTAATTACAATGCTTGAGCAAACATTGATACAAACAAAGCAAGCAAGCCAAACAAACCTTTGTCTTGCTAGCATTATGAAAAGAGTTGTAATGAATGATGATAACTGTTTCTTATATATCCATTCAAGATGAGTCATAGTACATGGTTAAAGAGTGGCCTTGTTCCAATCTTATTAGTCCCCTACTGACGAAGTCAAATGGGACTTTAGGTTTGCACTCCGTCTGTCTGTCTGTCCGTCTGTCCATACGTCAGTCCGGCAAATCAGCTTTCCACACTTTTTTTCTTCGTTCTTGAAGATATTGATTTGATATTTAGTATATAGTTTTATCATGACAAGTTATAGATTAAATTTGAATTTTGTTCCGGTCTGATGATTTAGTCTAGAGTTATCGACCATAACTCTGGACCATATCTAATGTTAGAGTACTATGTTAAACCATATTTCTGTACAAAGGGAGATAACTCATTTTTTAAAAGACATTCTTTGTTAAATTATTTGAAGAATTTTTTGACAGGTTTGTTTGTTATTTAGTATAAACTAATTTTCTGAATGCTATATATATATATATAAAAAAAATTATGAAGAGAAATCCTTTGATTAGATAATAATCTATTTTTATTAATGTATATATTTCAAAACATTACATTGTGTAGTTAAAAGTTGTTGACATTTTATAGATAAGTTACAAATCTATATTAGTTTGTGACAAATGAAAGAAAAAAATATTTGGAACTATTAATTATATTTGATTATAATTTGAAAATAGATATACACTGTATTACATCATATCTAATTTTAGAGAACTATTAACCATATCTAATGTTTTTTTTCATCTTGCTTATAAGATATTGATTGATAATTGGTATATAGTTTTATCATGACAAGTTACAGATCAAGTTCAAATTTTTGTTTCGGTCTAATAATTTTGTGCAGAGTTATGGTCCTTGGACTTGAAAAATTCACTCATATAATCAGTTTTCCACACTGTTTTTAGTCATGCTTGAAGATATTGACATGATATTTACTTTTTGTTTACACCATGACAAGTTATAGAACAAGTTAGCATTTTGTTCCAGTATAATGAATTTTTACCCGGTAGGGGACTATGTATTGCCATGCAATACTCTCAGAATGCTTGTTTAATTACCATAAGTTGTTACCTATTTTTATACATTTGGGTAAAAAAAAACCAGTCATGTGTTATTCTAAATAAATCATCCCAGTGATGTTATAAATAGATACATAATGAGATTTTGCAAATTTTGACAGTTTTCACATTTATCAAATGTTTAAAATATAATAATAATAATAAAAATTGCTATGATTTGTTTCCCATTAGAAATCATTGTTTAAGTTGTTTTTAATGAATCAACATATTTCCCATTATACAATGCAATTCATTCATAATCATACATGACTTAATTCCCATTATGAATATGGTATATCTGTAAAACGTTCATTTGTAAGGTAATAAAACAGCATTAGTTATTTCACATTTTTAAATGTGGTATGGTTCATTGGTAATAAAACATAAGTTATTTCCCATTACAAATTATGGAATAGTTTATTTGTAATTAATTTAATTATATTTTCCAGCATTTACAGAAAATACCATATGTATTGGACTTGCACGAATTGGATCAGAGACACAAACAATTGTTGCTGCTACGTTTACAGACATGATGACAGTAGACATTGGTGCTCCTCTTCATTCTTTTGTTATTCCTGGAGAATTACATCCATTAGAAAAAGACATGTTAAAACTGTTTGCCTATAATGATGATGTCAAGCAATTATTAAACTCCTGAAAAATTCTGATGTTTGCATTTATATTGTGTTTATCTGAAATACAATGATTTCATATTTCACTTTTCATAACAAAAAGTTTAAATTAAATGAATGAAAATATCATAAATCCGTAAAATGGCAGTGTATAAATGATTTGAATGATTTGCATATATGCAAATTCAAGAAATAAGTTTTACATCAATGTTGAAACTCTGTTAAGATACAAGCCAAACATAAACATCTGCAATATTCTTAAAAAAAACAACATTTTGCTTGTCACAACAGGTGGATTTCAAGTTCAAAATAATCAATAGAAATGGAACTATTAAATTAAAAAATAACTAAGTTGGCATATTTCCATTGTTTACATCTGTTTCAATGGCCATTAAAAGTTAAAAACAGCTGTATAATTTTAAGATTTTGTAAGTTATGTTCTTATTTATACACAAATTATAGAACACGGACAAAAAGTCACAAAACAATTGATTTTGGTAGGTTCAAATCATTTTGGATCTTGGAGATGCTTGTTAATAAATTCCATGAAATGATTAAAGATTGACCTGTTAATTGCATTAATGTAAAATTTAAAATCACTGGCAACAGCATTTTGAGAAAAAATCCTGAATATGGATAATAATCTTATGGTGAAAAGAAAGTCTGGTACACCTTTTACATTCAAGAGTGTTTGAGGGCACTGCTTTGTTCTTAAAACATAAATAAAAACAAATCATCTGGCTTAAGGTTTAACTATATTTTTATGTAAAGACAAAATTGTGAAAAGAAAACCAAATATATCAGGGGTGTAACTGCCGTTAGGCACTTTAGGCATGTGCCTACACATAATTTTTTCACAAATATTTTTTTTATTAAAAAAATGATAAACAATGTTATCTGTAGATGCATGTGGAGTCGTCAAAACTCTTTAATTATCAAATGACATTTGTACACTAGTCTATCATCCTTAGTGAATCAGTGGAGTATTGGAACTGTATGTCATTATATTCCACCTTATATAGAAACTATAAACTAGAGCTTTAATTGGTTCAGATCATTTCACTTCTATCAACAAATACTTGAATGAACCTCAACTTAAGATAAATGATTTTTTTAAATTAGTTGTTGTTGGCCCAAGTTCAATCCGATGCCTAGTGTAGAGAGAATGCCACTCTCTCTGAACGTTAAGAAACTTGCAACAACTCTTTGAGGGGTTCGTAGGTCGTCTACTGAAAGGCAAATTTCTGTTCCTATCCAAAAAACCCTCATTTTCCAATGAATGGCATTTCCAAATTTCCAGACCTTCATCCTGGACGACCCCATTTTGTTTTAGTCCTGAACATGCATGAATTATTTGCCACTGGACGTTTAGCAATCAATCAATCAATCAACTAGCTTTCAGTAACTTCGAGAACTCTCAGATCTACGTGTAATTACCATACTTATTCAAATTCCTAAGCAGGTAGGGATTTTACAGAACAGGATATAAGGAAATATGAATTTCTTGAATTTTGTTAGATAGAATGAACAGAACTTCTGCATGACGTATCGAGTGTGTGTGTGTGTGTGTTTTTGTGTATATGTGTCTGTGTGGCCGGGGGAGGGTGAAAGTTTAAGAATCAAAAGATTAAGTTATACCCTTGTCCGTCTGTACGTAGGTACGTACGTCCGTCTGTACGTCCCAAAATTGGTTTCCGTTCTCTAACTTGAGTTTGCCTCAACCAAATGTTATGAAGCTTATACACAATGCTAATTACCACAAAACACAGATCAAGGTTGAATTTTGGGGGCGTCACTTTAACCGTTCTAGAGTTATGCCCTTTATAAATTGAAAAATTGCAAAATTTTTAGTTTCCGTTCTCTAACTTAAGTTTGCCTCAACCAAATGTTATGAAACTTATACACAATGCTTATTACCACAAAACACAGATCAAGTTTGAATTTTGGTGGCGTCACTTTTACCGTTCTAGAGTTATGCCCCTATATAAATTGAAAATTGCAAAATTTTTAGTTTCCGTTCTCTATCTTCAGGTTGCCTGAACCAAATGTTATGAAACTTATACACAATGCTTATTACCACAAAACACAGATCAAGTTTGAATTTTAGTGGCATCACTTTAACCGTTCTAGAGTTATGCCCCTTTATAAATAATAAAATTGCAAAATTTTTAGTTTCCATTCTCTAACTTAAGTTTGCCTCAAGCAAATGTTATGAAACTTATACACAATGCTTATTACCACAAAACACAGATCAAGTTTGAATTTTGGTGGCGTCACTTTAACCGTTCTAGACTTATGTCCCTTTATAAATGGAAAAATTGCAAAATTGTTATTTTCTTCTAAATATCAAGTAATTTTTTAAATTGGAGTTATCTTCCTTTGTCCATGATTATAGCTGAATCAACTACAATCAATGCTTTATACAATGCAATGTTTAATTTTGACTTTCACTGATAAAACACAGATCAAGTTGAATTTGGGTAGTGACACTTTAACCATTATTGAGTTATGCCCCTTTATATACACAATATTCATTACCACAAAACTAAGATCAAGTACAAATTTTTTGTTTCCGTTTTCTAACTTTAGTTTGCCTCAACCAAATGTTATGAAACTTATACGCAATTCTTATTACTACATAATACAGATTAAGTACGAAATTAGGTGGCGACACTTTTACTATTCTTGAGTTATGTCCCTTTATAAACATAAAAATTGCTGATTTTTTTAGTTTGTCTCAACCAAATGTTATAAAACTTATACACAACCGTTCTAGAGTTATGCGTGTTTACAAATAGAAAAATTGCTGAATTTTTAGTTTCTGTTCTCTACTTAAATTAGCCTCAACCAAAAAACTTAGTGTGGATAGTAAAATGGGGGTTTGTCTCAGAGTTGGTAAAATCACTTGAAACAAGGTGAGACATGCGCAGTAGTGATAGATAAGTAGTATAAATATAGAAAATTGAATATTTTATTCAAAAAAAAAAAAAAAATATCTGTATTATATACCCAAGCGCCTGTGGATAAAATGACCAGTAAATTATATCTTTTTTTGTACACAAAATTTTGCAACTGAAATGCTGAAACCCGTTTTCCGTCGGGGGCAAAGCCCCCTGAACCCCCTACCAGGGCTCTGTCCTGGACCTGCTGGGGGCCTTAAAGGGCCCCAGACCCCCTGCCGCAATTTGTGTCTACAGGTTATTGGATACCTAGCTACGCCCCTGTATATGGGTCAAATGAAATGCCTTTGTAATGAGTCATCTTAACATGCAGAATAGGTGTGTATGAATAACGAAATAACCATATGCTACTATTTAACTTTATGTGCACTTCTCACTTCTTATTCTTAAAATATTTGTCCCCTGAAATTTGAAAAATAATTTAAATTCTTCAAATCTTTCAAAATTATACTAGTTCTACTTCGAATGAATATGGTGATATAATTTGGACACTTCAGTTCCGAAAGTCAGTTATGATGTCACTAAGACATCATTAACATGTTGAAAAAGCAGTTTTTGTCGAGCCTGCGACTTTTGTCGCAGAAAGCTCGACATAGGGATGGTGATCCGGCGGCTGCGTTAACTAACTTCTTAAAAGCTTTATATTTCAGAAGGTAGAAGACCTGGATGCTTCATACTTTGTATATAGATGCCTTATGATATGAAGTTTCCGTCTGTCATATGTCCATTGTCCTTGACCTCATTTTCATGGTTCAGTGACTACTTGAAAAAAAGTTAAGATTTTTTGTAATGTTAATTTCTCTCTTATTATGAGTAATAGGATAATTATATTTGGTATGTGCGTACCTTGCAAGGTCGTCATGCATGTTAGACAGTTTTCACTTGACCTCTACCTCATTTCATGGATCAGTGAACAAGGTTTAAGTTTTCATGGTCAAGTCCATATCTGAGATACTATAAGCAATAGGTCTACTATATTTGGTGTATGTAATGATGGTAAGGTGTACATGTCCAACTGACAGGTGTCATCTGACCTTGACCTCATTTTCATGGTTCAGTGGTCATAGTTTAGTTTTTGTGTTTTGGTCTGTTTTTCTAATACTGTATGCAATAGGTCAACTGTATTTGGTGTATGGAAATATTTAACTATGTTCATGTCAGTCTGGCAGGTTTTATTTGACCTTGACCTCATTTTCACGTTTCATTGCTCAATGTTAAGTTTTTGTGTTTTGGTCTGTTTTTCTAATACTGTTTGCAGTAGGTCAACTATATTTGGTGTATTGAAATATTTTACGATGTACATGTCATTCTTGCAGATTTTATTTGACCTTGACCTCATTTTCACGGTTCATTGCTCAATGTTAAGTTTTTGTGTTATGGTCTGTTTTTCTAATACTGTATGCAGTAGGTCAACTATATTTGGTGTATGGAAATATCTTACAATGTACATGTCAGTCTGGAATGTTTTATTTGATCTTGACCTCATTTTCACATTTCATTGCTAAATGTAAAGTTTTTGTGTTTTGGTCTGTTTTTCTAATACTTTATGCAGTAGGTCAACTATATTTGGTGTATGGAAATATTTAACGATGTACATGTCAGTCTGGCAGGTTTTATTTGACCTTGACATCATTTTCATGGTTCATTGCTTATGTTAAGTTTTTGTGTTTTGGTCTGTTTTTCTTAAACTTTAAGCAATAGGTCAACTATATTTGGTGTATGGAATGATTGTAAGGTGCATATGTCTGTCTGGCAGGTATCATCTGACCTTCACCTCATTTTCATGGTTGATTGGTCAATGTTCAGTTTTCCTGATTAACTTTTTTTCTTAGATACCTTAAGCAATAAGTCAACTATATTTGATGCATTGTATGATTTTAAGGTGTACATGTCTGTCTGGCAGGGTTCAAATGACCTTGACTTCATTTTCATGGTTCATTGGTCAGTTTAGAATTACCATGGTTTGGTCTGTTTCTTTTATACTACCGGGATAAGCAATAGGTCATCTATATTCTGTGTATGGAGGGATTGTATTAAATGTGTACATGTATTTCCGGCTTGGTTTATCTGACCTTGACCTCATTTTCTTGGATCATAAATGTTAATGTGATACTTGTAGTAAAACTTTATATGTAGGACTATCAACATAAAATCAAAGGTCAGTATACATGTAGTAGGCGAGACATTTCAGCGTGTGCACTCTTGTAAAAAATAATGAAAGAGCTGTCTGATATATCAATGGATTATATATATATATCAAAAAGGAGTTGCCAATCTCTTGATTGAAAATGTTTACTGTTTTATTAAACTTAACCATTACAACCAATCTGACTGGTTTTATGTAGTATAAAGGCATAAAATATATAAAAGTGATGAAATTAAGTAAAAACGTAATAAGTAACAGTCTGTAGGAAGACATGTTTCCCAACTTGGACACATTATTTGGACTCTGATCTGACAAGCCTTCGCTACTGGTTAATGTTGTGTGCTTGGTTGAAGAAGCAGCAAATACCAATTTTAAAGGACTACAGTCTTCTCCACTCAAGGAGAGCATCCTACCATGATTCCACCAAAGGTAGGGGTATGAAAATATCTTGCATTCATTATATGTAAGAATCAATTTAAAAAGTAAAGCCGTACCAAATCTATATAAAATATTGTTTAATTTATTCAAGATTATTTTCAGCCTTTATGGAAGATTATTGCCAAGGAAATGAAACCTTTCCCCAGAATCAGTTGGTATTTACCTGGCCATTTAAGTTTTTACAAATTGAACTGTTCACTTTAAATAAATACAATAGTTAGTGCACACTGTGTAGTTTATTCAATGGGGAATTTAAATTTTTCCTTAAAAACTAATCATTCATTGATTAATTTGGCTATTAATTCAATGGGACAGTTAAATTTGCCAAAATTTAAATGGCCAGTTTAACATCAACTGATTCTTTGGAAAGATTTCATTTCCTTCACAATAACAGAAATCTGAAATGCAAAATTTAACAATGACTTCTATCTTACCGTATATATAAGAGGCAGATTTAACTGAGATTTACCAAATGCTACCTATAGTACTGAAAGTTTGGAGTTAAATATTGCATTGTAAATACTACATTTAAATACAAAATTGTATTTCAATGTAGATTAGGGAAAAAAGTAAAATTTGATTTGAGAATTTAGGTTGTCCTCACTTTTTTACAAACAAATCCGACACTAAAGCAAATAAATCTTGTACATGTATATTTAATTTTCTCTTTGTTTCTTACACCTGGTACTGCATTAAACATACCCATGCATATCAATTTGAATTCTGAACATTACACAACTTTTCACAGTACATTGGAACTTAATTATTCTTCTTATTTTTATCAAAATTATTTTCATGATATATCCCTCTGCAGAATATGGACATCACAATTTTTTAATATGGAAAACTATGTCAATGCAAAATGTCAAAGTAAGAAATTATAGCCTCGAAATTCAGGTTTCACTCTATATATGTTTAATAGGGTACATTTAAAGTTCTCCAGGATGAATACAACCACACAGATACTCTCAAATTTCTTTCGTAATAATTGCGTCTCTTTAAATCTGTCAACATGCCAAAATAAGGACATTTTATTCCATTCAATACCTTCAGTTTCTTTGACTGCTCCTTGGTATCTTCTTACTTTTTGTACTTGACTTTAAGTAAAATTATTGAAACAAATGGCAGAGTGAAGACAGATAAGGAAAGGCCAACAACGAAACTAGCGTCAATACCGTCTACTGTAACTAAAAAAAGTTCCTGTTCACAAAGTGCCAGAATATCCTTTTCAATACTTTTTGGTAACATCCGTATTTGGAAACAGAAATTGACATGGCAGGTTAACGTAAGGTAAGTTAACGGTTAATATTTATCATGTAACATGTACGATACGGTATGTTGTGACAGCAGAATGTCTGCAATGGAAAGTTTTGAAAGTCCATGTCCTTTATATTTGTTTTTCCTTGTTTTGGTATAAATCACACCGTTTGTTTCCTCGTTTGAATTGTTACACATTTTGTCCTGCCAGTTGCCTTTTTATAGCTGATTATCGTTACGGTATGGCTTTTATTCATTGATAAAGGTGTACATGTCTGTCTGGGAGTGTACATAAGACCTATATCTAATTTACTTGGTTCATTGGTCTATTTTAAGATTTTGTGGTTTGATCTGTTTCCAAGTCATGTACTATAGAATGATTGTAAGGTGTACATGTCTATCTGGCATAGTTCATTCGACCCTTACCTCGTTTTCATAGAACATTGATAATGTTAAGTTTATGTGATACATGTACCAGCAGTAAAACCTTCATATTGCAGACTTGCAACATAAATTCAATGATAAGTTAAACATGCGAGACATTTTAGCGTGAGCACTCTTGTGTTAATATTGCATTACCAATGGCAAAGTCTTGATATATTTGTTTTTAAAATCGACTTGATGTGGTCACAGCCTAGTCAAGTTCCTACAAAGGATGTTTATTTCAGTCCACGAATAACTTATAGATGCACAGATATATCAATATTTATTAGTATTGAACGGGTATGTGGCCGAATATTACAAACTGAAAAACTGAGACGCATAGCTAGCATTGCGGCATGAGAACTTTGAAATCCTCCAGCGGCACTGTCCATCGAAGCTATCTGCATGTATGTCTGTTGGTGCTTTTTGAAGATTGGCTATACTCCAATGAATACTATATAATAATAATATGAATATCCTTATTGCAAAAAAGTATCGCATCAAGCCTTATAGAATCTACCAGTAAGATGCCAGTTTGTATCTTTCTCTACGATTGGGCATACGATAATGACAATAATTTTTAGTTTTATATAATATTTTAGAGAATCGATCGTATATTTAACGAAAAAGCGAACATTTTATCGCCAAAGTATGACCCTTTTAGCACAAAATAAAACCCTTTTGGCGAAAAACAAAATTTGACCAATGCTCAAAGCGACAGAAAATTAATCAATTTTTCACTTGTGTATGTGAATAGTAGAATGATAAAACATTTCAAATGTCAAATCAGTACAAATTTAAAATGTCTTATTAATAAAAATGCAGTGTATAATGGGCTCAAAGTAACAACCGTTTCTTCTCATTTTTTTTGTATGTTTTGCTGTAAAAAATTGTTCTAGAGTGTCAAGGATTTAGGAAACGTTGAACTGGCAGTGTTTCAAATGTTATTTTACGTATCTAACGCCTTGTTTCTATTTTTACGTATATTGACGCTGTGTTTCTATTTAGGCAGTAACCATTTTTCGGGAGGGGGGGAGAGGCTATGGTTTTTTTTCCGGACAAACTTTGGCGAAAAACATTCTATTTTTTTGGCGACAAGTCGAAAACAATTTTTTTTCTTTAAATTTTAGCATATTACATATAGTGGCAGCTGAGGGTGAAACAAACAATTTCTTTTTCTCAGGGTCATAAACAAATTATTTTTTTCTCCAAAAACTGGAAACAAACTTTTTTTTCCAAAAAAAATCCATAGCCCCCCTCCCCCTCCCGAAAAATGGTTACTGCCTAGATAGAAACACAGCGTCAATATACGTAAAAATAGAAACAAGGCGTTAGATACGTAAAATAACATTTGAAACACGTGATCGTCATATCCAATGAAAACATTAGAATGCTACACCATATGTAATATTAATAGGTGTTCAAAGAAGAACAATGTTATCAATAATTTGTCCCAAATGGCTTTATGTCTTAGTCAAGAATGATCCGGAATGCTCACAGGGAAATGTCTTGCCCGTGTAACTGATGATGGATGGGCATTGGCTGCTTAAGTTTTACTGCAAATTAATATGCATATTAAGAATGAGAACATATGTGAATCTTATATGAATTTAACACTGCTTTGTACAAAACAGACAGGCTGAAAACAGGGTATAACAGAACATTTACATTATCATTGACCCATGAATATAAGGTCAATTTCAGATAAACCCTGTCAGATGCAAATATAAACCATACTACACCTTACAATCATTTTATACACTCACTATAGTTCTGACCTAATCATAATAAAATGCACTGCAGGGCACAGTTTGTTACAACCACAGAGGTTGAACCATGAACAATTGGGACAAGTATGAACACAATATTCAAGCTTGATACAGCTCTTAATTTGGATCGTGATAAAATATTTGACACAGCATAGGTTTCGGACTCCAAATGAATGTGGTCTAAGAATTCAAAAATACATAATTTACCTATACCCTAATATCCAAAATCTAAAATAAGTTAGAATCAGCATTTCAAAGAACTAAAAAAATTCAATTTTTAATTTTTCTGATTTTGGACCCTTTGGATCTCAATTTGAACTAGTTTGTTAACGGGGCTAAAAATCCAAAATCTAAATACAGATCCCAGTTACCAGTAGATTCAGCACACCAAAGAACCACAAGAATTAAAATTTTGGTTTAAATCAAATAAAGTTTAATTTTGGACCATTTGGACCTCAATGTGAACCAATTTGATAATGGGCCCAATATCTAAATACAGAGTTTGATTATATAAAAAAAAAACCCAAAGAATTCAATTTTAGGTTTAAATCAAACTTAGATTAATTTTGGACCCTTTGGACCTGAATGTGAACCAATTCGAAAACAGAAATACACAAACATGGTAACAGATTCAGCATATTAAAGAACCCAAAGAATACATGATTCTCATCGAAATTGAAATTGGTCAAGAAACAAATAATGCATACAAAGTATTGGTGTTTGTTTGGTTCCTGATTCATAAACAGTTTGGGCCATAATCACCAAAATCAATTCCAACTTTCCCTTTTTGGTTTGAAATCTTGTATAATAATTTCATAGAAATCCATGGATTTATTCTCAAGTTATGGTCTGGAAACCCCGGAAAATCTTTTTTTAACTTTTATTCCTAAACTGTTAGGGCAATAACCCCAAATTCAATTCATACCTTCCTTTTGTGGTATGGGACCTTGTGGTTTTATTTCTTTGAGATCTATACACTTATACTCAAGTTATTGTCTGGAAAACATATTGTCTACAGACCACAATGACGACATATCCACACCATTATAAAATGGCAAATTTTTTACAGTCTATAAAAACTTAATGTTGACCACACTTCAAAAAAAGGCCAAGGTCAGATGTATCTCATCAGACAATCATATTCACATTACAATCATTCTGTACACCATACATTGTTGACCTAGAGAATCTGACAGAGAACAGACCAAATCATGGAACCTAAATGATGACCAAATGGTGCAGGATAAGCCACTCAAATTAACAAATTTTTCGTAAACCTTTTTCTTATCCCAATCCATGCAATGTGATACAAAATATATCTATTCATGTGAGAAATAGATCACAGGCAATAGCCATAAGAGAATTAATTGTCCTTATTACACATAAAAACTGTCAAATTAATTTGAAAACAAATAATGTACACATACCCTTAAAAATGGAATCAAGATAATGTTCATATGCCAGATTAAACCAGACCATAAGGCAACTGCATACAAGATATGGATTGACTCATTCTTCTTCAGTCTGGATTATGAAGTTTTATATCAGGAGCATCCACTGCTAGATCTGTATCCCTGTGTTTTGTATCTGATGAGCCTTTATATAAACTAGATCATTTTAGAATTCTAGATCTATTTGAAGACTTGGCAGCCAATCAGGTAATCAGCAAGTCCAATGAACATTTCTGTCATGTAATTCCTAAGTATCATTTGTGTCAAGTCTTGTTTAAACTAGCAAAGAAGTTTCTGTGACATTTAAAACTCAAAACATGATGTTGAAAGATACCAAGAGATGGAAATATAAACTGTTGACACAGAGATGTGTCTTCGTTTTTTTGGTGGTATAATGCAAATGTTGAAATTAACTTGCAATATTTAAACTTGTTATCTATGCAATGAACCATGATGACTAACGGTTCAGGGCAAAATAAAAACACCATGGAAATGATAATGCTTATAAAACTGCATACCCAACACCATTTACTTATCAATTGGTTCCTTGTTAAACTGTGAAAGTTTCAAAGTCCATGAACCATGATAAGGAAGTGGGACCAAATAATCTCTATGAAAATGAGACTTGCAAATGCCAATACAACTGCATACCAAATATCAGATATTAGTCACTCATCTTAAACTGATCTAATCACAAATCACATGTAAATAATGCAAAGCATTCAGTCAATAAACCATGACTGAGGCTGGAGCTGAACAATCTCAATGGAACTGACATTTGTCAATGCTTATACATCTGTATACCAAATATCATTGACATACCACTTATAGTTCCCTTTCAATTGACCTAATCACAAACTTATACTTGTAAACTAATTAAAAGTTTTAAGTCAACTATGACTGAGGGAGAGAAGCAAAATAATCTCCTTAGAAATAAGATGTTTCAATGCTTATATAACTGCATACCAAATATCACTGACCTACCACTAGTTGTTTTCTTTAACTTGAACTTATCACAATCAAATACATTGTTGAAGCTGCTGCTTATGGAAAAAGCATGACCAAGTCTCGCTTTTCAACTTCGTCCATACCATACAATAAATCAGCTGTGAGTTACCCTTGACCACAGAAACCTCTTCCCCCTTTATTTGTCATTCAGACTCAAATAAAATATAAGATAGGTTTTCTCAATTAAATTTTTATTTACCTATTTATCTATATCATTATCATACATCATAATATAAAATACCCAAATGAAACCAGACCCATTCTGCTCCATCAAGTGTGTACAAATACCAAAGAAATTGTAATAATATGTTTTTAGTCCCTTTATAAGTAAAAGGAGGAAAAGGATCTGCATCATGGGTAAGGTATCACTGGTTAAATATTACAATTATACAAAATAACTGACAAGAGCTGAGGATTCTTTTTAGTTTCTTGATACCAGTTCCCAGACTAGCTGTTTAAATAGAATTTAGAAAATCAATTCTGTTCTGAGATACATGTCTTATATTTTAATATCCTTAGGTCTTAAAGGAATATTTTTTTTGCTCAATATTAAATACCAAACTTAAATAAATTTATATAATTCCATAAAATATATGAATCCTCAGTTTGTCACATATGAAGAGGCATTTACAAATATAACAAGGAATACAATGGTAAATACTAAGATAAAAAATGCATAAAAATACATGAATCAAATTCATTTATGAGGTGTACTCAATTTATTTACTGGTTTATTTAAATAAACTAATATCGTGATCTGTGCAAAAATTATTAGATCACCAAGGAAATAGTTAACTGCATTTCATTAAACATTTATAACCCCAAGCTCTAATATTGTATACAAAGTTTCTTTATAATTCCTCCCAATTTCTAACCAAAGTCAATTCTTTATATCAAAGTAGGATAGTTATTCAACAATACATGTATGATATAAGTATTTTTTTTTTTATTATTTTCTTGGAACCAGAACTTTTTGCCCAGGAAGTAATAAGTAATTATTTCATATAAAATAAGAGGAGGAGATATGATTGCCAACGAGACAACTCTCCACCAGAGACCAAATGATATAGAATTTAACAACTATCAGTCACCTACAGCCTTCAACCATGAGCAAAACCTATACTCATAGTCCATATCCTTTAGGAAATGTGCCATAGTAAGCAAGTATATCATCTGTTTGCTCATTCGTCTACAACTTCCAATCACAATTAAAGGATTGAATTGTTTTTGCCTAAACTTTCAAATAATCTTCAGTATCTGTTGGCATTGTGTATATTTTTTTCACATCCAAAGGTTCCCCAATCGAAGAATGGACTTTTCCCTTTATAAAATTTTATTACTCTTATTGAAGGATAGGTTGGTTCAGCTGATAAGAACAGATTTAGTTAGAGCAAGATTCTGCATTTATAAATCTTGTAATTTGGTCAATCTTCAACGACCACTTAAATATTTATGTTCATTCATTTTTCTATTTTATCCACTAAGAAGAGTTAAAAGCATAATAAATGTCTGATCTCATTATGTAAATTTATATTTTGAATTGCATGTATAAACAAAATATATAAACTCAATCATACTAAGGCTTGGTATAACAGGATTTGACAGTAAAAACAAATAAAATCACATAAAAACCACTAAAATCAGATAAAACAAGATAAAACACAAATCTTGTTATAGCAAAGCCTTATAAAATTTACATTAAAGCTACAGTGGTAATATATATCAGTGTGAATCCCAAATTTATTTTGAATTTAAGTCATTAAAATTTTGTCATAATGAGATCCAACTACTAAAAACATGATTAAAAACAAATATATTTGAACCAACCTATCCTTCACATGATAAAATGGTGGCATGAGAAGCTTCTTTCCCTTTTTTTTCAAATACTTAGGAGGTCCATACATTACAATTGAGAACCCCAAAATTTCATTATAATAAAATAAAATAAACACAGCCATTAGATACAGAAGATAATCTGAAAGTTTAAATGAAAACCTTCCAATAGTTTATAAGCTGTGGATGAGAGATGATGATGGACAAACAGACAGACAAATCTTCTTTAATAACCTTTTTATGCTCAACATGAGTGCAAATGGGCATGGGATTTGGTCCTGCCCTGGGTCATATCAAAGAATTGAAAATTGGTATTTGATGCTCCCCTGGTAAGCATTCAGCAATTAGGAGCAGGAGCAAAGACTGGTCTGCTGGAAGTCAGAATAATGTGTTCAGGTAGGGTTAGATGTCTTGTGCAGACTTTTACATTATGAACTAGCACATTAAAAAAATCTTGCATTTTTAATTGTCCATCCATCCTTCAAAATCAAAACTTCTTTTACAGGATCCTGGTTATACATGTGGAGGGGGGAGGTAATTGTTTAGAAGCTGAGTACAAGCCTCAAAAATGAAACATTAAAATATAAATAATCATAAATGAGAAAAAATATAGAAATCAATCACACAAAAACGAGAAAATATGACAAACTGCAAAAACTATGTAATTATTTTCACTTGAGTGGTCTCAGATGCTGAATAATGCATTTATAATATATAAACAAAACCAATAAATAAAACTGACAGCCATTAATTTGTATGAATGTAAAGAATGCAGAGTCAAAACAAACCATCTAACTAAAAATTTTTATTTCTAGTTCATATTGCACCAAAAACTCAGTACTTAAATTGTTTACCGTAATAGGGGATTTGTTTTATTCCCTTTTAGTGTTTGGCCATCAAAGTCCTACTTAATAGGTTTCTAACCAGAAAAAATCATTTCACAAAGGACTTATAATTCTTAACCAGTGTACATAACTTAAAAAATATATGTAAACTGAAGCAAGTCTTATGGGTATCTTGTGAAACCATACATCATACCTTTGGGACCTCTCAAATAATAATTTCACAGTTTTTTTTTTATATTTCTTCAATCACAAAACAATAATTGAATGCAAGAAAAAATAATGAAATAAATATTTATAATTTGAATAACAAAGCATTAAAAATTAATTGCATTTATAATTCATTCTGCTTATAAGACAAATATCTGCTGATTTTTTTACAAAAGATAGCAACAGTTCATCCAATGGTTTGCAGGATTGTAGTCTGAGGATTTTACCATACAAGGAAATTCTTAGGCAGCAACAGCAACTCTTTCGACTAAAAAGAAACAAAGTTAAATTTCAATTGTTGATCCTTAATTTTAAAATAATCTAACGGGAATAAAGAAACAGACATAAGTGTATGTTAAACAATTTGTTTATTACTTATATTGATTACTCAAAAATATATAGTATCAAAAATATCTGATTTTATTGTTATCTCCCCTTCATATATCTTCTTCAGATCTAGTATCTGCTTTAAAGGGTACATTATTTTAAAATGAAAAGATTGAATACTTATTTTTTTTAATTGTAAATTAAAAAAAAATATATATATTATTGAAATCTATTTAGTGACATTCATCACACTATAACATAAACACATTAAAGTTGTATGTTGATGAATAAGTTCTCACCTTATAACAGCTTTATCCCAGCAAGTAACCCAATGGAAACCTGATGCTAACCTGGAATATAAAAGTAGTCAGTTATACTAAACTTTCCTAAAAAAAATTATTACACATGTACTAAATTTTAAATTGCACTAGGATAACAAAAAATCATGGAAAAAATATTTGGTATTCTGAATTATAAACTCAGTTTTATATTTACCAAAAAAATTCAACCGGTATCTCACCAGTGTAAAATTATTTTTTTGGTACTAAAGAACCTTATGAAATTGATTTCAAATATTATATTACTAAAAAGATGCTTGATTACCTACCAACATGTTAACAAAATCAGACATCCAAGTCTTACTCCCAACACCATAAAAACATCATTATAACAACCTAAAAATAAAAAAAATAAAAAAATAATTACTTGTTTTACAGATCAATCTGTCTTTTAGAAGACTAACAAAATAATGCTATGTTTCATTTATTAAAACCTGTTATACATTATCATCTTCACTATATAAACTTTAAAACTGCTCGAGATAGAAATTGACCTTGTGCAAGTGCACGTATATGTATAAGACAATGATTTTGGAATATTCAATTACAAAATCGGATGGTTTTGTTCTCTTTTGATGGTTCTTAAAATCATTTTCATAACAGCGTAGACAACCCCAATACTTATGTTGGTAATAATACTAACTCAATTACTGTAAATTCAGAAACTATTGCAATGTTTTTATTATCGCAAAAAATGCAACATGGTTGTATTGGCAATAATTTAAACTAGCTTTTTGAAATTTTTTATATGAATTAAACAGGATTTTTCTCAATATCGCAAAAATTAAAATCGCATTTTAGTCTAAAATTACAAAATCGCAATTAATTTTTGACTCTTCACATTGGATAATCTGCGAAGCGGATTATGTAAAATGTGAAGAGTCAAAAATTAATTTTATGATTCAATAAATTCAAAATAAATTATAGCCATTCATTATAAATAAATTTCTATCAAAAATAAGGCTCAAAGAACTTTTTATATTATTTATATTAACCATAACAACGTACACGGATGTTGGCGTATGAATATACGTCAGAGTGGGCATGTCGCCATAAAAATTGACAACATTGAAAATAAAAGTAATACTTTTAACCAATCAGAAGACAGTAAATACACCAAATTTATTTATTAATAATTGCACGCAATAATTTCTGAATTTACAGTACCTTTAACTTGTTTGCCATTGGCTATCGATAACAAGTGATTTTACGTTCACTCAGTCTGTCAGAGGCCTTCCAATAGGGATTTAAGGTGGTACCCAACACCTTGACTAATATTAATTTGGCTCGTTTAATTTTCATAAAATTTTGACAAAATGTTTACTTTGACCCTTTGACAAAAATATAAAAATTTCAAAAAATTTGAACCAACCACTTTATCAGAAAAATTTCACTGGTTATATAGCAGTTTGACAAACACTAATTTTGATCATTGAGAAGCTTAATATTTCCTTAACAATACAACGTAATTAAAACGTTTAGCTGATTTTTACAGAGTTATCTCCCTGTTGTGTTAGGTACCACCTTAAATAGAATAAAAGAGCAAAGTACATGTAGGCACAAGAGAAGAAAAAAAGAAAATAATTATTCAACATTTAAATCAACACACAAGGTTTAGTCCTCTGCTAGTAATTCATACTATTTAGAACCTTTGCCAACCCCAGTTTAAATGTCTATAACACATTCAATGTGACAAGTGGGCATTACAAACTTTCACCTTATCTGACCCAGTCAATAGATAACATGAGAGCGCCAAGAAATCGTCTTGTCCACGCTTTTATGAAAATGATTCTATATCAATTCAATATTCAAACAGTTACAGACTTTGCATAAAAATTTGTTCGACCTAAGATAATCACTCGATACCAGACAGAAAACAAAAGTAAGACTACTCTAAAAATCAAACGCTGATAGAAAAGAACCCTTAAAAAATAATGTTAAATGCCTATATATATATTATTTCCATAAAATTTGTGGAATATATAAACTTACCACATATTTTTCATGGTAAAGCCTCAGACTTGGTGAAGATTGAATTGACCATCTCCCTTAGAGCTGCTCTCCCGGCTGACAAGGTGGCTCTCCTCATCATCTTAACATCTTTTTTTTTAAATATAGTTTTATACATTAAATATATAAGATGCATTTCCAATAAATCCCCTTTCTTGAAAATTTCAGCAAATCAATTGTTAATAACCCAAGATTTCTCCCACCCTGCATACTTATTATCTAGAGCTCTGCTTACATTTATTTTTTTTTATTACAGAGCACTAAATAATAGTCAATATTAGCTAGTATACATCTGATATTAAAAAAAAATGTACAAACATGAATATCCAAGTAGATGAAAATCCTAACATTGAGGGAATTTCAAGTATGTGGAGTTAAACAGGGGTATAATAAATTGCCTCTCTTTGACCCAAATTTCACCCTGTTCGGACTCCACATCCTTGTTATATTAAACAAAATAAATAAAATAGTACAATTAAAATTAAAAAATAGATTGATAACAAAAATCTAACACATTTCAATAAAATATTTCGTACTGATCGACTTATGGTGGCAGCGTGGTCCTATAAGTAGTTCAACTACTGTATCACTAGCCTGTCAACACTGAGAACCCTCACATGAAATGTGTAACTTCATTCTTAATTTGACTCGGGTTTGCCCGTTTCCCTGATGAAGGTGATGTTTTCACCAGGCACTCTGGCTGTCTCCACAAATAAAAATTTACAGCCAAAATTATAGTAAATCATGTTAAAGTGGTGTTTAACACCAAAAATCAACCAATCCAATTTCAACAAGATGTTCTTTAACTATGCCTTTTGTAAAATTATTCTTTAAAAAATATCACCTTGGTTACAAACCAAAATCAGCTAAAAATGACAAAAAAAGTGCAAAAAATATATTTCTAACTTCTTAACTTCGTAAATTCCTCTGCATTAGAGCACCCTTGTCACATATCTTAAAGATATTAAAATTAACATGAAAGAAAAGGTTGTAAGGGGATATATTTACTGCAGACCATTATTCATCTTTTTAGTTTACACTAGAGAGGCATTTGCTATGGTAAGGTATTTTGAAACGTTGCTAAAAAAAACAAAAATAATTAAAATTTTTGCTAAGAAATTTAGTGGGAATATTCACATCGGCAGATTTAATTGCATTAACTACATGTATAAAGTAACTGGTAAAATTAGAAAGTATCTCAAATCCTAAAGTAACAAAAAGATGGCAAAAATATATACATTACAATTTGCAAAAAAAAAATACATTTCAATAATTGAACATTTTATTTTCTTTCTTTTTCTTTTAGATTATCCATTCTTAAACTGCTGGAAGTGTTTTGACTAGACATGAGTATAAACGGAAAATAGAAAGAATTTTTGTAATGTCAAATACAAGTTAACATACAACTTCCAATCTTGTTGAAAATGGAGAATCTTTACATATTTTTTTTTTTTTTTTTGTAAAAAAATTATAAACATTTTCTCAAGCATACACAAAAATAGTCTGAATTACATTCTTTACTGTTGCAGTTATATCACACAACCATTTTATGCAGCCACGGTTATCTGAAAAAGAAATATACATTACTCATGAAAATTGAAATAATATTTAATGCAAAACAATTATAATTAACTGAGCATTACAATTATAATGTATAGAACATTTCTTTTTCTTTGTTATAAAGTGATTTGTTGACATAAATTTTAAAGTACCAGTATTTCTTAGCAATAAAAGGATGAAAAACAAGTCATTGGCTGATGTCTTGACAAATATCTTTTTAACATTGTTTTATAGCTATATATAGTATATCAGGCTATTAACATACTTGATATAATTTTTTAACATTTAGTCATGTTGAACCTTTATAGCTAACAATACAATATAGGTTTTGTCATTGTTGAAGGCATAGGGTGACATTTAGTTGCATCCACATCATTTGGTCTCTGGTTGATAGCTGTCTCATTGGCATACATACCACACTTACATATTTTCATATATGGGGACAACTATAGATAACAAAAAAACTGAAATCCCAAGACTTCCCTTATATATCTTTATATCTCCTTCTAAATTGTTTATTCAACTATATGTAATGAAGACATTAATATGTAAGATTTACATCTGTGCCTAACAAAAATCTTGGGCTTTAAAATGCTCTTGGATGAAAAGTTCATAAATCTATGTATTGATTCTTACCATAAAAGTCAGCTCCAATGCCCACTCCCAGCTTCAATCCTTACAGACAAGCTGTGATGCTAACCTGAAATATAAAATGATAATTCATTAATAAAACCCTGTAACTCGGAAACGTAAAATCTAAAATTTATAAAAATCGAAAGGGAGCTCATGTCAATAGATATAAACAATTCACCACAATTTCTTGCAAGTTGGTGAAAGCATTCTTGAGTTATTGTCCGAAAACTGGAAAACCCCCCTTTTTTTAATGAATAAAACCCCATAACTTGGAAACGAAAAATCTAAAATTTATAAAAAACGAAAGGGAGCTCACGTCAATAGATTTAAACAATTCACCAAAGTTTTATGCAAATTGGTTAAAGCGTTTTTGAGTTAATGTCCGACATGTTGACGACGAACAACGGTATACCATAATACGTCCCGTAAACGGGCACATAAAAACTGTTTAAAAGGTTCTTTGTTGGTATTATGTATGTATATTGAATAGATTGAATGATTGGTTGTTGGTTGCTTAAGGTCCAGTGGCAAATCATTAAATAGAAATAGTCTTAAAATGTATTATATATGTCAAGAACATATGGATGAGACAGCAATCCAACACATTTTTATGTAAACAATACAGATCCTAAACTTTCTTCTTATTTGGTTACTGATATAATAATCAGATTAGATTCCTGTAAAAATTCAAGCGTTCAAATCTTTGTTTTTTCATAAAATATTTATAATACATTTGAGTTTTCCAAAACAGGACTAACATACTGGTACATACCTTTGTATTAGCTGTATAAGACCACCAAGTCTTATTCCCACACCATGAAAACATGTCTCAGAAAGAACCTGAAATGAAATTATAATCAACACATTATACATTTTGTAAATCAATTTATGTGTTACCTATAACCTAAAATTTACTAAATATTGTTCTGATTTCTTATTGCAGGTAGACAATTGTATAAAATATTTTTTTTTTAAATCAATATAAAAGATAGAAAAGTAAAAAAACGTCAGATTTAAATTTAACTGCACAAAAAATATCTGAATAAATTACAAAGTTATCTCCCATTGAATGCAAAATCGTGTCTTAAATTGTACTGGTCTTTTCTTGAAGTTTAATGACTATTTTTAGGATTTACTATTGATATTTTGATAGAAAATCTTGTTCATGTATCTTGTATCTTTAAATACTAAACTGGTAAATTAATTCATCAATGGTGTTTTAAATGCAATATTTCAGAAGGGTCTGTTATCTTAAAAGATCTGGCTAAAATAAACTTGCCTTTTCTATTTTCATGGTAAAGAGTCAGACTTGGTTGAAGATTTAATTGACCATCTTCCTAAGAGCTGCTATCCTGGCTGACAAGGTGGTTCTTCTCAATATCTTATTGTCAATCTATGTTGTGTCCATTTGTTTTTAGAAAATAAAGTAACATACATAAAAAATATCAGATGCACTTTCAATTAATAAACTTTTTGAAAAATTTCAGGTAATTATTTTAAGTGACACATAATTTTTCCCACCCTAAATTTCTATTCTCTAGAAAACATCTGATATGTAAAAAAGTGCATAAATGTGGGTATCCAAGTAAATAAAAATCTAACATTGAGGGAATTTCAAGTATTTAAAGTTAAACACAGTATAATAAATTACCTCCCTTTGACCTAAATTTCACCCTGTTAGAACTCCACATCTTTGTTATATATAACAACTAGAGGCTCTAAAGAGCCTGTATCGCTCACCTTGGTCTATGTGCATATTAAACAAAGGACACAGATGGATTCATGACAAAATTGTGTTTTGGTGATGGTGATGTGTTTGTAGATCTAACTTTACTGAACATTCTTGCTCCTTACTACTATCTCTATCTATAATGAACTTGGCCCGGTAATTACGGTGGAAAATACTTTGTAAAATTTTACAAAAATTTACAAAATTTATGAAAATTGTAAAAAATTGACTATAAAGGGCAATAACTCCTTAAGGGGTCAATTGACAATTTTGGTCATGTTGCCTTATTTGTAGATCTAACTTTGCTGTACATTATTGCTGTTAACAGTTTATCTCTATCTATAATAATGTTCAAGATAATAACCAAAAACTGCAAAATTTCCTTAAAATTACCAATTCAGGGGCAGCAACCCAACAACGGGTTGCCTGATTGGTCTGAAAATTTCAGGGCAGCTAGATCTTGACCTAATGAACAATTTTATCCTCATCAGATTTGCTCTTTATGCTTTGGTTTCAGAGATATGAGCCAAAAACTGCATTTTACCCTATGTACTATTTTTTAGCCATGTCGGCCATCTTGGTTCGCGGGCGGGGTCATCGGACACATTTTTTAAAATAGATACCCTAATGATGATTGTGGACAAGTTTGGTTAAATTTGTCTTAGCAGTTTCAGAGGAGAAGATTTTTGTAAAAGATTACAAAAATTTACGAAAAATGGTTAAAAATTGACTATAAAGGGCAATAACTCCTTAAGGAGTCAAATGACCATTTTGGTCAAGTTGACTTATTTGTAGATCTTACTTTGCTGAACATTATTGCTGTTTACAGTTTATCTCTATCTATAATAATGTTCAAGATAATAACCAAAAACGGCAAAATTTCCTTAAAATTACCAATTCAGGGGCAGCAACCCAACAACGGGTTGTCCGATTCATCTGAAAATTTTAGGGCAGATAGATCTTGACCTGATAAACAATTTTACCCCATGTCAGATTTGCTCTAAATGCTTTGGTTTCAGAGATATAAGCCAAAATTTACATTTTACCCCTATGTTCTATTTTTAGCCATGGCGGCCATCTTGGTTGGTTGGCCGGGTCACCGGACACATTTTTTAAACTAGATACCCCAATGATGATTGTGGCCAAGTTTGGTCAAATTTGGCCCAGTAGTTTCAGAGGAGAAGATTTTTCTAAAAGTTTACGGACGACGGACGACGGACGACGGACGCCAAGTGATGAGAAAAGCTCACTTGACCTTTCAGGTCAGGTGAGCTAAAAAAACATGAATAGTATACCGGTAATCAAAATAAAAAAATAATTAAATTACAAAAATTCAACACATTTCAATAACATATTTAGTGCGGATGGAGTAATGGTGGCTGAATGGTCAAAGTAGTTCAACTACTGTATCAATAGCCTGTCAACACTCTGAACCCTCACATTGTAGGTGTGTTTAACATCAATCTTAATTGACTAGAGCTGCCAGTTTCTCTTTCAAGGGGATGTTTTCACCAGGCTGTTTCCACAAATAAAAACTGGCAGCCAAGATATAGCAAATCATGCTGAAAGTGGTGATAAATACCAAAAATCAATCAATCTACTTTCATCAAGATATTCTTCAACTATGCTTCTTGTAAAATATTCTTTAAATAATATACCCTTCGTTGTAAACTCAGCTAAAAATGACACAAGGTGAAAAAATATATTACAATTTGCAAAAATAAAAAACATTTCAATAATTGAACATTTTTTCTTTTTCTTTTTTTTTCTTTTTTTTCTTTTCTTTTTTTTTAGATTCTCCATTCTTAAACTACTGGAAGTGTTTTGCCTAGACATGAGTATGAACAGAAAATAGAAAGTAATTTTAGATATTTCAAAGACCTATTAACCTACAACTTCCAATCTTGTTGAAAATGGAGAACCTGTACATAATTTTTTTTTCTTTTTGTAAAAATTATAAACATTTTCTCAAACATACACAAAAATAGTCTGAATTACATTCTTTATTGTTACAGTAAAATCACATAGCCCTTTTATGCAGCAACGGTTACCTGAAAAAGAAATATACAGAATTAAACGTAATTGTCAAAATCTGAAAATTGAACAATATCAAATGCAAAATAATAAATAACTGGTCATTATAATCATGATTCATAAAACCTTTCTCTTACTTTGTTTAAAAGTGATTTGTTGATATATTTTTTGAACTACCAGTCTTTATTAGCAGAAAAGGATGAAAAACAAGTCAATGGTAGATGTCTAACATATTTCTTTTTTTTTACATATTGTTTTTTTTTGTATTGGCTCTTACCATAAAAGTCAGCTCCAATGCCCACTCCCAGCTTCAATCTTTACAGACAAGCTGTGATGCTAACCTGGAAAATAAAATGATTAGTCATTCAAGATTGTTGAAAAGGATCATTTTTGATGTACTGTATGTATATTCCATATTTTGAGTGATTGATTCATTTGATTGTTGGTTGCTAAATTTCCAGTGGCAAATTAAATAAAAGTCTATAACTATGTAATAGAAGTTGAGAACAGCAAACCAGCATCCCAACAAACTTTTACATAATCAAATCAGATAATTAAATTTACTCCTTTAATGGCAATTAAAGAAAGCAAAGACTTCTTACCAAACTCCTACAAACCTTCACGCTTAGAGCACATGCTATTTCCAAATACATTTTATAATACTTTTTCTTTTTTCAAAACAGGACTAACATACTGGTACATACCTTCGTATTAGCTGTATTAGACCACCAAGTCTTATTCCCACACCATGAAAACATATCACAGAAGAACCTAAAAAGAATTAAAAAAGACACATTATATATTTTACAAATCCATTTCTCTATAAATATGAAGTCACTATATAATGTTCTGATTTCTTACAAAATGTACACAATAGTATCAACACAAGTTTGTAAGATAAACTGTTGACAGAGATGTCTCGCCTAGCAGCGGAAAATGAAAAACATCTGATGATTAGCAACACTGCTAATTAATTCGATAATTTGTTAGTAATGCAAATATATACAAAATGTCATTGATCTATAGCAAGGAGTAACTATTAACCTGACTAAACAGAAAACTCGACATAATAAAAATAAAACAAGTCAAAGGTTTTTGTTTGGAATTTAACTGCACAAAAGTGATGTGCAAATCAGTTATATTCCATTGAAAGAACAAATCTTGCTGTTAATTGTACTTGTCCCCCCTTGAAGTTTTAAATATTTTGATCGAAAATCTTGTTCAAGAAAATGGTAACTTAAATTATAAAACTTAATAAAATTAATACATCAATGGTGTTTTGCATGCAGAAGATCAGAAGGGTGCTGGTGTGTTGTCTTAATATGCACTTCTTGTCGAATATTTCTAGAAAATGTATACAAATATTTGGCTTAAATAAAACTTGCCTTCTTAATTTCTTGGTAAAGCCTCAGACTTGGTTGAAGATTTTTTTGACCAACTTCCTTGGAGCTGCTATCCTGGCTGCTTTCAAAGGTTTTCCATCATAATTTTTTATGCTAATCAGTCCACTGAATCCATTTTATCTAAGTAATGAAATGTCCTTTCCATTGTACATTATAAAATGTACAATAGTCACCAGAATGTTCCAAGGCACCTCACATTATTTTTCAAATCATGGAAACTGAAGAAATTCTCAATTTAAAATACAAATAATTTAGTAAATTCATTTAAAAAGTACTGTAAAAATACCAGACATGCTTTTAAACAGGTAACTTGTATTTTGATAATTTACGAAATGTATTCTGTACCCCACAATTTCTTCCACTCATTAAAAGTATATTTTAGAACTATGTTTACATTTTTTTTTATTTACAGAGCTCTAGATAATAGCTTTTATATAAGTTACCAGACATCTGATATGAAAATACTTATACAAATGTAAGAAAAAAAGTACAGTGTAGTAATAGTATAATAAACACATAAAAATCAACATTTTTTAAATATTTTGAAGCACAAGTTTAATCAAAAATATCTCATTTTCAAGGTTTACTACTCATGTACATAGTAGTCATGTATAGTCCCAAAATTTGTAAAAGCCTCTATAGATTTGCATACTCTCTGTGAATTCCAAAAGATATGGGTTAAAAACTATTTATTTTACCTTTGATGAAAAATTACTTAGTTCCCAAGTCAGGAAAAAAATTATCAAACAATTCCATAGTACCAAGTGGACAACTTAAATATTTGTACAATCATTGTGTGAAGTTAAAAAGATTGAGATTGAAAACTGCAGTTGATTACACAAAATCAGTACCATCTTTGAAAATTTTGGAAAACAATCATCAAGATCAGAATTAAGGGAAAAATGGGGGGAAATTCCTCAAACAATTTCATATAAGCAGGTACACAACTTCAAAATGTATGCAATTATTCTGTGAAGTTTCAGTGGTACAAGAAAAAGAAGCTGAAATGAAAAAATACAAATATGATGCAAAATGATATTACATGTATCAAGTATGAAATCTTTAGATTTAATAAAAAAATTTAGAACTCAAAGAAATGATATAAATACTGATTCTTTATAATAAAAATTAATTTCAATACTTTTATAATTAAAATTAATTTCAAAACTCAAATGGCACGTAATACTTCAATAAAATAGATTTTTACTTTTTACTTTAGTTTTATACTTGAAAGAAAAATAGGAGCAAAATTTACAATTGAAAAAGTAACATTTTTTGTTCCCAGATTATTTATGATAGCATTTTTGATTGGTTATATCAAAATTTATTTTATGTAAGATTACTTCCAATGACTTTTGTCAGAAAAAAAGGAAAATCACTGATATCTTGACAATAATGGACTGAGGCAAGGTTACTGCACTCTCCAGAATCATTGGTTCCTTAAATAGATAAGAACCAGAAGCAGCCAATATACAGACTTACAGGAATCAGCTCTTTTTTGCTACCGGGAAAAGAAAACAGATTACCAGTTAAATCTGAAATAGTCTGGTTATCTTTAACTTTTTTAGTGATTAAATCCCCAAAGTCTGAAACAGGGTCTAATATAAATCTAAAACTGCTTGGTTAACAGAACTGATTGTATGCTATCGCTCAGGCAAAAATAATCACGTATATAATGCCTACTCATGTTAAAACTACAATAAAGTATAGCTTGCAACAATTATTTCTTAATTATTATGGACAAATGGAAAACTCCTTTGAACTTATGAGGCTAAAGTTGGATCCCTGTTAAAGTCAAGCTCTTAGATTACTCTTTGTCTGGCCATGAGTTTCAAAAAGGATCCAATGAAGAATAGCTGCAGTCAGTTATTGATAATTGGGTTTTACTTATTTTATTTTTTAAAGTATTTTATGATGGCAAGTGCTTTACCTATATTGTAATTACCAAATTTGAAAAAGATAGAATGGTTTGATACCAAAGAGCAAATTAATTTATGTTGTAATTCAAAGGGTATGATAGGGTTAAGATCAGTCTAATACCTTTTTCAATAAAAGATCTAAATTGTATAAAATGAGCTATATTTCAACAAACTTATGATTTGAAATTTGAAATTTTTGTGTTGTACAAACTACTCCTTTTCATGTACACATGATAAATAGAATAAAATAGACGAGTTTTCAGCTCCTTTTTTATGATCTTGAAATGATCCTGCTCACTGTCAATACTTTTGATTGCAAAAAAGAAAAATTGTTTCAAGAAGCCGGACAAAATTATCCTTTAATATATTGATCACAGAATGGCTTAAGAAGTTAAAAAGATTAATTTTCTATTAAACAGGAAATATTTACAAAGAAATGCTTAAACTCAAGACAATTTAATTTTACAAATTACGATGAGCAATTGTTAAATGGGACTAACAAGTAAGATTAAAACATTAATACCAGTTGTCAATTATGGTCTCATAATAATGAAGTTACCATTAAATGTCTGGAATCTGTGGATGGAAACCTAGTGTTGAAGGTGACAGTTGAAAATTAACCCAAGGTTCAGAAGCTTGAAGCAAAGGGAGATAACTACTGTAAAATATTGGGATTGATAAGTTAGATAACTCTTCACTTGGAGATGATAATAGTTTCAGATAACTCAAAATGAAGTTTTTAAGGTATTTGAAATCATTATAAATTTCGTTGGTCATCTCAACGAGATTGATTTTCTCCCTTGAGCCGGTACCGCGAAAGTGAGAAAAACAATCAAGTTGAGATGACCAATGATAATCTGTTTATCGCTATTTTGCTTATGACGACGTTGAAATTTACATTGACAATGGCATGTGCAGCCTTAGTTTCTAGAGATACTTTCCATATCTTTCTACTATGCTGAGAAAGGAAATTATCAGTAAGATCAAAGGAAAATTCAGTAAAATAGTGATAATAATATATATATCACAGAAATTTATTATTGTTCACCAAATATTAAGACTTGTACAAGCTTTCAGTCATGTCAGAATTAATAACCTTTGCGATTATGTTTATAACTCTATAATAAATGTAGATTAAACATCCCAATTCTTTTTTGTATGGCAGAATTTTCGTTATGGCTTGATTGTTATAAAAATGTATTTTTACTTCTTTATTATCTTAATAGCGATCAGTGCTTTAAAGATGTAGATACCCAGAAACAATTTTGAAGAAGATAAAGTATATCTAAAAAACTTTTGGGATCATTTTCCACTTCCCCTGAATTCAACTTAATATACGAGAATATGTTATCTAGTTGTCCATTTCATCATAATATGTCAAATACAATTTAGATTTTGATTTTGATTGAAGATATTCATTTTCAATTTTGAAAATAAGAAATTAAAGAAAGTATGAAAATCGTACAGATTCAAAGTTCAAAGCAGCTTTATGCTCAAACATTTGATTATTTTTTTATGACTAGAAATATCAAATATTTTTCATTTCAGAATTACATATATAGATTCCTTCGAATGGTAAACACCACACCCTAAATACCTCAAAACCAAAGAACAACTGAAACAAACAGAAGATATAACCAACCCTAAACTTAAACACCAATAAGCAACTTTGTTATATGTTAGTAAAGACACGCAGCGCTCCAAGCATAATGTATTTCTGAAATGATCATTTGATATTTGTTAAGTCTACACCAAAACTCTGAAGATAAAGAATGTTTTGCTTCGGAACTTTGCATGCACTAGACTACGAGTTTAAATCAATTTCAAGTACTATGTTATTCTATAATCTGACTACTACAATGCTTTGAAAATGTAAAAATTTTAGGAAAATTATTATTTCACCATAAATCTTAAATTTTAATTTAAATGTCTTAGGAAAACTTTTATTATAAATCTGAAATTTTAATTTAAATGACATCTTTTTTTTTTAACGAAGAACCAAAAAAAATGCATTTACTCATTATCTTTTGATTTTGCCATTTAATTAGGGACTTTCCGTTTTGACTTTTCCTCAGCGTTCAGTATTTTTGTGATTTTCTTTTTTTTTCACCACAAAAAAAGCGCTGATAGACCTTTAAGACAATGTTAAAAAAAACTTTCAATCGTTGGATCAAATGACAGTCTGTAGTGGTGAAAATACAGAGAAATTAATCATAACCAGGATATACCTCATCTGAAGTTATTGCAACTATCATCATCTCTGTATTGATAACTTTTAATATTAAATTAACACCCCAAATATAAAGAAGGCGTTATACCCTGGGTTAATCTCCAACTTCTATATTTTGCTTCTTATGTTGTTGCACATTAATAGATGCATAATTTAACTATTGAAAATTATGGACAAATCTTTTACTGCATTCAAGAAGAAAAGATAGACATGTTTTGAGT